ATTAGGAATGCTCTAAGAGTATCCTAACAGGTTTCAAACAACTTAACAATTCCATGTAGTGTACTATGTCATAGCGTAATTTGCACCTAGTCGCTAGACGTTGTAGTCATAGAACCTGCCGCTGGCAACTATGCTCCATAGCTATCTACACGTTGTCCTCGCAAGCTAATGATATGCTTACTTCTTACACTGGGACGCTGTGAGCCTGAATGCCCAGACGATTCAACACGTCGTCGACCGTGTGCCCCCTGTATGCCCCCCCCCGATTGTGCATAGTTGCCACGTAATCTCAATGACTGGCTGGATTGTGGAATCCCACCTATTTTGTTGAGTACTGGAATGCCACCGGATTCCACCTGAAATTCCACAATCATGTCCGCCACTGGCCTGCCACCACCTTTTGTCTAGCAGTGTACACGCTGACCGGACGGACATCTATCTTATGTGCTACACCACAACACAATGACTGTCCGACGGTCTGGATCGAGGTCTGACGTGGATGATGTGTCCTATACCACACTCGCTTCCGACAGGACAATCTCAAGGACCCTCGTCCGCCAAACCGAAGGCGATGGTCGCGAGATATCGCTTCAAGCTACCTTGCACATCATCGAGTAATCGCTAACGGATGAATTGGTGAGTTACAGGTACTTAGTATCCCCACCAGCAATCATACATGTCATCTAAGTTGCAGAGAAGTTTCTGACAGATGGCAACCCACGCAAGCGGGGCCTCCAGTTGCGTGAATGCAATTTCACCTTCAGGTATATCATCCGACCGATGTCGAGTGCTTTTCGTCCCAAGTGTAGGATATCATCCTGTGCTTGACATGACATGTAGTCAGACTACTTGCAGACAAGCCGCCTTAGCCCAACTCGGCGCCGCGACACAGGTGGACATAGACCTCCATGTCGCCGAGAAGCTGTAGCAGCGTCATTACTCGACACCGGTCCACACCGTTCGACGAACAAGCGATGTTCATATTTCGAAACCCGCCCTGCTGCTAGCGTGTCGTCATTGCCGGTGATGAAGCATCAAATTAACGCGGGGCAAAATCTCCGCTCTCGCGGTGGCAAGTTACTAGAAACCCATGATAAGGCGTTCCGGGACGTTAACGACTGGCTGAGGTCAGTAGAGCAGTCATTTTGGGCCAGAAGATTTGACCGTGCCGTCATGGGCGATTTTCCGTCTCTTCTCCGCGGGCGTATTGCAACGAAGCACAAGAGGTCTGCACCTTTACGTTCTGCCTCGAGTCTATGTCAACGCACACAAGTACCCATCAGCGTGTACTACCGACATCCCGAGCCATGGACGTCCCCTTAGAACGCGTGATGGGGTTTAGCATGAGCATGAAATTCGATAGTTCGACCTCTCCGCACAGTACAGCGCTGCTTTGTATAATTCTACACAGTGACTGCCAGGGTGCAGGCGAAGAGGCTAAAACTTCTATCCGTCTACATTAAGACATTTTCCACCGTGGACTCGCGCACTTTTGTCTCTGCTACCAGACCGTACCCAGACCGTACCCACTAAACTCCACTCCGCCCGACGGCCTTCACGACAGTCCCCGGGGCACGCTCGAGCTTCGGCAGCGTCTTCTCTGCGCCCTGCGCCGTCGGGGCCGGCAAGAAGCCCACCTCGACGAGCCACGCGAGGTACCTGCCCATCAGCGCGTCGTCCACCGTCCCGTTCGTCTTCCCGTCCGGCACATGCGGGCCCACGACCGCGCGCATGTTCGCGTCGTCGAGCTCGGGCGCCTTCGTGCTCGTCGGGAGGTCGTCGAGCACGAAGTGCAGCAGCGGGAACAGCGCGTTGTCCTGCACCTCCATGACGTGCCGCTCGAGCTGCCGGCGCCAGTGCAGGTACTCGCACCGCGCGGTCCCGAAGCCGTGCTGCGCGAGCGCCCCGAGGAAGTCGTTGAACGTCGGGCGCGGGGCGGCCGCGACGTGGAGCACGCTGAGCGCGTTGCGGGGCTCGGGCAGGGGCGCGACGGCGGCGAGCGCGCAGCACCGCGCGACGTGGTCGACGGGGACCATGTTCACGGCGTTGTTGATGTCCGGGACGAGCCCGAGCTGGATGCAGCCCTTGACGAGGCGCCAGAGGAAGTCGTCCGTGTTCGTCACTGTGCGTGCGCATGCGAGTGCCCGCGAACACCACACAGGTCGTTATCGTGAGCACGAACGCTGACGCCACTATCTGTCAGGACGACGTACCTGCTGACTTCGAGTCGCCCACGACGTATCCGGGGCGGACGATGTGCCCGCGCAGCCCGCGGTGACCGGCTTCGAACAGGAGCTTCTCGGACACCCACTTGGACTGACCGTAGCCGGTCTTCAGGGACGAGCGCGCGCCCTCGAGGTCGTCGCTCTCGGGGACGCCCCCGGTGCTGTCGGACAGTTGGACGTAGTACTCCGTGTCGATCGCGGAGGTCGACGAGACGAAGACGAACAGCTTCGGTTTCCCGGTGGCTGCGAGTTCAACGGCGGTGAGCGTCCCGAGAACGTTCGCAGACCGCAGCTTCTCGTAGGGGTAGACCCAATGGACCTAGTGCGGCGGATACAGGAGTCAACAGGGCGCAGAACATATGGAGCCGAATGTCACTGGATGAAATCGTTGACATACCAGCGCGCCGTTGTGAATGATCGCGTCAGTCTCGCCAGCGATACGGATCCACGCACCGCTATCCAAGCCGAAGCGCGGCTTATCCAAGTCACCCCGTACGACTTCCAGCCTGCCGCTGTCGAGCCACGCCTCATCCCACACACCACGTCCTGCGGCCGCCTCGCGCAGGCGGTCGGCCGCCTTTGCGTCGTCTGATGCGCGGACGAGAGTGATGACTTTCTTGACGCGTTCAGTACGCTGGAGGAGATCACGCAGGACGAACGCCCCCAGGAAGCCGGTGGCACCGGTAAGGAACACCGTAAGAGGGCGGTTCGCGTAGTCTGCAGACACGGATGGATACGAGGGCTGAAGCTGTGAAAGGAGTTTCTCGTAGTCTTGACCGTATTCGAGCCTCTTTCCTGCTGCTGCCGAGGCGTCTTGGGTGAGTGCAGTAGGCGATGCCCCACCTGCTGTGGGTCCCGCGAGTCCGAGGTCGGCGTTACGCAAATGCTCGATAGCATCAGCAAGCGCAGAAATGGTGGGTTTCTCGAAGACGAGCCCAAGAGGCGCATCGACGAGGAATGCCTTGCGAATTTCGAAGATAAGGCGCGTCGCCAGGATCGAATGACCACCGAGGTCGAAGAAGCTCTCGTCGAGCGGAATGGGCGAGGGGGCATTGGGAAGGACACGGGCCCAAACGGCGCGAATGGCCTGTTCGGTGGGATTGGCCTCGCCCGCGCGGGCAGGTTCCGCTGGGGCAACCTGAGCTGTGTCGGGGAAGGGAAGAGCGGGCTTGTCGATCTTCCCATTGGGGTTCAGTGGCATGCGCTTGAGCGGTACAAACACTAGTACCTGTCAGTAATGAAGTGGGTACAGCAAGGATTGTACTCACAAGTCGGAACGCTGTAACTAGGCAGCTTCTTCTTGAGATACTCTCGAACCTCCTTGATGAGCCTCCTGTACTTGCGCATCCCACTGACCAAGCCCTTGTCGTCTGCGTCGTCACCGAGGTCACTGACATACTCGTCCAGCGCAGGCCCGCTAACGGGCACAAAGTAGGTGACGAGAATCTTCTCCTCATCCTTGTCACGCCGCACAAGGGTGACGTTTTCACGGATAAGTGGATGCTGTGTGAGGTGTGTGTCGATCTCCCCGAGTTCGATACGGAACCCGCGGATCTTGACTTGGTCGTCTGCGCGACCTGTGCACTCGACGATGCCATCCGGGAGGTAGCGACCGAGGTCTCCAGAACGGTACATCCTGTCACGCACACCCTTCCAGAACTGCGCTTCCGGTCCAGGACGACTGCCATCCGGTGGTTGGGCGATCGTGTCCGGGACGGGCGGGGCGTTCGCGGAAAACCAATTGGTGACGAACTTTTCTGCGGTTGCCTGGGGGTCTGAGTATCCCTCTGCAAGACCTCCCGAGCGGACGTAGATCTCGCCGACTTCACCAACCGCACAAGGGACGTTGCGGTCATTGCGGTTCACCACGAGAAGCTGTACGTCAACCATGCCCTCGCCAGCGGGTATGATATCCTTCTGGGTAGCGAGAAACGTGGCGTCCTCGGATATGGATGGGATGAGGAAATACGAGACGGCACGTTGGGTCTCGGTCGTACCGTACATGTTCACGATACGCACGTTTGCTGCAAGTGACTGCATCCGGAGGCAGTCGCGTTTGGTGAGCACGTCGCCGACGAAGAACGCGTTGCGAAGGGAGGGGATCTGGCGGGTCGCTTGGGCGGAGAGGAGCTGACCCATGGCAGGCGTCAGGTGGGTGACAGTGACCTCGTTGTCGGCCATCCACTCTGCGAGGCGACCGGGAGTGCCGATATCGTCTGCAGTAGGAACATAGAGGCTTGCTCCAAAGAAGAGAGGCGTGAACACTGGTTTCCAATAGACCGTAAGTATGGGTTGTGGCAACAAATTCAAGTGTACCCACTGTCACGCTGGATGGGGTCGTGTGCGATACCGCTGAGCATAGTGAACTTCGAATGCTCCCCAATGCCAAAACGCTCTCCCATCCAGGGGAAGAAGTGCGTCAAGCTGTAGTGTCGGCCCTTCACACCCTTTGGGATACCTGTGCTTCCGCTGGTGAAAGAAAGCGTCGCGATGCTGTCGGGCCCGAGCGGGACGTTCGGGTCGATATTCTTAAGGTGCTGCTGCGACTTCAAGACATCATCCTGACCTTCGAAGTGCGAACCACCAATGATCTGTCCGCCTGGAAGAAGGGCCAGGGCGGGAACCTCGACACGGATTTGGAGCTCGTTGGAGATGAACTCGCGCACCGGAGGCAATATCTTGCCCGCACCGGACAGGACGACGAGGGCCCGTGGCTGGGCGACTTGGAGGTAGATGGTTTGCCTCGAGGGCGGGTAAGCGGGATCGATGACCGAAAACGTTCCCCCCGCCTTGTGGACAGCCATCACGGCGACGACGAGCTCCACGCTACGATAGGCATAGATCATGACGACCTCCTCCCGTTGCAAGCCCCCTTCGAGAAGACGGTGAGCCAGGATGTTGGATGCATGAAGAATTTGGCTGTAAGTGAAGATACGCTTCTCTTGTGGCTGGTCCAGGGTCGATGAGGGGATAGACTGAATTACACAGGGTCGGTCTGGCCATTGTCTCGCATTCCGCGAGAAGATATGAGGGATAGCGCCTTTGAAATCGTACCAGTTGAGGTTGGCGGTAGGGTCTGGCAGCTTGGCCTTTTGGCTTGGGGTGAGCAGAGGGACGGACCCGACCGGCGCAAGCGGATTCGCGGCCACGCGACGGAGCAGGATGGAAAGCTGGTCGACAATGTAAGATATGCGCATAGAAGAGAACAGTAGAGAGTTGTAAAGGATACGGAGTGATAGGTGCGGCGCGATGGAGGAACGACTTGACTCTTGCTGGCGGGTAACGAAGATCGTTAGGTCTGATGTCAGGCTGGTGGTGCGAAGGAAATGCTCCTGGGGTGAGTCGGTCTCGTCGAAAAATCGAACGCGAAATAATGGACGGGAGCCTTCCACGGTGTCCGCCTTGTCCTTGCCGAGGGCACGCATGATGGATTCGTACGGAACGCTGTCTGCTTCGGCTTCGCGCTCGACTTGCTGCACCTTGCGCACGACAGCCCAGAAAGGATCTTCTGGACCGACCGCTATGCGAAGCACTAGAGGATCGCGCGCAGATGCGGAAGAAGACCCGACTAAAAGGTCTGTGTCGCCTGTATACCTGTGCAACAGAACGACGAAGGCAGCCAGTAGAAGGTGAAACGCGGAGGGGACATTTGTGTCGGCATAGTCCTCGTCACCATCGTCGTCGTTCTCATTGTAGAGAGCCAGCTTCATGAGTCCGATGCATGTCTGTTCGGATAACTCAAGCGTGGCCGCGGCCTCTACCACCCTATTTCCCCCAGTCGGTCTAGGGTAATCGGTGGGCAGAGATATCTCTGGCAAATTTTGAAGTCGAGCGACAACTCGAGCTAGACGGTTAGCAGCCATGTTTGAGAGTCGTCGTTTCTGCAGGAAGAGTCTCTAGAGGATGATCAAGGTCTGCGGAAGTCAATACAGACTTGACTCAGATCAAACTTCTGGTCAATGGGCACTGTAAGTGACTCGACCCAGAACTGACTGATTTCGTCAATTCGACTCACGGAGCCTCCGAGCTCTGGACCACCGAGCTCCAGAGTAGCTGAGATGTTTTCTTAGACCTGGAAGGCCGCTGCGCGTCCTCGTCCAAGCCCGATTGCGTTGATGAAGACTTGGCAGGTCTGAACATTTGTGGAGAGGAGTTTGAGAGATTAGATTGAGGTGACCGCAGATCACCGTTCCGGAGATCCGCGAGGCTCCCTCCGATGAAGCGCCAACAACCACTCACTTCAAACTTGCATGTCTGGCAGCTACTGCAGTGTTTACTTCGCGATTCCATCATAAAGAGCCCATTACCCTGCGAATGAATTGCCTGAAAGGCCCAGTACTCCGGCTAGCAGTCTTGCTTGTTGCCAGGTCTCTCCCATGTGGGAAAATGAGATAAGATCTCAGCCGCGCATTCCGCCTTTGTCTTTATGTAACGCACATCGTGCTGCGGTAGTCCCTTCCTCCACAGGTTGTTTTCCAACTCGTTCAAGGTTTCCCTCACATATTCCGGCCCACTTACCATGTAAGCTCTCTCGACCGGGCCGGGCCTCTGAATATGATGATAACCTTGTAATAGCCAAGCTTACAGATTGTCAAGAACATAACAATGGCCGAGGTCGCAAGTCATGCGAATGCCGACATGCTCAACGAACTCCTCATAGCCAAGCTTCTCGAAGAGGACATGCTAGCTCTGGAAAACGCGCGTGCGGCGGAAGAGTTACAGCTCCACGAAGCACTAAGCACCTCTGCTCTAGCCGCGGGACGCTTTCCAAAGAAAGCGAAAAGTAGTGGCGCTGGCGCAGTAGGCACGATCGACGACGATTTCGTTCTGACTGTCCTGGCAGCGGAGATCAACGCGAACAAGGACGCGCTGATGGCCCAGTCCTTGCAGCATGCGCAGGATAGCAACATGGTCGCTAGTCGCCAATATGCACAGAAGCTCGCCGCCGCAGAGAAGAAGAGTCTTTTAGACGCGGAGTTCGCGAGACGTCTGCAGCTGCAACTAGACGAGGGAGATGATGATGATGATGAAATGAACGACCTGGACGCGGAGAGGTGAAGATAACTCATTTCCCGACGATTGTGGCTCATGGTTCGGCAGTGTTCTTGGCCAGGATGCCATTGAGAACATCATGGTGGGCATGCAGCTCTGAAAGCAGATTGTGCACACCTGACAGACTTCTTGCAGGCGGCGGATATGAACGAGAAAGGCAAGGGGAGGGTGGCACAGTTGAAGCCCAAAGAGAAAGGTTCTATCCCCGACTCCTATGGTCGCGGATTGGTGTTCAGAAAGGAGGAGGGCTCCACAAAGCTTAATCCTGTCTGCGGCATCTGCATGGAGCCTTTCCAAGCGACGTATTCCCCTTCTGCTGCTGCCAGATCAGCAAATTCCTCAGATCGCATACAGTTCGGAACACACCTCACATGCCCGCAGTCTCACGGATACTGCATCTCTTGTCTCAACAACTACATCAATAGCAAGCTTGATCCAGACGGGTCTGGGTTAGGCAACACCAATTCCATCGTATTCCCTATTAGGTGCCCCGAATGCCCTATAAACGACTGGCCAGACGGCCTCACGGACGAAGTCGCCCAAAGAGTGCTGACGGAAGAGGGAATGACGCTCTGGGTGAGTAGCGCAGATCATGTCAAGTAATGATCACATCGACCCCAATGCTGACGTTCGTTTTCAGCATCGCCAGAAGCTTTTGGATAGCATCCCCAAGTACTACTGTCCCAATCCAAAGTGTTCCGAACTCGTTCAGACGGATGAAGATTCCGAAGATCCCCAAGCTATGTGCCCTTCTTGCGATTCCGTCATCTGTGTACCTTGCCGAGTGATTTGGCATGACGGTGAGCCATCTTACAAGCACACACTGGGCGCTCTCATAACCCGTTATAATAGGACTGACTTGCGACGAGTACCAAGTATGAATTGTCTGGTCTCTCCTTGGCGGCCGCGACTGACTTCAAATCGCAGGATCTACCTTTGGATGAGCGATCTCCGGACGATCAAAAGGCTCTTCAACTGATGAAGGTCCGTAAGGCGCTCTTGTCTGCTCGGAAAATGCTGTCTTACAATACCTTTTGCAGGCCCAGAATTGGCGAAGGTGTCCTAATTGTGCGGTGAGTCTGGCTGTCCATTCGTGATCGCTCTGAGAGTCTCACCTCTTCGTTCGTTACAGATCATCGTCGAGCTAACCTTGGGATGCAACCACATCACCTGCCGTTGCAAGACTGAGTTTTGCTTCAGATGTGGAGGTGTGTCCATATAGACTGCGTCGGTAATGTAGCTAACGTTGTCGTCTGCAGCGATTTGGGATGTCCGCAAGGGCTCATGTTCGCGTAGGCCATCTTGCGATCTCTGGGATGAGGACATGCTTCTCGAGGAGCGCGAACGTCAGCGAGAACGCGAACAAGGAAGGCGTAACCGAGGCCGAGCCCCCGTGGTGGTCGTAGCGCCGCCTGCTCCCCCGCCACTATACGAACACCATATTGGCTATGCGGTCGCCGAACACAATGATGACTACGTCCAGAACTTGGACTGGATGGACAATCCCGGTGCGTGTGATTGTGCGTCAGTTGTCTGCACCGAACATGCTGACACTTCCACACCGCCGTGAAGATATCCTCTGCACTCGCCACTGGTTCACGGCGAACATGATCAACTCTCTCACTTGCCAGTATTGCGACGCGAAGCTCAACTCCATAGCTGATTTGCGTTATCATCTAAGTCATGTCCGCTGGCACTCCGTATATGCCTGCTGTGGGCGGTTCTTCAAGCGCGACGTCGACTTTGAGCGGCATTTGGACTCGCCTCACACTAGGCTTGGGTTGCATGCGTACACTTTCCGGCGGAACTAGAGGAAGGGTAGCTAGGTCCCTTTTCTCATTACAATTGTGAATCTGGGTTCTTGGATACAGAGCGCACCGGTATTCACGTGCAAGGATAATCTCTGGAGCAATGTGATGTGATTACGATGCTTGAGCGTGTGCGTGTCTATGATTAAAGCAAGGTGTGCGATGCGATACATGCGGATAGCAGTACTATTAGCCCGATCATAGCATAGTGATATAATGTAGAGCACGCCGGCTCCCCAGCCGGGCGGCCTAGCAAACCACCCAGTTTGAGGACTCATCTAACCGTGTGACCCCGATGCTCACTCTGAGGCAACGCGGCCACGACCTATCCAGTGAGGCTGTCTGTTGCCCCTGGACTCTCTGTCCTCCGCCGACCAACTATCCCCTCTCGACCCTCTGTCCTGCCTTGACCCTCTGTCATCCCTCCACCTGTTGTTCTCCCTCGGACCTCTGTCATCTCGAGACCCCCGTCTCTCCCGCCTGCCACCGCTGATATCGTTCTTCCAGTCATAGGACCGCGAATCGGTGCGCTTGAACTCTCCGGGGTCCCTCCGCTCTTTCAGACCGAAAGGCTTTCTCGAAGACGCACCGCCCCTCGAATGCTGCCGGACAGGTCCACGCTCGCGCCACTCGCGAGGTATGCGCAAGGCGACATGCGAGCCAGTAAGCGCGTCGGCCCATGCTTGAACTCCAGCGAGGGTCGGGCTCTTGTTGGTGCGGCAGTAATCCGAATTGGACGAGTAGAAGGCGAGCATGGTCATCATCGCGTCGGTGACGTCCTCCGTGTTGATGTCCGCCTGGAGGCCGTGCACACTTTCTTCGATGGCCGCAAGGCGGTCGCTGACGCCGTTCGGGAAGCCCTGCCTGGAGGTACGCGCCGGGAAACGGTTGCGAGAGGTGGTCCTCGCGGCATCGGGGAAGACCGCGCTTGGGTCCTCCTCGTACTTCTTGACGAGCTCGTCCACCCGCGCGCTAAGCTCCTTGGTTGTGATTTCCTTCATTGGTACGCCAGCTAGCTCTGTTTCGAGGAAGCCAGCTTCATGGGGAAGGAGAACTATGTCGGCGCGACCGGACATGTTCGAGCCGCGACCCGTACGACCGACACGGTGTACGTAGATATCGCCGCTAGAAGGAATACTAACCTGGATGACGCGCGTGACCCCCGGGTAATCGACGCCACGAGCGGAGACGTCAGAAGTCAACATGACGGTGGACCCCGAGTTATCGACCCTGAACCAGTCCGACGTCTTGACGCGCCTGTCCATAGTCTTCTTCGCGTGCATTTCAGCGAAACGCGTCTGTGGTCCGGCGGGTAAGACGGATGGGCCGATTTGCGTCATGATCGTGCTGTAGAGTTGGACCAAGCGTGTCGTTGGCAAGAAGACGAGCACCTTAGACTTGCCGGGGTTCGCCAGCTGGTCCTCAGCGATGAGGCGAAGGACGTGCGGGAGCTGCTCTTCGGCCTTCGGGACCACCGTGTAGTACTGGGGGATCGCATGGTGGGTTGGTGGGGCGTCGTCCGGTACACAGTTGATAAAACGGTGCTTCTCCGAGAGGGAGTTGCGAGCAACTTTACGGATTGCGTCGGACATAGTTGCAGAGAACATAAATGTCTGACGCTCCGGCGAAGGCTTGAGATGCTCCGCGATGGCCGTAATTTCAGGAATGAACCCCATCTCGAGCAGGGTATCGGCCTCGTCGAGGATGAACTGTATGCTAATGAGTCGCATCACGTGTGGACATGAATCAGTGAGCACGTACCATCTCCGTCGTTCGTAGAGCATCCGCGAAACCACGTTCGGTCTCGATGAAGTCACGGAGGCGACCAGGAGTGGCCACGACGAGGTCCCGCCGTCCCTCCCATCCGCGCCTCTGCTTGTCCTTGGAGAGACCGCCAGTGAAGAGCTTGACCTCGAAGCCCTTCATATGCTTTGTGAGCTTGATAGCCTCGTTGGCAATCTGGGTCGCCAACTCGCGCGTAGGGCTGATGATGAGAGCGCCGACGTGGCGCCTTGCGTACTCGTCGACGATACGGTTGTTGACCGTTGTGCTCTTTTTCATGTATGCCTGCTCAGCCTGCTTCGCGTGTGCCTCGAGAGCGTTCAGCCGAGCCTCAACCGCCGGTACCAAGAATGCCAAAGTTTTGCCAGTGCCCGTGCGCGCCTTAACCATAAGGTCGCGAGGAGGCGCGTCTGTCTCGTCGGGATTGTACGGTCGCACGAGGTCAGGGAGCAGAGGAAGGACGGCGGCTTGGACTGAACTCATGTGAACCAGATTGAACGGATCCCCTGTGAGTGCCTGGAGCGTTTTCGAGTGAATGGCGTCCTTCAAAGCGATGAACTTGGGCTGGTCAGCATTTGGAGTAGGCCGGGTCTCCGCTGCGATACCTGTGGGTTCCGAGACTTCGTGGGGGTGCTCCTGGGATGGAAGCGCATTACGTATGGGAGGTTTGATATGGCTAGAATACCGGATGGCAGAAAGGCGTCCTGCGCGCAGTGCTATAAACCTCTGGGTGAGCATCCAGCGTGACAGCGCGCTTGGGCGACATAGTGACCCATGTCTGTTAAGACGACGTACCGTGCAACCCCAAGGTGCTTGCTGAGCTCCGACATGACCCCGCTGCTGCAAACAGACCGATACCGAGAGATTTTGACCAGAGGGATGCCGCCATGTTGATGGACGCGAAGTCCACGGCGGGGTTTTGGACAAAAGGCTTCGGCGTCTGCACGCGTCTCCCAAAAACCTCGCGAACGGCGCCACAATGCAAATACGGCCAAACAAGTCCGACATTGCCGGTTGGGTGCACGGCTGGACCATCGCGTCGTCTTCATCGCCGCATTTCTCTCTACATCCTCTTTTCTGGTTTCGTGATGTCCTCAAAGCGCAAGTGGGATCAAGCTGCGCCAGAAGCCGACGAAGCGGAGGGCCCTTCAGCTAAGGCCACGAAGGTCGAAGAAGGGAAGTCCGCGTCTGAAGCCGCCGCTGCCGCAGCTGCTATTGCCGCCAAAATCGCTGCCCAGTTCGCCAGCTCTGGGGGAGCGACTCCAGGAACCGGAAACAAGGACCTGCACGACGGGGAATTCACTCATGACATCGACATTAACGACATCAGGAATAGGTACCTCCTTACTAAGGGGTCTACCCAGCAGCAGGTGTGTTCGTCTTTTGGTAGTACTCCGTGACGTGGGGTTTGATCAGTTTCCTTGCAACAGATTCATGATGAAACGGGAGCCTCAATAAGCACGAAAGGCGTATGGTACCCCGACAGGTCTAAGGCGACAGAGAAGGACCCTCCTCTTTACCTCCACATCTCCGCCACCACACAGGAGGTTCTTCAGAGAGCCGTTGACAAGGTCAATGAACTGATCAACACGGACATGGGCTCGTTGGTAGAGGACAAGAGCTCGCGTACGAGGGAGAGGGTACGTGCTGCGGCATCCTTACTTGCTGCAGCTTGACTAACGCTGGGTTAGCGTAAATGGCCCGAAGAGAAAATCCCAGTTGGTATTGAGACCATCAGAAATTTCAATGTCCGCGCCAAAGTCGTTGGACCATCGGTATGCCCAGTTACCGAGTGTTCGATCGTCAGACTTATCTCTATGCAGGGTATGTTTGTCAAGTATATCCAACAGGAGACCGGTACTCGTGTGCAGATCAAGGGTCTTGGTTCGGGATTCGTTGACCAAGAGACTGGTCACGAACATGATGAACCCATGTACATCCATGTAACGTAAGTTTCTTCATGTTGCCCCAAGAATGGCTCTATCTGACCTAGGACCATAGCGGCCCTGATGAGCAGCAAGTACAACGCGCGAAGGCTCTCACTGAGGACTTACTTGTCGTGGTGCGGGAAGAGCACGAGAAGGTGAAGGCGATGCTGGCCCAACAACAGATGGAGCTCCACCAAGCACAAGTCCAGTACGCTGCTTACAATGCTTACGGTGTATGTATGCTCCGCTCATATCTCTGTCTCCTCCGTGCCAGTCTCATATGGCATACAAGTTGCCTTCGCTTGATCCTGGTCTGTATTGCGAAATGGTGTATGAGCTCACACTTTTGTGTTTAGGGTTACGCTCCCCCGCCTCCTGGGAGTGCGCCGCCTCCACCACCGCCTGGTGAGCAACCTCCCCCGCCTCCGGATGGAAGCACTCCGGCTCCGGGTGGTGTCGCTGCGGCTGCGACTCCCGCCGCTGGTCAACATGGAGCTGCTCCTGCTGCAAGTGACTGGGACGCGTACACCGCTTATTGGTAAGTCTCTGGAATGTGTTTCTCGTTCGTTCGTGCTGACGTCGGCGGTACAGGGCTGCGTACGGATACGATGTTAACTCCCCGCAGTTCAAGGAATGGCAGCAGCAGCAATACGCAGCGTACTACGCTCAGGCTGGATACACGCCGGCTGCGACTCCCGGGACGCCAGGGGCTTCGAGCACACCAAGCGCTCCGGGATCTGCGCCGCCTCCGAGCGAACCAGCCCCTCCCCCGCCTCCCCCGGCATAATCGGTCGTGTATCCGCTTACTGTGCATGAACGTAAGGTCGGTATCTAATAGGTATATGCTACTATGTACTGTAGTACCGCAGAGAACGGGATGTGATTGGCGGTTCGATGCATTTGAGTGCTGGGAATCCGGAGTTAACTCGATTACCGCGCGTGGGACTCTAGCTCAAACCTCGGCGCAGATCATCGCACAGGATGGAAACGGAAGATCGATCATTGTATGTGTGCGATGATAGGCATTCGGACAGACTGCCCGAGAGCTGGTCGAAGGCCACGAACGGGGTACCTGGCTGTTGTGGTTTTCGCACCCATGTCGTCCCTCAACTTCCTAGGTGCTTGCGCCGGTCACCAACGATTCACTACACTGCTTCGGGATTTCGCAGTAGCTCCACTGAGGGCGCTCAGAAAGTCTGGCAGCTTGCCTCTTCTCGTCAGCCTCCCCTCTTAAGCTTGAACCCAAAGCTCTCCCGGATACACACACGTCCTCCTACACGACTGCCGCGCCATGGCAGTCTCGGTATGGCTCACGCTGCTCGCCAGCATCCCTCTGCTGTTCTACCTCTATGTCCGTGCGAACGACGCCAAGATTGCGCAGCTCCCGCCTGAGGCTGTTGCGTTCTCTCCCAAACGCTGGACCTCAGAGGATGTGAGACAGACCGCGAGGTCTGCGGCTCTTACGAGTCCATCGGTATCCTTGTTTTCGCCAGACGAGCTCCCGCCTAAGACGGGGCGGAGGTATGTTGTGGTTGGCGGGGTGAGTTCTATTCTTATCCCGCGACCTCTAGTCGCCTGCACCGGCAGTGTACATCATGTGTGCGTGAGCAGTTGGGGCTGACGTACCGACGCTGTGGTATAGGCAGGCTTCTTGGGCGGGTGGATAGTCCTACACCTCATCGCGCGCGGGGAGGACCCCCGCCGTATCCGAATCCTCGACATCCGTCGTCCTATTCGTCAAGATCTCCTCGAAGGGCCTGCGACCCAGGTAGACTTTTGCCAAGTCGACATCTCAAATGCCGCTGCTGTCGAGGAGGCGTTCCGTAAACCCTGGGCAGACCGCCATGACGACCCCGAGCCCGAGCTCACTGTCTTCCATACAGCGGCCATCATCCGCTTCTACGAGCGCGAGGAATCGCTTCAGCCGTATTCGGATAGGATCAACGTCTCTGGGACGCAGAACATTATCGCGGCTGCGCGTAAAGTAGGGGCGTCCACGTTCGTTTACACGTCCTCTGGTTCAGTCGCAGTCAGGAGCAACCGCTTCTTCCGTTGGCCTTGGGAGGGTCCACCAAAGTTCTTCGTACAACCCATCAACGATGATGATGAATTAGTGCCAAAACGGCACGAAGACTTCTTCTCAAACTACGCCCATTCTAAGTGGAAGGCCGAGCAGTTCGTGCGTGGTGTAGATCGTTCTCCCTCCGGCAACGGCGTCATGCGTACAGGCTGCATTCGTCCAGGAAATGGTATCTACGGCCCAGGCGGTGACCTCATGCTCGACGCATACATGCATCGGAAGCAGAACCCGAGCTGGATTTGGAACATCCTCCAGTCCTTCATTTATGTCGAGAATTGCTCCGTCGCGCATCTCGCCTACGAGCAGCGCCTCATCGAGCTCGCGCGCGGCAGCACGCACCCGGACATCGGTGGGCAGGCGTTCTGCATCGCGGACGCTGGCCCCCCGCCGACGTATGGGGAGATCTACCGCGGGATGACAGAGCTCACGGGCGGGGAGGTGACGTTCATGCGACTCTCGGCGACGGCGATGCTCGCATTCGCGACGCTGATTGAGGCGTACTACCTCGCTCGGCATGCGATTCTGCGCTTTCCGCCGCCATTCTCTGCCCTTGCGAAGCTCGTGCCAGCGTTGGGCGGGGACATCGTCTACCTCCAGCCGTCTATGTGGTCCCTGACGCAGGTGCACCTCATCTTTGACGACTCGCGAGCTCGCGCATCGCCAGCCCAGGGTGGTCTAGGCTACGACGGGCACGTCACGACGCTACAGGGTATGTGCAAGGTCGTCGTGGAGCACAAGAAGAACGGAAGCAAGACGCAGAAGCGGGTCATTGCTGGCCACCATACGCCGGATCACCACTTCGATCTGACTAGAGCGGAGAAGGGCGTGGAGGAGGTGATCGAGAAACTCGGGGGAGGGCACAAGCCGGACACGAAGTCACAGGTTGCAGAGTTGCAGTATTGATTGTGGTCATTCGTGATGGCCGTGGATGTGAGTGCCTTTGACACTGGTACCCGCTTGCATGTATATACCCCTGACTACTATGACGCAAGTGCATGTAGGATTGGATTTGCACGCTATCGTTTGTGTACATGTGGAATCAAGGACCTGACTCGACGCGTTGCATGGCTCTATCGCTGTAGAGACCCTTCACGTTGTTACCTTTTGCAGCATAACATATCTTGGTGTCTTGGTTTTCTACTCGGGTTCGGCACAGGTGACCTACCGACCGTATGGCACCCCGCAGAGGGCTCTGACTGCAATGCGACGGTCTCTCACGGGAACGCAGCGCGAGGGGGTCGGCCTGTCCCATATTTATTGGTTGAGGCGTCGCCGACTTCGTTGGTGGGTATCCGAGCTGGATGGCCCCACAAGTTTCTCTTTTGACTATGCATGGTGTTCGTATCTTGTCGTCCGCATCACGCTACCCTTGTTGATCATGAAGGCGAAATCAGTTTAGCCCTACCGCGCGTTGGAGAACAAGGCAGCCGTGAGAAGGGTGTTCTAATCGCAGTCGAATCTCCGTCAGAACGAGATCATGCCACACATTCGCCACCTGACTCCAATCGCCGCAGTCACAACAATTGGTAGGTATAGCGTCTCCCAGAGCTCGAGAGGATATGGAATGGAAGCCGTTGCAAGGACCCCCTCATTCTCTGGTGAATACGGCGTCTGCCCTTTCTCGTTCGAAATTACTGTTGCCCGTACCATGTTTTCCCTCAGTACACTCTGAAGTGAAGGCTATGGTTCCCTGTTCAACTTCTTGTGAGTACTCAGTTCTGAACCACACGCAGCAAAAAGCAACGGCTGATTCCCACTGAAATATCTTTGAAAAGTGCTGTGTCGTCGCTATCCTACCCAGCGCGGGTGCGTCTCAAATCTCCCATCCGGATTTTGCACTGACGTCCCAGCCACAGCAGTCTCTTCTGCCTTACGGGCATACGCATTCAGCGGCAAGCATGAAGGAATCGCTTCAGTCGTTTTCTCCCATGAGTTTACTCTGGTGCAGTGGTCTGAGATACGGTCGTGCCATTAGATGACGTCCAACATCACGGAATACGAGAGCAAGTGAAGAGAGCCCTCCGATATGCCGAGGGATTGACTTGACAACGGCCACCTCCTTCTCTGATAATTCGAGAAAGTAGGGCAGGTAAGATGTACGCGTGATGAACGTAGTGAGGAGCGAGGTGTTATGTGCGGCCTCGGCTGTCGGCAGGAGGTGGACCTGTAATTCATGTGTCTTTTCGATGGTGGAACACCTACAGTTGGACGTCCGACTTCTTGGAGGGGCAGGAACATCGGCAGACATGCATAGGGACTTCCACAGTTAGTCCTGCAATTTTCGGTGCAGTCGCTTTATGGATGATAGTAAGCCGGGAGAGATGATCTTGAGTCTGCTCTATCCGTGCAATGTATATCGCGATCCGTCCTGTGGTGACGGCCTGCATGTGAGAAAGGGGGAGCCCGACTGGATCTTCCAATAATTGAACGCCTGCTATAGTCTGGGATGCGCCGCGCATCTCCATAACTCTGTTTCTTGCGTACGCCAAGGTAGAGAGTAATATACCAATAGATTCTGTGCTCGAGAGTGTGATGTAAGGAGTGTTGGCAGCCCTAAGCAAAATGTGAGCAAATAGGGTGGCAGTGGTTTGCAACAAAGTTGTTGTGGGCGCGTAACCTACTGTCTGACGAAATATTGATGGCTGTGACTACGCGCCCACCGCTGTCGCACAACTTGGACCCACCCGACGACAGACACGACTTGCACGACCTCAGATACTCTCCTCTGTGGCAACAAACTCGCGTCCACTAGCCATCTGACTGCTGAAGTCTTCAATTCTCTGGTTCCCGCTGAGGATTGTTCTCGGTTGAATGTCCCCACGACACTCCTCTCTCCTCGTTGCCCTGCTCCCTTTATTTTACGGGGTGCTAATATTACAAACTTACGCGCACACTATCGGAGAGTCGGATACACGGTCGAACATGGGAATTTGGGGAGCAAACGGAGTGGCTGGGAAGGCTCCGAAGAAGGGTCACGTCCCGCTGGACGTCGACGGCTATCCTGCTGCTCCCGCCGAATTAGAGTTGCAGCAAGTCCATGTTTATGTTCGCCATGGTACGTCTTCTGGAGTTGTTCTCTTTGTAAGCCTTATTGAGTAGCGGACATGGCTCGTCTACGTAACTCGAATGCTAGGTGAACGCGCGCCCGTCGGTATCCGTATGGCCGGACCACCCGCAAATCTTCCGGAGCACTGGATGTTCTGCCATACGGCGCGTGAATTTCGCGCGGCGGTTGCCAGCGTAGCATCCGGCGACAGCTTCTCTGCCTTCCCGCCTATCCAGGACGAGCTCAAGGCGGAAGAGCTACGCGTACGCCGCGTCGTAGAACGGCCTGATGGTACAGCCGCGGTCGGTGAATGGTGAGTAACTGATTCGGTCCTGCATTGCTGAGCCTTCATTGCCTGTCCTGTTCGATGGCTGATGAATGGCTAGTCTGCTTGGCGAACTTACGGATATCGGGCGCGAAGTGAGTGCTCCTCATCGCTTGGCTATCTGCGCATGCTTACCATACAACTAGTCTACATATAATTTCGGAAGCAATCTTAGGAAGCTTTACATTGATAGGTTCGTCGAATCTACGATGCCAACATCTCATACGGCACGTACTGACGCACTCGGCTTGAAGATTGAAGTTCCTACCCGATGTCGTGCGCTCGAATGACGAATTATACCTGCGCTCCACGAATATGCCCCGGACCATTGAGTCTCTGCAACAAGTCATCCATGGGTTATATCCAGTGTCAAAGTCTGCTGCCGACTTTGTACCACTCTTGAGAATCCGGTGAGTCTGAGTGTCTGGCAGGCAGGTGAGTATCCCTGCGCAATCCAAAATGAACTGACCTGGACCGCTCAGAAACGGCAAGGATGAGAATCTGTTCGGAAACACGCTCGCTTGCAAGCGTCTTGAAGTCCTACAAATTGGGTTTGCGCAAGGTGGCATATATTTGACTCGCTCGGGAACAGTTCTTGTACTGATTGACGCTCAGCTGCCGCCGCGGCTTGGAACAGTACGTTAGAGCCCCTGGATAAGAAATTATCCAAGTACATTGGTGGGAACCCCGTACGTCTTGATGGGAAACCAAGGGCCTCCGGTATCCTTGATACGGTACGTTCGCTCGCTTCTACTTTGGTAGTCTTCGCTCAACTGGTATGGAAGATCCGTGCCGCAGACGCACATGGTGTGGAAGTGCCGCCAGAATTCAAGGAGGAAGGCGTCTTGGATACTATTGTAGGCGCTAGTATGTTGTGCGTCGTCGTAGCTTTGCTCACCGTAGGACCTCTGTCTGCAGGAGAAGGCTGTGGTCACTGAATGGTTCGCCGGGTGTGAGACGCCCAATTTACTCGTGCGGCTGACGGAAGTGATGCTGAGTGGACCTTGGCTTGGGAATAGACCGTTCAGAGGAAGTGCGCAGGCTAGGCATGGGTCCCTTACTGAGCGACTTGGCGCGCAAGATGCAAGTGAAGGCCGAGAAAGGTGACGCCGATCCCACCAAGATCCTCATCCACAGCACGCACGATACTTGCCTTGCTGGTCTGTCAAACACTTTGGACATCTTTGACGAGAAGTCTGTCCTCCACGTCTGCGTGTGTATCATATTGTCTAATGCCTATGTCCTGACAGGTGGCCAGCTTTTACGGCAGCTGTGACTTTTGAGCTCTTCAAGTCACGTCAGCCTGCGACGCCGCCAGCCTCAACATGGCAGAGCCTGTTCTCCATCTTTACTCCCGCGCAAGGGACTTCGGAGCATTGTGCGTGTAATCGTTATGCTCGCTTGGCAGGACGCTGATCCCTTCCAGACGTCCGTGTACGGTACCAAAACCAGAACAAGCCGCTGCCGCTCTGCGCGGAGGAAGGAAAGCACCTTCCTGGTCATCCCGAGTTCTGCACGCTCGCCGCATTCCGCGAGCGGGTCAAGGAGCTGACGCCAGACGACTGGGAGGCAGAGTGCACTTTCGTTCCGGGGAACAAGGAGAAAGATCGTGAAGCTGCGCAGGCGGCTGCCGCTTTGACAATCGCCAAGCCTTGACGCGTTTCTTTTTTAACGCCCCATACGACGCTGTTTGGTGCAACGCTGTGGACTCAGTCTGAGTCTCTTCGTGTTGTTCGCGTCAATTTAGAGTGTTCAATGTAGCTCATTCGGGTCGTATAGATACCTTCGTATATCCTTGGTCTGAGACCTGATCATACCATTCTAATGTCCTGTCCCCTTGCCGCCCTGGTCCCGTCCGGTCTCGTATGCTGTACCTATCTTTCTCTTCTACTCATATAGAGGATATTGCCCTGGAGCCTAAACACGATTTACCCAAATACTTTTAAACACTGGGTATCAGTTGCGGTCCCTGCTGAAATTCCCCTGAGTTGGACCAGCCAGTGATCCTTACACGCGGAGTGTATATCACCGAATCTCGGCAGGGGACGAGCCTATAGAGCTTTACAGCCTGTTTCAAACATCTGGAAGCAGGGGTCGGACGGGGTCCGATTCCTCTTTCCGCCGTCCGACCCTCCCTTCCGGGTTGTCGACGTCGCACCCTAACCCCATGAGTCAGACGTTGGATCTGGTGTCGGCAAGACTGCCCCTTGCTTGATTCGGTCTGTTTGGAGGACGTCCGTAAGTAGAGCCTCATGGAAAGTCATCCACTTTACAACTCTCCCATCCGAACCCAGGCCGTCCGATCACGATGCCACGGTTGCCTGCGTGTCCGGGCACGGTCCGCCGTGGGCGCTACCCCGCATCCAGAGTCTGGGGTAGCAGCCACCGTTAAGAATGCCGTCGTGACCTCGTCCGTCCCCTCGATCCCCCGTTGTATACCACAGGATTCAGGTGCTGATTGACAGGCTCAACGACGATGCACAGAGCTTCGGCGAGCGCACGCACACGCCCCGCGCTGCGGCGTCTCTCAACTGCACCCCTGTCTGGCAGCTCTCCGTCGAGGTCTCGTCCCCTGCTGGCGCGCTCGGAAGTCGCGGGGCCGACACACACGCCGCTGGTCGAGAAGACGTTGCCGGTGTACTTCCGGGACGACGTTCTGCGCGTGCACGGCTCGCGCCCCGCCCTGATCGCGCGGAAGGAGCAGCCCCGGCCGTTCGGGGGCCCGCGCGGGCGGAACCTCGGGGACGCGTCGCACCTCGCATGGGACTTTGGGGAGTTCGATCGGCACATACAGGCCCTTGCGCGGGGCCTGTTGAGCATGGGCGTGAAGAAGGGAGATCGGGTGGGGGTGATCATGGGGAACAACAGGTGCGTGGCGGGTGTCGAGCTGTTGTCGACGGCTGATGGATGTTGCGGAACAGTGCGTATGCGTGTTTGCAGTGGGCGTGTGCGAGCATAGGTGCCATACTTGTTACGCTGAACCCGGCCTATCGGCTGCCTGAGCTGGTGAGTGCATGACCGTATCTGTCTTTCAGGGATGCAAGTATATTCTACTGCCCACAAGAGAACGCGACTTAGGCGCCGAAACGCCGCAACGTCCCCGTCGCAAACATATTTTCCTATGGGTCTCGCTGAAGGCGTGCGCCACAATATAGGACCTGAATGAATTTCCAACATCTGCCCTAAATCCTCTTCGGGCCTTCTCTATATACACTTCACCCTGCCCCTCGCCTGAACCACGGTAGCACAGGTCGAGGAAGAGCCATGTCACTGACGGCCTGAAACCCCGCAGGTGAACACCCTGAGCCTGGTCGGCGCGTCCCACCTCTTCGTCGTCCCGAGCGTCCGCACGTCCGCGTACGTCCGCATGCTCCGCGACGCGTTCCCCGCGCTCGCGAACTCGCACCCGGGGGACATCCAGGAGCCCGCGCTGCCCGCGCTGAAGAGCCTCGTCGTCGTCGACAACACGGGGGACATCGCCCGGTTCCGGCAGGAGATCGACGGGGTCCGGCCGGCGGTCGACCTCCGCGAGGTGCTCGTCTGGCGGGAGGACGGGGCGGAGCGGAGGGCGGTCGAGGAGCTCACGGCGGGCCTGGACAGGGAGGACGTCACAAACATGCAGTTCACCAGGTCTCGTCGACGCGTGCTCCGCTTTCTTTCTGGACGTGCTTATGCTGACGGCTCGGTCGGTGCAGCGGGACGACCGGGGCGCCCAAGGCGGTCGCTCTGACACACCGGAACCTGCTGAACAATGGCATCGACATCGGTCGTTGTATGCGTCTGACGGAGAAGGACGTCGTTTGTATGTTGCTACGGTCGCTCGGTTTTGGTGGATGGCACTAACGGCCGCATCTTGCTATTGCAGGCAACGCCCCGCCGCTGTTCCATTGCTTTGATAAGTCACCCTCAACTGGCTTTTCCATATGGTTCACCCTGGCTGACTGTACATGACGTCTATACGCCTTGTCCTAGGGAACCTCGCGGCGTGGACTCACGGGGCATGCATTGTATACCCCTCCGAGACATATGACCCACCATCGATCGTCGACGCCGTCACCGAGGAACGCTGCACTGCGCTGCATGGCGTCCCGACCCACTTCCTCGGGGTCCTGACGGAGGTGCAGAGGAGGCTAGACGAGGGCAAGACGGTCGACGTTCGGAACCTCCGGTACGCGCATTACATCGCAGTTTGTGACCGGACGATTGCGTGAACACTGACTGCTCGCCGTGCCGCCGGCAGGACGGGCATCGCGGCAGGATCTCCGGTGCCGACAGACCTAATGAAGCAGCTCATCGAGAAGCTGAACCTGACGGAGCTGACTGTCGCGTACGGCATGAGTGAGTGCGCGCTCCCGCCACACTTCTCTCCTTCTTGCGAGCCGGCTCTGACCCTTCTTGCATCTTCTAGCGGAGACGAGGTGGGGCAGCCCTCGGCACTGGCTTCTAGTGCGGCCAACTGACGAGCCGTCCCCAGCCCGGTGACGTTCCAGAGCACGACGGACGACCCAGTGATTAAGCGCATCGAGACCGTGGGCAGGGTCATGCCGCACGTGCGGGCGAAGCTCGTCGATCCCGACGGGCAGGTCGTGCCCGTCGGCAAGCCCGGGGAGCTGCTCACCGCCGGGTACCCGCTGCAGAAGGGGTACTGGAACGACCAGGAGCAGACGGACCGCGTCATGAAGCGGGACGCTGAGGGCACCCTGTGGATGCACACGGGCGACGAGGGGATCATGGACGAGGAGGGCTATCTCCGCAGTAAGTTGCGGTTCCGAGTTGACGTGGGACGCGACTAGAGGCTGACGCGCGTGGGGGGTGGACAGTCGTTGGCAGGATCAAGGACATCATCATTCGAGGGGGCGAAGTGAGTGCGCGTCGTACTGTTTCACCTGCGGATCTCTAATCGTCTGCCGGATGCCAGAACCTCTTCCCGGTACAGATCGAGAACGTGCTCACGGCACATCCGGAGATTCGTGAAGCTGCGGTGGTCGCGGTGCCTGACGCGAAATACGGCGAGGTCGTCGGAGCGTGGATCGTCAGGGAGGGGAGCTCGGGCATCTCGAAGGAGCAGGTGAGGCGCGTCGTCGCGGAGGGCATGAACCCGCAGGTGCGTCGTATCTTGGACGGTGGCCGGTATCGTCGTGCGCTCATTTCGATGCTCTCTGTGCCTGTCCCGGCTGCTCGCGTCTTTGTGTGTCGGATGCGCGATCAGAATGCGCCGGCGTGGGTATGGTTCGTGGGCGAAGACGGAACGCCCGAGGAGCTGCCGAAGACGGCGAGCGGGAAGGTGCAGAAGCACATCCTGCGGGGCTGGTCGAAGGAGCTGGCGGGGAAGGGCATTGGCGCGGTCGGGCGGGCCTCGTCGTGAGGTCGGTAGCAGCTGTCGCGAAGCGTACGTGGATCTATCCCGCTTGGCTTGGAGAGGAAGAAGAAACGGGAAGAGGAGGCGGTGCTTGTATCATATTCATATCTTGTATACAGTATGCGATGACGTCGACACGGCGCATGTGGTCGGAGGCGGAGGATTCGGGATTCTTTGAGGGTGAGCGCGGCGATGGACGAGATCTTCTATGTCGCCAAACGGGGGTCCTGATAACAGCCCGGATGACGCACCCGTCGCGCGCACTCCCAGCCAAAACTCGTGGCCACCTCCCGGAACGGAAGGAACGCGTTCAGTCACAGGTCACGGGTGTGTCGCGCGCAGCCCCGTTTAGGGAAGAGGACGCTCGGTAGCCACGCGGGGGACGCGAGCCGGGCTGCCGACAGGGGTCCTATGATGTCACGGCCCGGAGAACAGAGAGCGACAAACGACTGGCAAGGCTGTCCTCAAATTCTCTCCGTCCAGTGGCGCTCTTCACGCACAGATAAAGATCAGCCACGTCCCACATTCCGTCCCCATCTGCGCAAGCAAGCAACTCTCACCGCTACTCCCACCATCGCCCGTGTCGTCCTCGCCAGCCCACTCCCCGTCGCCCAGCATGCCCGAAGGAACAATGAAGGCGTTGTACTACAGCGCAGTACGTCTTCGTATCTCTTCCCACGTGCCATCGTCCCCTCTAACCCCTACCGTCCTCCAGCCCCAGAAATTCGAGATAAAGGAGGTGCCCATCCCCAAGTGTGGCGATGACGATCTCCTCCTCAAGGGTATTGTACCAGTCCCTCGCCGCCTTCACGCACCTCGGAGCGCTCAGTCTGATCGCATATAGTCACCCTCTGCGGTGTCTGCGGCACGGACGCCCACATTCATGACGGAGAATTTATCGCCAAGTTCCCTGTACGTGATTGCGGTTGCTATCTGCACCCATGCGATGCAACGGGTGCAGTCGAATGCAGCAAGCTCGCTTACGTCTACGCCTATACGTAGCTCATTCCGGGCCACGAAGCGATCGGCCGTGTTGTCGAGAAGGGCAAGAACGTGAAGAACTTCGAGATCGGCGACCGCGTCGTCGCAGACGTTGGTATCTCCGTAAGTCCGCTCTCGCAAACTCCCGACTAACATCGGCGTCTTGGCGCACGCATATACTCACGTCGATCTCCTCGTACTCAGTGCGACAACTGCTTCTACTGCAGGCGCGGCAACGCCGTTCTATGCGAGAACTTCGACGCGCGGGGCGTCACCCTCGATGGAGGCTTCGCAGAATACATCGTCTACCACCAGCGCAAGTGCTACGTGATCAAAAACATCTCCGATGAGGAGGCCACCCTTCTCGAGCCCGCGGCATGTGCTCTGCACGGCCTCGACAAGCTCAACCCACCAGTCGGCATCGAGGTCCTCCTCCTTGGTGCCGGCCCCACTGGCCTCATCCTCGCGCAGCTCCTCAAGCTCAATGGCGCGCACCGCGTCGTCGTTGCGGCGAACAAGGGCATCAAGATGGACATCGCGAAGCAGCTCAATGCTGCCGACGAGTACATCGAGCTCGACCGCCAGAACCCCGGCCCGCAGTGGGAGCAGCTGAAGAAGGACAACCCGTACGGTTTCGACGTCGTCGTCGAGGCCACGGGCGTCGAGAAGCTCGCGAACGAGTCGATCAACTACGTCCGCCGAGGAGGCACGATCATGATCTACGGCGTGTACGAGAACAAGGCGTTGGTCCACTGGCCGCCCTCGAAGATCTTCGGAGACGAGATAAGGGTGCGTACATGCGTCCTCGTGGAATTTGTAGCTTCTGGGGGCGTGAAACAAGCTCAACTGTGTCCTGCGTGTAGGTCATTGGTTCCTTCTCGCAAGCATACTGCTTCCCGCGTGCGGTTGCCTACCTGGATAGCGGGAAGGTCAACGTGAAGGGCATGGTACGTTGCGCTCACGTTTATCTCGGTCGAGACTGTCGCTCATCTGGACCTTCATACGTAGGTCACGGACATCTTCAACCTCGACGACTACCAGGCTGCGCTCGACAAGATGAGCAGCCGTAGCGCGCTCAAGATCGCCATTAAGCCTTGAACCTCGAAATATTGACTCATATGTGTAGATTCGCATAGTGTACGTTCACCAGGAGCATAAGCGCATTGTATCAATATCCGCTTCCCCATCGATTGGCGAGAATGCATATACCCCTGCAGATGATGTCGAACAGCTTTGGAGTCGATCGAAGGGTTGAGGTCGACTGAGTTTTATAGCAACTAGCCATACACTAGGTTCCATAAGAAGTCCTTGACGCAAAGCGTGGGTCCGAACAGGCAGTGTATGTATTGGTATACAGAGGTATGAACGTGTGAAAGGGACCGATCGCATTCCGTGGAGCCTGTGCCTCAGGCCAACAAGCCCGTATTACGGCGGTGGACCCGCAGTCAAGAAACGTGGCCGGGGCCCAGTGCTGGGAAGACGGTCGCAGCCGATCTTCTACGAGAACAGGTCGACAAGGATGGTGATTATGCCCAGGACTGCGGAGGGGGAGCGGGAGAAGGGGTTCATGTATCATCAGTCAGGCTCGCGGACCGGCAGCGCGGACAGGCAACGCACCGATCTCGACCGCGATGAGCGCGATGACGATCTGCTCGAGGCGCTCGGCATGGCGCGAGGTGACGGTCTCCTTGAGGAGCTGGAGCATGTCCTGGAGGACCTCGACGCGCGCGTTGAGCAGGTCGATGCGCTGCGGGATCTCGAGGTAGGACCGGGCGGCGTCGTAGAGCGGCTGGAGGTCCGGGTACGTCTGTTGCCGGCGGCGTTAGCGTTCTGGTGCACGAGGTGTGATCGGGAACAAGGGGGAGGGGAGGGGGGTGGAGAGGCCCAAGAGAGTTTGGGGTTGGGCGCACGCGTGCGTCTGTTGGAACAAGAGCAAGATAAACGTACCCAAAAGACTTCCTGGAAGGCGTCGGGAGGCCACGCGTGTGAGAGGCTACCATAAGGGGTATTCAGAAAGACCGTGGCTGGCCACGCACCGGTGAGTCGAGCACTGAGCCGACAGAGTTGATGTTGGTGCGGAGCAGGAAGAGCTCCCCGATCTTACGCATGATCTCCTTGTGGTTCATGTCGATCTTGCCCGTCTCGCTGATGATCTCTGGGATGTCCTTCGTGTCCTCTATCGTCGCTGATATCAGGTTCTCGAACTGGGTCGGCGCTGTCAGACGAGGTTTTGGACCTCCAAACTCCGAGATGAAGGCCTACCAGGGATATCTTCACGGACTGTGCGAGCGCGTGTGACAGTGAGAGCTTCGTCCTGTTACGAAACACATGAGGTACAATCGTGCAGGAGCGATGAGCCGGACTGACATGTAACTCGAGCCTTTCCGTAATGTTATAACATCGTTGTAGATCCTGGACCACGATTTGCATCAGCGGATTGAGTTCTGCGAGAACAGATCGCACGGTGAACCACTTGCCGACTGTAGCTCGCGTAATAGAAGTTGAGGTCCTCCATCTCAACGTCTTGCGGCGCTACAAGTTTGCTCGTCTCTTTCATTTTGACATTCCTTGACAGGGTCGAGACGTACCTAGCCGCTCGACTTCAAATCGCTTTCTACGGTGAGTTAGCGAAGATGCATGAGGTAGCGTAGAGCAAGACGCTCACAGTGACGAGAGGAATCTCTTCTCCTGTGCTTCTGTCATGCCCCAGATCACGACCGTGCCGTACTCGAAGATGAATATCTCCGCCTCTGTAGGCGTTTCAGCGAACTTGCTCCGTTTCCTGCCCTTGTCATTAGCGTGCTCAGACGCCTCTGCGTCCAACTGCCCTTGTGCCCCGGTCCCTGACTGCCCAGGCGCGAGCTCGGGGACGCCGAGAAGGTCCCCCGTTCTGCTCTGGTGGTGGGAAGACGGGGTTTGGAAGTGCACACGCGTGTGGGTGCCAGACTGGGCAGAGGGCTGCGCGGAAGGGGGTTCGTAGACGTATGGGGTGTAGATCACGTCGACGATGATTCGAGGGTTGGTGTGGTACGAGCCCCGTCGCGCGTTGAAGAACTTCATAAGCTCCGGGAAGCGGTAAGAGCTGTCCAGACCGCGTCATGGATACACGCATCAGCGTTTCCATCGCAGGGCGCCGGTTAGGCATGCGGATATAGCAATAGGTTCGTAAGAGGAACGTACCTTGCAGTCGCATAAGCGGTAACCCTTGGGAGAGACTTCGCCTTCTTCTTCGTGAGGCGAATTGCGTCCCTGCGCGCCGTCCCGGCGGGTATGAGGTCGATTTGGTTGTACACCTATGTCGTAAATATAACATGCCACGAGAGGGCGAAGATGGTCACGCGGTCAGAGTCGAGACTGGACGAAAGCTCCATGCGTCGAAAAGGAAGTACCACGACGTACCTCAGCGTCGTCCGGCTCGTCCTCCTCGTCCGCCTCTTCATCTTCGCTGTCCGCGAGGGTTCCCGAGCCTTCGCCAGTTTCGTCCACCTTAACTCTTGGAGGAGCTGACGGCTGTACGACCTTGTCCTTTTCGAGGACCGGTTCGGCGTGCTCTGGCAGGACTTTCAGCTTCCCTGCAACCTTGGTAGATCGGTTGGCGCCGCGCGCTTTGCCCTCTCCAGAGCCTGCTGATGCCAGCGGCGGCGTCTTAGAGGTCGCTTGGCTTGAGGACATTGCCGATGTCTTTGCAGAGTGTGTCGCTGTTGTCAAGGCCGGAGACTGTCCAGACGGGTTGTCTGCGCACGGTGGCGGACGGAGAGAGTGGGAGGCTCCCGCGTCCCGGTGAGCCGGGTATGATCTCATACACAAAGCCAACAAAAGCCCTCGGCGTTTACGCGCACTATGGCCCGTAGCACGCGTTCTTATCGTGACAACGTCCGGAGTTATAATGCCGACTATCCTCCTTCATTAGGAAGGTAAGAAACACGTTCTAGTCGGCTTTATTACCACATTACGTCTCAACCCTTCCTCGCGGCCTAGGCCCGGACTGGGCGTCAACAGCTCAGGTCGCTCTTGGACTCGTCCATCCTCGTTGCTTCTTGCTTGCTTCTTCCACGACCCCGGCTTTGAATGTACGACTGCTAAACCCAGGCTCTCAGAAGGGCACTGGAGGTTTCTTCGGTGACAAATGCCAGGCAACGTGGATGGTTCCATAGATGCGGGACTACCTCCCGACGACCAGGAACACTTCTAGTGAATACAACAATACCACAGTATGCGCCACAATGCTCTAATTGACGTCTTGGGACAGCTCCGTCCTCAATCTTCCCAAGACTGCTTCCGATCAGGAGATTCGCGAACGCTACAGGCAGCTATCAATTGTATTCCATCCGGACAAGCAGGTCGACGAACGTCGTAAAGAAGCAGCTACACAACGTTTTCTTGAGGTGCAGAAGGCGTATGAAGGTACGTATTCAATACACGACTACAGTTGGTTGCGTGTTCTCGGCCCACAACCTATTTTCAGTCCTGTCCGACCCAGTCACGCGGTACGCACATCGTTCCTAACGCGTACACCCCTCCGACTCGTGCTCACCCCGATGAAGGCGTGCATATGACATTCTAGGTCTGCCTTCCCAGCCATGCCCGTCATCTGTAGTTAGACAGGCTGACGCTCGGCCAGTGCAGGCCCGGAAGGCTTGCAGCTCCTCCAATCCGCGGATTTCAAGCACGTCGCAGAAGAGGAAGTAAGCTGCGCACGTCCCTCTGCGAATAACGCCGCTTCTGACGTAAAAATACTCGGTGATAGTTTGAAGACGCGCTGCGGCGGCAGCAGCGCGAGCAGGCAAGACTGCGCGTTGAGCAAGCTGTGCATCCCAGGGGTAACATCACGATTGGGTTCGACGCGTCGTCTTTGTTCGACGATGAATATGAAGCTGCAGACGGCTCGCTGGTGTCGCCGTGGCAGAACTTCCTCTTCGCACTACATGACGTGAGGAAGAACAAGTTTTCCGTGAGGCACCGCATCCAGGCAGGTCTTGCGATCCTTCGTAGTGTCTTCGAGAGCTCTGATGGTCGGTCGTGTAGACAGAAGTCAGCAAAAAGACATGGCTGGTGCTGGCTAGTCGAGTCACACTCGGGTCTGGGTCGGGCAACCGGCCAGGTGGATATGTTGGGTCAACCATGATGGGAACCGTACGGCATCACTTTTCCCCTCGTCTGGATTTTGAGGTTCGCGTCCTTCTCCTGCTAACGGTTGGCTCCGGCTCAACTTCTGCATACCTGACAGGCAACGACGAGCCTTCTGTCCGTTTCCGGCCTCATTCTGAAGAGCACATATCGAACGGACGACTACGTCGTCACATGCCAGTCTGAATTGAGCTCTGCTTTCATCGCCCAACCCTTCAGGCCTAGGAGGGACGGACCGCTGCTGCTACCACCCCTGAGCATATCAGTGTTCCGGCGTTTGTTTCCGAAATCCCCCACGCAGGGTATGCTGGAAGCTTCTATCTCCCCTGCAGGCCCCAGAATTGCCATCGGTGTGACGTCCTCGGCTTTTCACGACAGTTCGCCTGATCGAGTAATCGACGACGAGCCATCAGACACGGAGTCACCCTTCCGTGCGCCATCTTCGTCGGGCCTCGCGCTCTATTCCAGCGACTGGCAAATCGGCTTCGACCTTGCAGGTCTTGGCTCTGGTTTGAACGGTCGTTGCGGCATAACATTGCTGGAACTTGGCGTGACGTTACAGACGGTGCTGCGTCTTGGTTTCGCTGGCTTCACATGGTTAGCTGGTGGCGACTGGCGCGGTAACAACGCTGCTATAGGAGTAAACGTCAGTGTCAATTCTGACGGGGTTGTCGTTCGTGTGGAGTACGTACAGATTCGTTCCGCGTGTTCCCGTCAAGTCTAACAGACGTACAGCGCGACGTACCACGGCCAGACTTTAACCCTACCTATAATTCTCTCCCACGAACACAACCAGAGCGTGGGCCTCTGGGCCGCCGTACTGCCATCTACCGTAATGGCTCTGGTCTATTACTTCAGGTTACGGCCGCGATATCGCAAGCAGAGGCTAACGTTTGTGTCACATCGTCCTCTCGTACGGCGTGCCATAACTCCTATGCTTTGTCTAGGTATCTGCAACAAGCGCGCCAACAGCTGCGTGAAGAAAAGTCGGACTTGCTTCGTCAGTGGCAAGAAACAATACTCCTTCTGCAGGACACTGCGAGTAGGCATATGCGCGCCGAGGAAGCATGTGACGGTAAATACTGGATTACCCTCCAGGCAGAACATCAGTTCAAATTTACTGATTTCTCGTAATAGGTTTAGTCATACTCGACGCGCGCTATGGTCCATCAGAGCGGGACGAAGGAATCGAAGGTCTTCATGTGGATGTCACTATCCCCGTGCGGGCTTTGGTGAATTCGAGCCAGCTCTACATCCCCGGGAAACGAAGCAAGGTGCGTTGCGTGAGTTCTCAATGTCTTTATTCTATGTAGAGTGGGGCCCGTGTTCCCAGCCATCTTATTCCTCTCGATAAGGTGGTCGTTGTTTTTGATGCCCGATCTCCCGAGGTCCGGATGTTTTTCATCTACTTGACCATGGCACGCGGCGGCCGTATGACGCTGGTCAGTCGAGCAAGCTCCGGGCTTTGTCTGCCAGCTGTCAACTGTAATCTTGTGTCGTAGGACAGCAAGGACCCACCTGTGTGCGTGGGTACCCGGCATGGCCGATACCTTGCCGTTGCGTCGAAGAGTATTTTTCATCATTTCGAACCGGGCCGACCGACATGTGTGTCTCGCTTATGCGCGTTCTTCCCTCCTGTGTTTAGGCCGGCATTCCGGGGTTCTATGATCCAGTCGCAGGGGTGCCGAAGACGCTGCGCGTACGCTACAGATTCCGTGGCCGCGAGCATTACGCCGAAATCCCGGATTCTATGCCGGTCGTGCTCCCCTTGAAAGGTACGCTACGCTTCTCAACTCAGATGTGTGCCATGATCCTTCGTGGGGATGGACAGACGACTTCTCACAGTTTTCGGAGGCCCTATCGCTCGGAGCGCAACATAAGCCTACTTTTAGATGCTGATTTGCTTTTGTCTGCCGTAGATCACTTGGTGGAATGAATCACGAGGGGCGCGGTCTTTTAGGCGGCCCGTGCAGGATACCCTCGACGTGCCTTCTGCGATCACTCGCCCACCATGAGGACCTACACCCTTGCTCATCCGATCTTCGTCTTCGCCGTTCACGCCTTTACGACAACGAGCGTGGCTGTTACCAAGACACGCCTCTACTAACACCGTCCCTTGTCACCACTGTCCATCCAGTTAATGTATGAATGACGGCACCTCCAGCCGTAATCCGATCTCCACCGCTCTATCCAGCCCACTTCCACCGACATCAAAGACATCAGCGCGTGAAAGCATGCGCGCGCCAGTGCATTGGCAACGGAGGTATACTACGCAGTGACATAGTAGCTCACCTTGCCGACCTTCCCAGCTTTCTGTTCAGTTCGGTCCGCCCGGCCAACACAGTGCTGGCGTCTTGTCCTCTGTTGCTCCGCCTTCTACTAGCCGCCAGAGCTTGTCATCAAATGCATTTGAATGCATTTGCATCAGAGTCGGAGTATACGAAGGCGCCCAATTCCCATGCACGCAAGCATGCCCGGGAGCGCCTACCATAGCAGTCTTGGATGTACACTTTGCGTCATGTAATTCGAGCACCAAGATCACTCCACCCCATTGAATGCGGCTGACGACATTCAGCAGGGCCGGACCTCTCGAAGCGTCACGCAGACAGCCTAGAGGTGCTACGACAGGGCGCAGAACGCTGCAACGCCTGCTTCCCAGCGCCACGATTGTGAACGTGGGCCCCCCAGATAACTCTATGGAGTCGCATGAGCCGGTCTGGCCAGCGTATCCAGTTGTGCTCACTTTGGACGGTGTGACGCGCACCTTTTCGGGATCGGGACGGGTGGGGGTGAGGAGCCTGCCAGTGTATGCCCGGCGGGCAAAGTTCTGTCTTAGCGTCAGTGTTCGCGCATAAGGCAGATGCCGACGTCGTTCAGGCTATCATGTTTTCCCCGTTGCACTGACTGAAGCTTAATGTTTGAATGTCCGTTGACGGCCAGGCTTCGGGAAAGCCCTGTCCAGACGGTGCTAAGGCTGGCAATGCGATATGCTATCTTGCCACCCCGTCTCGGAGGGATTCGCAGTGCATGAGTGGAGGTGGACAAAAGAGAGGTTCGGACGGTTCTGTTGGTTTCCGCTGAATCATGCACATGGAGCTAGGCCCCTGAGATTTGGGTGTGCTGGTGCGCATAGAACGGTGAGAACGCTCTCCTGGGCAGGTTCTCAGCGGTGTTGTCTGGCATGAATGCGCCGGGCAGGCGGACCAGGAACGGGGAACGGGAGGCTCAGAATAAGATCATAACGTCAATCTCGTTCGCAGGAAAATATCTGGGGGCCGTTTACTGCAGCCACGCCTATCTTCACGCGCTACCAGTATACACCGTCTATAGCCTCCGCATCGCCCCCTGTGAGTTGGGAACGTCGATGATACACATTTTTTTTTGCTGAGCTTTGTAAACCTTGCAGCCTTCGATGTAATGGAGCGCACGAGCACGGTTTTGTGAAGCGGGACTTTGAAATCCGAAGTCGAGCTGCGGCGTTCGAGTTCTTCCACCACGTTATCGACGAATCCTCAGAAACGAACCCCTCCGAACGCGGTCGATGTCTACGATTGACGCGCATTCGTCTCGCTCTCTGGCGGCGGTGCCCATACAAATCTCCGACGAGCCCTTCGCGATCAGCCTCATGTGCCGGAGAGCGAGGGCGAAGGGCTGGCAGCAGCAGCGAGTCGCCGTCTGATTCACATAGCGAGACGTCCCGCTCTCAGGCCATAGGCGTTTGAGGGGCTGCGCCGCCTTCTTGTGCCGAATGCGCAAACTCTGAGATGCGAGGGGGCACCTTCTTCGACGGCGTGCTCTGGGTTGTTCGGAGCCTCCGCTTCCGTTGTGCCCAACGATGCGGTGGGGGTGCCCGGGACCCGCAGGCCGCATGAAGCTGGCACAGGCGATCGCGACGCGGGCCCGTCGGGCAAGTGTCTCGGAAGCTCGCGTCGTCCCACAGCACAACTATCGGGACCGCTGCCAGGCCAAGTCACGACTCATGAACCGCCGAGTCTGGGTCCCCGCGAACACGCGTACCCGACGGGGGGGACGCCGCACGATGCAGCCGAACGGCGGACATCGTCTGGGGAGGAAGGTGGGGAGAGCGCACGCAGCTGTCGTCGGACTGGCAAAAGCAAAGGATACCGAAAGATAGACGAGCGGGTGCGCATGTGGCCGTGGGCCGTGGCACCGTGTACGCGCGAGGTCGCCGTGCGTTGCAGGGGCAGCCTCCCAGGCTCGCTTGTCTTCTCCCGCGATGCTTTTGGCCTGCCCACGTCGGAAAGCGAGCGTGACCGCTGCCACGGAGCGCGGGCGGCCCTCGCCTGGCAGGTGGGACCCGGCATGCTGCTCCTCCGCCGTCGTCATTGGCTCCCAGGCGCAGTGCGAGGGGGGAGCCAATCGCTTGCTCGTCCGGTCGCCTCAGCGGAATAAGCGTGCAGGTCGCAATAGGACGTGGTACGTGATCTGGCACACGCGATCACAGGTGATCACCGACTGGCGAGAACCTGCATTGAACGACGCCAGAACCCCATGTCCACGTCGGCTTTCTGGGCCAGGAGGCTTCTGGTGTCCGCCTGCGGCCCCAGGGGCCGCGCATTGTCCAGGCTCACGCCTGGCGCCAAGTCCAGGGCTCAGGACCGGTGGTCTGAATGCCGCGATAAGTGATAGAAACGGTGCGCAGAAGGCCACGGTGCCATTTGCGCCCCCAATCCGAGTGATCGCAAGGGTGTCTTGACGATGATTCGCCGTTTTGAGCAGCGCGGGCGCGCTTGTGCTCTCACAGTTGGAGCAGGAGCATGACCGCCGTGGGCAGACGCGGCAAAGGTTCCGGATGCGAATGGTGGCGTAGCGAGGTTCTGATTGCTCTCGTGGACCGTGTGGACATGCGTTCCCGACGCGTAGCCGTGTTAATGCTCGGCCACTCGGCGGCCTTGGGGGCTGGCGGGCGAAAGCGTACTTACGTCGGTTGCGAGTGGGTGGTGTTGCTTTGCTGACGGCACTGTGTGTGGTGGGCCGCGGAGAAGGAGGTCGCGGGAGGAGAGAAGAGGTGAATTGGGTGCCTGTGTGGTAAAGAGCATGTCGTCAAGATCACATAACGCACGCACTCGTCTTCGCCGGCGACGCACGGCCGGAGCAGGCGCCCGAGGAGGCGCCCGCGAAGTTGAAGAGCAGCGCGAGATGCCGGGTGCAGCTGATGAGGGAATCCCACGCTTCAATCTACGGATTAGAGTGGCGAGCTGTGTACGTACGACCCTGTTTTGGCTGCCATTCGCGGGAGCATTCCTAGCTCCAGGCGATTCCCTAATAAGTAGCTCCAGGCGACATCCTGTCACCGTCACGCTCCCACCCAGCGCAGATGTCTCTTTCTCAATCGGCGGAGCACTCCTTGCATGCGACATCCGTCGGACGACAACCGCGCCCGCCGGAGGGCGATCTACTACTCCCTGCGCACCCCGACCTGAAGATCTTCTGGCGGAATCGCTCCTGCTGCTTCTCGTGTTTCGTGCGGCATCCACAGCAGGTCATTTCGCGGCGCGCCCCCCTCCATGGCCTGGTGGTAGGAACACTCTCTGGCTTGGATCACTCACGCTTCGCGCTTCGTCCTCGGGCTTTCCTGCAGCGGCTATCATGCAACCATCAGCTGGGGCAGATTAATACGTCCATCGAGAGTTGCGGGTGTGAAGCGGATTCAATTGGCGCGGCTATCATGACGAGCGTAAGGCCAAGGCCCTCGCAGGCGCCCTGCACTGATAAACTTGGGTGGCGTTGTGATGTTCGGACGGGTGGGCATGGATGATGATGGAAACGGACAGGGGAGATGTGTCGGACGATGGCTGTTCGCCGGTACGAGACATGGATCAGCATGGTCGGGCGTGCGAGCTGGCTGGCGTTGGGTTGCGTCGATGGTCGCAACCGGCGGGCATCTGCCGCTGACGGTGCGATCTCCGAGCTGGGCGGCGGGAGGTGGGCGCGGAGTGGGGTGGGATGTGTAGGCAGGGATTCGAACCCCGATCTGCGGAGCGTGGAAGTCATGTGGGCGGCAAAGTTAATGTAAACTCAATCGGGGCTTCTCGAGATTCGGGGATCGCCTGCTTGATTTGGGCGGGGGCGAGGGGCAGATCTGGGATGAGCATCTCTCGCTCAGACTGGCTGCTGTAGGCGGAGGCCAATTTGGCGCGGCTGCTTAACCTTTCTCGAGACTCAAGGGCCCGTATCAGCGCTTCGCTGCCCATTATAAATGCCCTCTCCCCTCCCCGCCCCCTTCTGCTATCCACACATCACCCGCCCTCCATCCGCCATGCAGCAGCCCACACTCACCAATATCCGCATACGCTCCACCCGCGACGCCCTCCAGATATTCTACGCCGTCGCCCGCAACATCCTCCCCATGACCACCCGCAGGCTTGATGCGGAGGAGCGCAGAGCGTCAGTCCAAGTACTGCTATCCCAGAAACGTTCAGCCAGACTCATCCCTCTATTCCAGCATCACTTCGGGATGCGTTTACATTTGGGAAGAGCGCTGTGCGAACTCCGAGGCCACCGGCATGGGCATGGAACGATGGTGCGTCGGCTGGTGCAGTCCTCATGATATATGTTCCGCCTTTCCTCAGCTTCCACCATGTTAGGACGGACGGCATGGGCTGGGGACCGAGTCGTGTTCGAGACGTGAGCTTCCCACTCTTTCATGCTTTCGTAACTCCTCAGCTAATATGACTTTCGCAGGAATTTTTGTTCTACCACCAACGTGAAAATGAAGTACATGAAGACCCCAACAACCCCTCAGCGCGATGGGCGAACATGATGAGGTACGCATATATCTACTCGTCCTTTTCCACGCTGTCCATCTCACTCTTCTCCCCCTCTCGCTCGTTCTAGAAGACGAGATACCCGCAGCAATCTCCCCTTCTCCCGGCAGGACGCCGAACGTCTCATCAAGCAGACATACAGTGTGCACGTCTCCCTCCCGGAAGACCGACCTCGCGGCATCACTCGCAAATGGCACCTGAGTTCGTACCCCCTCGTTCCTGATTGTGGCGTACCGCACTCACCGGACACCCTCAGCCGCATATTTCAGCCAGACGACCCTAGATAGCCTCGGCACAATAGAATCCATCCCCGGCGTCGGTGATGTACAGGTTCCAGAAGGCTGGTTCAAGAGCGCACGCGCGAGCAAGATCAACAAGCGCACCGACCCGATGCCTGAGGACATCGGTGCCGCCACACACGAGCCATGGGGCGTTAACATGTCTCCGGCTGGGACCCATCCCTCCATGCAACCCTATGGACCTGACCTTCCGAAGTGGGCGAATGCGTCGCCACAGCCCTCTCACGCTCCACACCCCTCGTCGGGCGCATATATCTCCTCGCAGAACCCATATCCGACGCCTCGAAGCTCATATGAGTCCGTCGAGTACACAGCCCGACCGCTCTCTTCGCATCAGCCTCAGAACCAGTACCCTCCTTCGACAGCGGCGACCCCCTCTTATCCGCCCCCTCCACCAGGCCAGTTACCGACGCTCCATGATTCCGGCCTGGCCATGTATCGCGATCCTTCTCCATATACCCAATCCTCCTCCTCCTCTTCGGACCCTGGGACCTCTCCTCGGACGTTCTCGTCGCCACTCACCCCACCCTCGAATGCCTCGCTGCCCCTCTCGATCAAGAACGAGAAGAGCGCCGCTCCGAACGTACCGAAGCTGGTCCCACTTTCCTATCTGCAAGGCCTGCAGTCGCAAGGGCGTCAGCCGCGGGACCCAATGGACACCTTCTACCTACAGCGACTCTCGACGCAGGAGATGAAGGAGTCCAATCGCCATTCATGGGCGAGCTCTGTTTCGTACGACAGATTCGGCGAGGACGAGGCGAAGCCGGCACTCGTCAGCTCGCGGTGGTGATAAGACAGGTCGCAATCTCATGCCTGCCCATTGCCTTCCGTGCTTCAAAAGGGGGTGTACATTTCACCATTCCAGTCTCCGGTTCCATGAGTTTGTCTGGCCGTTGCATGGGCTTCTCGGTGATTGGCGTCCTCTCTGGACCTCATGATCAGCCTTGACCGTGGACGGCGAAGATAGTCACGGCGCCAGGAGGCGATCTGGGCCCAGGCCTCCAACGTGGAACCGGCATCTTGATCACGACATCCATCTGGACCTGCGTCAGTGCCAGCGTTCATGTCCACGCCCTCCCCTCTACCCCGGGTCCGCTTCGCTTCGCTGTGTCAGTGCAGATGGCGGCACGCTGCAGCGATGTATGCCCTCGTCACGTCCATCAGACCATTCATCATTCGCAGCCCCGCCTCTCGGCCGCGAGGCCACCCCATCTCAAATCCATCTGGGTTCGCACCCACATCCGCACTGCTTCTTGGGCATCCCTGGCGTCTCTTTTGATGTCGATGGCGTCGTTCGATGATGCCCGCCCGCTCTGTTGGAGATCCAGACATCCGTATGGACACAGGGACGTGTAGTTGTTGACCGTGTCATCGCCCCCTCGCGTACCGGCTTTTTCCCCCATCAGCTCGTCTTGCATCATGACGCATGCCCGTACGCCCCTTCACGCCCCGATTGTACGACCTCGTTGAAGATATACAAACGACGTTCCGCTCCGGACTATACCCCAAAACAATCATTGATTCCCACTCATCTTGCGTTCTGTGGTCCGTGTTCCGTACTCCATGTCGCCTCGTGTTATTCGGTTCTTGTTGTGCTTTGATCTCTTGTGGTTCTAATTGTCTCAGTGTGTCTCTGCTTCTCTCGCATCGCATCGACCGCCCATTCCACACGCATACAACCACTGTCTACGGGGAGCCGTCTATTTCCAGGGCTCTGTTCTCGTCGCAATCTCTCCATACTATCAGTCCGCAGACCGCTGCTTCCCGCTATCAATATGGATGCCCTCTCCCTTGCTGAGCAACGTTTCCTGCGCTATCCGGATATCGTATGTAATATAGACCCTGTACGCCTACAATACCTCGCCCATCTCCTACGAAGCACTGCGCTTGGGCATGTATTCCCCCACACCCATCTACTGCGTCGCTCGCACGCGAAGCAGGTCCAAATTTGATTCTGCGCTAGCCCATCAGGACATCTAGCGTTGGACACACGTCTGGATCTCCCATGTTCTGTACGAGCTGAACCTTCATGTGCTCGCTTAGTCGGCCTTGTTTCCTTAACTGTGCGCCTGCTGTTATCTGCGTCGTCATCCTGGCCGGCTTGGGAGACTGCGCTGCGTGTGTGTCTGTGAGACCGTGTCTCGGATGCGGGTGGGGCAGATAGCGCGTGAAAGTGCGTCCCCCGGACCCTAACGCCGCATCTGAAACCGGTGACATCTCAACGTTATGATTGACTCGGGTATGCGATTGTAGTATACGTTGCGCAGCGGACAGACAGCCTGGGGGTAGACAGATGCGTACGGTCCAAGAGAGGTTGACACGCCTGCACCGTGTCGACGCCCCGCGCGCCCCCTCGTCCTCCTCGTCCGACCCAAGCAAGCGCAAGCTGAGCAAGTCCCCCAGGCGTCCGCGCTGTCTGAGCCCCAATTACAGAGATTCAAGAACAAGGCAACAAAACCCGTTGGAACGCGCCTGCCATACTGGAACGTCCGCGGGCGACTGCGCAAAGCGCTTTGCAGCCGGAAGGATTTTGGAGTGCTTATATGATAAGTACTTCGGGCGACTCGCCAGCGTTCCCTCGATCGGGGTCCAGACGGGATCATCTGAATATTGTCTTCCCGGAATATCCTGAACGTACGTACCTGCGTACGTAACCACGCCACCGTGTATTAATATATGACAGTCCCAACGTCTCTCAGTCCAACAGTACTTACTAGTGTGTGTTGGTGGCTACTTATCGAGACCCGCGTCCGCTCATCGCACCCGGATCCATTTACGTGAGCTCTTCTCGAATTTCCATCCTTGAGTTTCATTAATGTATTCTGATATGCAGCGGGCCGGCGTGAACGATCAGATGTGAGCGAATCTGGCCAGGGAGCATCGGGAAGGATCTGAGACCACCCCGCTCCTGGACGTCTCTCGATCGCGCGCTCGAGCTTATGACCGGACACTCTAACGACGCCTCCGCCACCGGAGTTCTCAACGCTTGAGCCTGGCCTCTGCCCCATCTCTTCGGTTTGCAGCATACAAATCCAATGCCCAGCGACTCCAAGTGCGTCTGAGCGAGGAATAGCGGGGGGCGTTCGTATACACCCGATGACAGGTGCATACGCACGTTACTACATGTGGAATGGGACGGGAGGCGCCCGTCCATGTGCTGTTACGCCGCTGGGCATATCTCTGGGACCTGATTGCCACCTCTACGATGCGGCGGTCCTGGCTCCGCAAGTGTTCCCGAACCTCGAGCGCGTCGGCGAAGGCACCAATCAAGACTGTCCCGGACAAAGACCTCCGTTTCACGCGAAGGGAGTCCGTGTTGACAGCTGTGGAAACCCGACGTGTGCGATCGCCCAACGTTTCACTTGCAACGCCGCCCTAACATGAGGCTCGCATCTCCATCTGTCCTGGGGCCACTCTTCGGTCGCAAGATAGGACACCCAGCTTTGTAGGTCAATAGGTCTGTATTGGATATATGATTACAAAAGGAGATCATCCTCAAGCGATTCAAACGGAACACCGCTCTGATGAAGATGAACAAATTCAAGCTGATTAGCCCTCGTCCTAGGGGCGATAGTGCAGTATGTATGTACTACTGTCGGGTCTACTTGAGCCCTCGAAATATCGAGTACCTGAACCCTTGAAGTTGGTGGCTGGCGCATCGGAAGCAATTGTACCGCCGGCTGCACCATTTTCATCTAAAGACCCGGGGCGAGGAGCTAAGCCCGAGAAGTCCCTCCGGATTTTCACGGCTCATCATGCATCAGCACTCGTGCAGACGATGACGTCGCGGGCACGACCGAGGGTGCTTGTTGGCCGCTGGTGCCGACGCATTGTCACTGATCAAAAACCTGCCCAGACCGGCGAGCGGGCGCAGCGCGGCGGAAATCTCATAAAATCTGAGAGCGAAACCGGACGGGCGGCACCTCCAGTCGTGCCAGCCGCAATTAGCGGCGATGGGCGATAAACGATACACTATATCGACAGGCACGCGGCCCCGCTTGTCGGCTTCCGTCCGGGGCACCTGTCACCCTCCCGCGCGAGAAGCCTTCGTGGAGGGACGCGGGAAGGCTTCACGGTAAATCAGCTTTGATAGTGCCACCTTCATGATGAACCGGCATCGTCGCCATGAGGTTCTGGCTGGGGACGCAAGCAGTCCATTGCATATGTACGTGCTTTCGTGTCTGAAGTGCTTATGACACTTGCAAACCTACGCTTCGCTCCTGGTTCTATCTCAATTATAATATACAAGATCATCAACTTCAGCTTCTCGGTGGAATCATGCCGTTCCTTCGGCTCGGCTTAGAGGGCCCATCTCATTTACAATGCATAGTGCGGAGACAAGCGACGGTAAAGTTCAAATGCAGCAACTCGGCAGGCAAATGCACCATCACCCTGCAAGCTCGCTAGCACGAGGCTTCCGGAATGTCGAACTCCACCGAATCTGCCAGTGCCGCATTTGGAGGAATAGAAGCATGAGTAATGGGAGACGAGCTGACCTGATGATGCGGTCGGAGACAAGTTGCTGTGATGGACATGACGAGCTGGGAGCCATCCCCGCCAACCGCATGCAGATACTAGATTCCTTCCTGGCGTTTCCTATTCAGACGCCTTCTACGAAGACATGCTGACTTTAAAGGATAGATTGGCGAGACCCGTGCATCTAGCGAAGCTCATGAGTTGATAACCCGCTGGAGGCCTGGGGATTCTGACGACCCTACAAACGGGAAAGCTGCAACATCCATTCACAAGCCTCACACTCACGTCCGTCAGAGCCTCGTGGTACAGTGAGTATGTGGGTTGTGCGCATGACGTGCTGTCAAAAGCAGGGCGACAATTGTATCTGAGGCATCAGGCGTTGCGTTTAGACTTTTGCCAACCGTCATCGGCTAGAGGGCTTCCCGGACCATCGGAGCGCTATGTACTCAGAAAGGGTATACGAACTACGGTGGCATGCGGACACCCCTGCTTTCCTCTTTCTCCAGGTATGCGACAAGAATGCGATAGCGGTGGGAGAATCACACGGGCCTGGAATTCGGTGACTCGTACCCGTGCACAAGCATCTGGACCTCGTCCCCTCTGGCGCTGCCCCCCTGCGATGGCATCCCAAAGTGCATAGGACGAGCGAAGGGCATTGGTCATGAGTCATCATCGGTGCCGCCAACGCTCGCCTCCCAGAGCGCGCGTACTTGTCGCCAGATCTTGAGGACACCTGTGCCGATGCTGTAGAACGTACGAGAGGGCAACAAATTGCCCGCGTCGCGAGGAGGAAGAGAATCCATCAGCATGACGGGAACCAGGGTAGGCGTTAGGAAGGGGAAAAGGAATGGAACGGTACGCGGAAGCAGCGGACAGTGAATGACACGTACTTCGCATCGGCTACGGCGTCCAACAGAACCCACTGCGTTGTTTGCCCGGACGGCGGCGGTAGGCCATTCGGAGACGCACCTGGCCCTTGGGGTTGGGGCTCGGGTGGGGAGGTCGCTATCGTGCGATTCTTCCGCGAGGACCTGCCTTTAGACGTCTTGGGGAAGGCGGGGCCTGCAAGCTCGGGTTCCGGAACGAGCGGCGGAGGTTCGTCGCTTGAGCCACCCTCAAGCACGACCCATTGGACCCGGTACGTCTTCCTGATATGAGAAAATATGTGCAGCACGTCACCCGCTGGCACTATCTTTACCACACGTGGGCCACTCTCCGCGCCTTTGCTGGTGGCAACATTGGAACCTGCCGCAGTTAGCTTAGGCTTGGGTCGTGACCTACGATAGGCCTGGCTCTGTCTCCCTCGTTCTTCCTCCGATTCCCTGTCTGAGCCATGGGGCGGGCGTGAGGAACGTGGGGGCGGGGAGACGAGAAGCGCGGATAGGAGCTTGTCCGCTATCTTAGTTTGCGCGGAAGGCGGCGTGGTCACGGGAACGTTTGAACTGGTGGGAAATTCTTGGAGGCCGGCGAGAAGTCCTGGAGGGGTCACGAAACAAGAGTTCAGCATTCAGCCTCGCTGACGCGCTTCGGCTCAGAACGGACGCCGTCTCAGGGAAGACGTAGGAGAACTTTGTCAAGGCGCTTGCGTGCGTATTGCGCGGGCCATGCGCATTCGCCTCTCATTCTCCGAGGCGGCTACCTGAACTCGACTCACCTCCTCCTGGACGGCGGACCAGCAGGAACCAGCGCTCTTGGGCAGTTGCGGTTGCGCCTTTCCTCCATTCGATAACGTTCACTATATCCAACTCTTCCCTGGCCTTCTTCTTCTCGACCTTCATGGGGTATGCTGTCACCAGGCTCCCGTCAGGGAGGGGCTCGCATAACTTGCAAAACTCCTCGATGTCTGGGACGGGTGCAAGGTCCGCAGAGGAACTCGCGGATGTCCCCCCATACTGCGTATCCTACAAATCGGAGCTCAAGGTAAGTTTTGCATTTCATGACGTGCACAATCCCGCGTGTGACGGAGTGTTTGAACACGTACCTTGCAGACGGGCTCGTCTTCTGAGCCGTTCGCATTCCCGCGGAGATGTTGCAAGCGCTTTGAGGCTGCGGCATAAGCGCCACAGGCGCGCTGCAACGGACACGTGTCGCAGGACGGGTCGCGTACCTTGCAGACAGTTGATCCAAGTTCTATCAGTGCTTGGTTGAGATCACCAGGGCGGTCGGCATCCTTGACGAGGACGGCTGCGCCGGCCCATAGAACATCAAGAGTTTGCTTCGCCTTCGGCGGTGCGTGGAGCGCCAGTATGCGGCTGAGAAGTCGATGAACATTCCCATCAAGCTTGTAGGACAGCGTCAGTACCAGTATCACCGCAGAACTTTGTTGCTGGACAAAATCAAAACTGCATCATGCTTCTCATAGCGGTACAAAGGTAGACCGCATGAAGCTGATGCAGACCCTTGTGAGATGCGACGCAGGATTGCCGCCAGAATACAAGCGACTCGCGCCATTGTAGCCTACCTGCAAAGGCCTTCTCCGATGTCCAACACGACTTTGTTGAGAATAAGGTACGCACCACTGGAACACGTTCGTTGTAGGCGATGGAACATATTGCCCCCGCGCTATATCGACCGATACCAGGGATTGTCTTCTCCATCTCTTCGGCATTGTCAGGCAGGCGGCCTTTGAAGTCTTGAACGGCCTTTTGGGCGCCGCTGAGCAGGCGAGCCGCCCGTGAATAGTAACCGAGCCCTTTCCAAATGCTATTCACAGCGTCTATGTTCGATGCCGCCTGAAGGATGAATGTGAACACGGGGCTGGTTGACATGCGATCATGACTCGGATCTGTTACGCACTAAATCTCTTATAGTAGGAAACCTGTATAAAGCCTCTCAGTCAGGATACAAAAAGGACACCGCTCAAAACGCACTTCTCCATCCACTTATTGTAGTACGGTATGACTGTGGCCACTTGCGTTTGCTGTAGCATGATCTCTGACACCCACACCTAACAAATGTAAGACTAGCTGTCAAGGTCAGATTGAGATGCGTGTCAGGAGATAGCGCACCTCATAGGCTCGTTGAGCTTTCTGTTCCGCATCCCATGAATGTTCGAACGGTTTTCGCCATGGCATGCCCCGAGACGCGTGTACGCCCTCATACCATTCCAAGAGAGCCTCGCGAAGGGGTGCTGCGTGTGCGATAACGTGCAGAGACACACGGTGCGGACGTGTATGGGGAATCTCAGATGACTCAACGACCTCGGCTTCGGGCAAATATTCTGCATCCGAAGCATCGCGTTTCCTGCCCGCCCCCTTGGACTTGGTCTGTCTCTTTGCTGGTTTCCTCCCCATGACTGCGTTTCTCCTTTGCTTGATAGGCTCAAACGACGAGTCATCATCTGACTCGATCTTGCGTTTCCTGGCCATAGGGGGACTCGTACGTCGGCGGGTATTGGCGGATGGTCGGAATGGGTGGCGATAAGACTTTGCAATATGAACCGCGTCTCGCGCGTGGACGCGTTCTGACACGCGCGCCAAAACAAGTCACGTGCGGCCGTATGGCCACGTCGGGCGCTCTCTTCCGAATCCCCCGATATGCGACAAGATATTATGAGTAGCTCAAAACAAAAGTTTGCAGCTGGAGGCGATGAGTGAGGCTGATACCGCTCAAGGTGGTCGTTGGCGAGGACGGTTTCAGCGGGCTGATGAGATGATGTGGTGATGGGAAGGGCAACGCAGCGACAGATCCACGTTCCCACGGGTATTGGCCACGTCGCCGTCGGCGCACGCCCAACACTCTCCTTCTCCACTCATCGTCTTCCTCTCTTTCTTCACCCCGCCATGTCCGCCCGCATCAACATCGCCCGCCCGGCCTCTGGAGGCTACAGTCCTGACCCACACGGTTTTGCCAACTCAAGACCCTCTGCCGGCTACAGAGCCGCGAATCCCGATGACCCCGTAGAGAAGATCCGGGCATTCGCGAGCCAGGTCGAGGACTACTCTGAAATATACTCCCAGCCTCTCAAACCGCACCTCCCGACCATTGGACGGTTTCTGATTGTTGGTACGTTCTTGGAGGACTCGCTGCGTATCATCACGCAATGGGGCGACCAGCTTTGGTACCTCCAAAGGTGAGTATGAACGTGACATGATGTCCGCGCATTTATCAGAACACCCGCAACGCAGACACCGTCATTTTCCATGGGGCATTTCCCATATCTTCCTGATCCTCAACGTCATCGTGCGTATGCAGTATCGTCCAAGTAGGAAGCTGAATGCGAGCTGTGCTCCCCTTGCAGACTATGCTTGTTGGTTCGGGAGCCGTGATCACGAAAAGATACACTGAATACGCGGTTGGCGGCCTTCTTGGTGTCGTCATCATCCAAGCATTGGGTTATGGCCTGATTTTCGACCTCAACTTTTTCCTCCGTAACCTGAGTGTCATCGGTGGTCTGTTGATGGTCTTCAGCGATTCGATGTACTCGCGCAAGAAGCTCTTTGCTGGCCTCCCCACACTGTCAGAGAATGACCGCAAGAAATAGTGAGTGTCGACCTTGACTTGTGGCAAACGCAGACACGTGACCTTCCGATGACACCAGCTTCTTGCTCGCGGGCCGCGTTCTCCTCATCTTCCTGTTCATCGGGTTCATCCTCCGTGGACAGTGGAGCATTGCCCGGTTCTTTGTCTCCATCATCGGTCTTGTGGCATGCATTATGGTTGCTGTCGGCTTCAAGGCGAAGTGGTCCGCGGCGTTCCTGGTCGTGACCTTGAGTATCTTCAACGTTTTCATCAACAACTGGTGGAGCGTCCACTCCGCCCACCCGCAACGCGACTTCCTTAAGTAAGCTTCTTACACTACATGGTGCTTGGTTGTGTATATTAATTTACCGTATAGGTATGACTTTTTCCAGACGCTATGTTCGTATAAATCTATGAGCACTTCGTATCAGCCGCTCACCATGCTGAATACCTCTAGCTATCGTTGGTGGCCTTATTCTCCTCGTCAACATGGGCCCCGGTAAGTGCGCTTGGTCGTGAAGACCTTCCCCATGCTCATCTTTCATTCAGGTGGTCTGTCAGTGGACGAGAAGAAGAAGACCTACTAGGCGTCTACCGGCGTCAGAGTGGTGCGGTGCGCTGTCTGCAGAGGCGCGCATCCCTCAATATGGGACAAGTGTACCCACCGTGGCACATGGAAGGACCAGGGTATGGTGGGGCAGCTGGTTTCTCTTGTATCTTTCGCAAAAACAAGGCATGGCGGGGACCGTTCTCCGATATGATTAATTTAGCTCTACCTTGCTGCCGACATAGGCTACCCAGCGGTATGATCACCCCATGACCAGGACATGCACGCAAGCTCCGATCGTAATGTTAGAACATTAAGCATGAGCCTCGTGAGTGGTGCTAGTGGCTGAGGGATCTCGGAGATGAATAGATCGTCGTAATTTTCCTGAACAACATGCTTATGGTTTGATCTATACAACAAAGGGCGCGTGAACTACAGATGCAATGGTGGTGGGAGGGAATGCATGTTCACTAATGCGGGCGGGAGCGGAACTACCTTGAGACCGTGTTTCGTACGTACACCCGTTCCGAGGCGCCTAAATTCTCTGCACCGGAGAACGCCACTAGTTCGCGCATACTGACTACTGAATGCGGCCTCCTTGTTGTTCCCTCGCAGCGGTGTGGATGGTGATGGCGGTCATGATCCATTGCGGCGGATTCGCACTGTAATAGAGACGTGCGCGCTTGCTCTTCGTAACACCGGAAAGATATTCCTTGGTTCTGGACTTTCAGATAGACTGAATTTGGGGAGGACGAATAGACTGGAGAAGTTTGCGGGTAACCTGCACTGGGCGTTACGTACCGGTACCGTACAGCTTAAACGCTCCCGAGTGAGCAGCCGTCCTAGCTGGGTGTTTTCTTCCTTCTTCCTTTGCCCCTGCATACCCGAGCCTCCGCAATCCTGGGCCGGGAGCCGTAGCTCTCGAGCCAGGAGATTTGGAAGCATCAAATGGAGGCCTAGGAGGCCGCAACTCTCTTCACAGACGTCTGTTTCCGTGTACGTGCGAGTACTTTCGTGCACGCGCACCCACCCACTGGACATGCGTGAGAAGAGGTGGCTAGGTCGGTGTGGGCCGTCGTGTGTGTAAATTTCCCTTCTCGAATTCTCCAGACGTCGTCGGGCTTTGGGAGATAAAGCGCAGCGGGGGACGTACTGAGCTCAGCACTAGAGCCGCGCTTTTCGAGGGTGAAGACGAGGTCTGGGGCTGCCGTAAGTGCGAACCCTTCGTGAACCGCGTCCAACTAACAACCCATGGGTTGGGATCCAACCCACGATCGCGCACGATGTGCACATCAAAGCGGTGAAGATTGCGGGAAGTCGAGGACTGTTCGGAGATTCGCTGTCGCTAGATGGCCGCTGCGGAGATTCGGAGACGAAAGGGAAACATCCGAAGTCCTGCACGTGCGTTAGAGAACCTGCCAGGAGCCCATCCATCGTCGAGGCTGGTCATGACGCTGCCATATTCCGCAGGACGTCCGCAGGGCGCAGACAAGGTGGCCAGGGTGCAGGTTCTCGGGGGACACCGCAAGATAGACTGCGAGATGCTGGAGATAAGTAGGGAAGGCTATCGGGGCCGCTGTTCGGGTAAATGAACACGTTCCACGGGAGGTGGCCACCTGAGCTTGCTCCAGTCGGACGTGCCAGCTTGGCTGCACGTAATTGAACGTGTGCATCGCATGAGGCTGGCAAAAGGGGAAAGAGGGGACATCCAGCTTGATGGTCATTCATGGCATGGGGAAATGAAGGCAGCTGATAGGGAGCCAGGAATATGAAAGCTCCGGGAAGCGCTGAGCGACGTCTTGCGGGTAATGCTGGGATGTGCCGGAGGGGGTGCGTGTGGCGAATTCCCGCTGTCGCTCCACCTTCCCGCCCTCGATAACGTGGGCTTGACAGTAGAACTCCGCCTCTGGTAGGAAAGTTCCGGGGAAGCATGTCGCCACGGATCGGGTGCACCCTGCAGGGTGTAAGGAAAATTAGACACGTTTTCTCATGACTAACAGAACTAGGACTTAGGGGGTTGTCCATAGAACGTCGAATGCGATGCGTTCTGACCGTACACGAACGATATGCTCATACTTTGTTCATATGACCAGACCGAGGCCGTTCGTGCGTCAACCGTGCGTCCAGGTGTCTGTGACGGAACAGAATCCATGCAAGGGTCGTGTGTATCGACGTGGCAGCTAGCGGGAGATAGCGACTTGATTGCCTCATGTAGAGGAGCATCTATAGAACCTGCCTTTGATAGTCGGCGCAGGCTCCCTCCCAGCTCACAGAGGCACCGCAGTGCATATACAGTAACGGCAGGAACAACAGAGCTTAGAATACCCGGGAAGGCGACGCCACTTCGCGAAAACTGACCCAGGGCTCACCGTACTGCGGCGGTGTATAGGATCTACGCCGTAGTTAGCGTTCTCTGCGAACTGCGTTTATGAGCGACGCTATACAAAGGCGGCAATTTCTGCAACATACTGGGTACTTCTGAGAGGAAAAAATAGCCGGAGGCGTGTACGAAGTATACTAGAACAAGGATTTGAGAAGCGCTTCGCCGCGGCTTTGCCCCAATAAGGCCGCGTGCAAGGGACAAGAAGCAATGGTTGGTGTCGAGTCTGGACTATCTGGTTCCCGCGAAGCGCGTGAGTGAATGAGCATCCACCGGTGAAGATGTCCAACTGTCAGTTAGACTCTCACCAACCTGGAGGCGCATGGCGGTGAGAAGGCGCAGTAATACTGTGCCATTCGTGGTAGCCTGACCCCCATGTGCGCCGGCCATGAAGTACTTGGCCTGAGCTTGGGAGGAATTAGGGCAGATTGGATTAGGATTCAGGGTCGCCGAGCGGATGACTGATTCGGAGTCTGAGGCTGCGCAAGCGGGACAATTACGTGCTAGACAAAGTGAGGGTTCAGCACGGAAGAAGTCAGCGTAGAAGTCCAAGCGTGTAAAGCGAGCGAGGCGTGAGCTCAGGAGACCACTTGTGGATTTCGTTCTATCAGTCTTGAGATTACGACGCTGGTGGTAATAGTCAGCTGTGACGATAGTCATAACGCCGTCGATGGGCATATACAAAATAGGATTGACGGGCGGCGGCCGTGACTGGAGGGAAGTTTGTTTCGGTGTTAGAAGTCGCATCCGCGCCGTTTTCGGATTAGGTCTGCAAAGTTCGGCGGTCAGACGTACCAGGGCAGTTGTCGCCTATGCACTATCTCCGACGCCCGAGAGTCATGACATCCACCGAGACCGCTGAACAATTGCTTCTGGAAGAGGACGAGCGTCCGAAACTTTGGCGCGAATTGACATCGTGTACATGGTGGGTCGAGCTCATACGCGTCGAGCGGCGACTGAATGGGTCGATGATGGTGATGGAAACTTGAAAGCAACGAAGAGAAAACCCTACTATAGGGTTGGCACTTAGCCATGTTTTTACTATAAGCAGTTAGGTACATGCGATGACATCATACCTTTTACCCCGCCTCCACGCACGTCCAGGCCCTTGCTCAAGCTGAGCTCGTCGTCGACATGAATGACGCGCACGCCTTTGCGCACCACCTTCACGACCCTGCCAGTCCACGAACATCTTGCCCGTATTCCTTCCTTGCAGTACCCCGCTCACAATGGAGAGCCTCCCACTCGACACATCTCATCCGGCAGTGAAGGAGTACCTTGCGCTTGTCAGGTAGGTAGATAGTCGTCTATGTCGTCGTTTTTGGTAGCTCTTGATGATGGTGCATCTAGGCTACAAGTACTGACGCCATTGTCCTTGCTCGTCAATATCGCCACTCTCATGGTGTGCACGTTCGTGCTAGACCCAAACCTCGGTACGTCTATGTAGCTCAGGCTGTAGTCTACAAAAATATGTTGAAGACAGTTGTAGGACAAATCGCCAAGCTATATCCCAGTTCAATCACACCACAACCACACATGATCGCGATATACGTTGTAGCATTATATATCCTGCAAGTCGGTTACTGTTTACTCCTGGTCCTTCCTCGCACGCCCGAAACGAAGCGCGCCCTCATCAAAGGGTGTGGCTTCCCTTTGGTGCTTTCGAATTGGGTCTTTGCTTTTTGGGCTATATCTTGGGTGAGTCATCTGGGTCATGTTGTTAGATATGGACAGCTTACCCATATTCACATATATTCGCAGATCCTGCAAGCGTTCCTCCTATCAACTGTATTTCTAGGAGTGATGCTCGTCCTCCTGATTTATGCCAACATCGTGCTACTAATCTATCATGTCCCAACAACGAAACGGCAAGTCGCCTTACCTTCCCTGACGTATTTGACCCAAGGCATTGATATGCTTTACGTAGACCACTCGAGCTCGCCTTTATACATGCACCCTTGCGGGCGTTCATGCTATTGCCGCTGATGGTCATGTTCCCTTATAGTCTCTTGTGTGTGCCTCCCCTTATCATGTTCGCATCGGAGCTGACAGTACTATGTATATCAGTGTGGCCCTAGGCAAGACATGGTCACCTGGCGAACCACAACATTATGATCGCGGGCAGTGGTCGGGGCTTATAGTCGTACTTACAGTGAATGTCATAGGTGTGTACCACGCAGTGGTTTACAAGAAGATATGTAGAGAGAGCTCACCTATTGATACAGGCTTTCTCGTAATCGTCATCCGCCGCGATGTCGTGTGGTGTGTCGCGGCGACTTGGATATGTGCGAGCTTGTGGAGCCTGAAGCCGAAGCCTTATCCTGTCATGGTATGTCTTGAAATCGCATCAGAGAGCTATTGCAACAATCTCTGACAGATTACGATACCAGATCACAGTGATCCTCTTCACAGTGCTCCACCCTGCGGGGCTCGTCGTGTCCTCGATCTGGGCATGGCTTCGGGGAAGTAACGAACAACGTACGGGAGCTATAGCACTTCCTCCTGACGAGGAATCGCGTCCAAATGGAAGGTCGGCAGCTGCTCCGGGCGAGAGACCAGCTCGTGAAGTGGATGCAGAAGCTATCTGGGGGTAGAGAGCCGTCTGTTACTGTGACTGTTGCCCGGACGAGGATCACCTTTGAAACACTTTAATGTAATAACCACTCACCTCTGTGAACACGATGACCACAAGGGGTAGAGGAGACATGACATCCAGGGATCGATGTGGCCCGAAACGTGAGGGGAACAGAAGTCGTGCTTGCAACGATCGGGTCCGGAGGACAGGCCCGATCTGCACAGCCACACATACCAGATGCAGGCACGTGCATGGCCCAATTTTTGGGAAGCGCGGGTATGGCTGGTTCTCGGGCTGCTCGTCCTGGCCCTTTGCCTACTCCTGCCCGGCCCCCTCTCTTGGCTTTCTTCATCCCTGTCACGGCACACGGGAACATATACATGCGACATGGGAGCGACACAAGATCCTAGTGCGGTCAAGGTCTACACAGTCAATGGAGAGGCTTCCAGTTCTTCATCCTCCCTCCCGGACTGGCTCACGCAGAAGCGTCAAGCCAAGGGCAAGGGAAAGAGAGTCATCAGGGAACAAGTCGAAGGTACGATAGAACTCATTCAGCACTTTGAGTTTCCCGAGGCAAGCAACAAGATAAAGACGACTCGAGATGGACACCATGCGATCGCGACCGGCACATACAAGCCACAGATTCGGGTGTGGGACTTGGACCAGCTCTCATTGAAGTTTGAGAGGCATACGGATGCGGAGAACGTTGATTTTGTTGTGAGTGAGTCTTCCTGCCATGTCGGCACGTCAATGTTCTTTGGATATCGTATGCTCACTCTCCACGTTGCTACTTTCAGATGCTCTCGGATGACTGGACAAAGTCAATACACCTCCAAAATGACCGTTCGGTCGAGCTCCACACACAGGGCGGCTTCCACTATCGTACTCGCATACCCCGCTTTGGCCGCGCACTTGCATACCACTCCCCCTCATGCGACAGTCTCTTCGCTGCCTCCGGTCCAGAGATATTTCGTCTCAACCTAGATCAGGGCCGCTTCCTCAATCCTTTGGTGCTACAAGGAGATGGAGAGGACATCCCCGGCGTGAACGTGATAGACATCAATCCCGCGCACCAACTGTTTGCGTTCGGCGTCGAGGGTAATGGCACTGTCGAGCTATGGGACCCTCGATCGCGCTCAAGAGTAGGTATTCTGCGTCTGCCGCACGAGAGGCTTATGCCTCTGAATGCAACCGCACTTCCTGCACTCCCTGGCATCGACGACGGGACGCGACCAGCTCCGCTTTCGGTAACCGCTATCGCTTCTAGACAGGACGGCTTGTCGTATGCCATCGGGACGTCGACGGGGCACACGCTGCTATACGACATACGGTCTGCGAGGCATCTGGCCTTGAAGGACCAGGGGTACGGCTTGCCTGTGAAGAACGTGAGCTGGATAGAGGGCGGAAGTCGGATGGCTGGTGAAGGGTACATCCTCAGTGCGGACAAGAAGGTTATCAAGATCTGGAATCGCAACACCGTACGTGGACTGTCTACCGCACTTAGCTGCTTGCTTTTGTGCTGACTATATGCGCTAGCCCGAGTCCAACTTTACTTCTATCACCCCTGCAAGAGACATCAACGATGTACACCATATACCAGGGACCGGTCTCATGCTGCTAGCCAACGAGGGTATCAAGATGACCACGTACTTTGTCCCCCAACTCGGTCCCGCGCCGAAATGGTGCAGTTTCCTCGAGAACCTTACCGAGGAGATGGAGGACCAGACGACGCGCACGGCCTACCAGGACTACAAGTTCATCGACCGCAGCGAGCTCGCGAAGTATGTGCAGCTTCCGTCGTGCCTCGGCCATTTGCTGACTATATGCGTGTGACCTTTGCTCGACACGCACAGACTTGGCCTCGACCACCTCGTTGGGACCCCTACGCTCAAGCCGTACATGCACGGATACTTCGTCTCCCTCCAGCTCTACGACGCCGCGCGTGTCATCGCCAATCCGTACGCGTACGCCGAGCACCGCGAGCGCATGGTGCAGGAGAAGATGGAGAAGCTTGCTGAGACGCGCATCCGCGCGAAGAAGGACAGCGCAGCGGGGGCCCGTATAAAGGTCAACAAGGCGCTAGCAGAGAAAATCCGGAAGGAGGAGGAGCGGGCGCGAAAGAAGGAGGAACGCAAGACCGCGAAAAAGGCAAAGGCGCAGACTGTGGCAGATGGGCAAGGCGATGCGATGGAGGTGGACGAGGAAGGAGGGCAGGAGAAGGAGAAGGAGGCGGGGGAGGAAAAGCCAAGCTTGCTGCACGACCCGCGTTTCGCTGCTGTGTTCGAGGACCCCGAGTATCAGGTGGACGAGTCCAGCAGGGAGTTCGCACTCCTTAACCCGTCTTCAGTCGCGCAGCGGCAGAACCGGGAGGCTGGCCGGCCGAGGGGGAAGACTGCGGTGGAGGAGGAAGAGGAGGAGAGCGACAAGTCCTCATCGGATCCCCTCAGCGAGAGTGACGAGAGCGAGGGCGACAAGAGCGAGAGCGAGAGCGAGGACAGTGATGATGCTGGTGGTAAGTCATACGCCTCCCTTTCATGAGGATAGAACATGAATGCTGATCACACCACAGAACTCTGGCAGGACAGCATCCGCGCCCGTATCGCGGCGCGCAATACCGGGCCCAAGCCTACTCGCGGACCTCCACGGCGCGACCCAAAGGTCCGCCTTGTGCCGCTTCAAGCCCAACAGTCCGGTCGTGCTCGCGGTGCGGATAAGGACGCGACGTTTGGCCAACGTCGCTCACAGCTGGGCTCCAAGGGCAAGCAGCGTGCTTCGACGCAAGATGCAGACGTCCACCACACCGCCGACGGCGTGGAGATGACGTTCATCCCCAGGACGACCTCGTCGGGCGCCGACTACGACGACGAGCCTGGTGGGAAGGCAGCGCAGGCAAAGGGCAGGACGAAGGAGCCGAGACGGAAGGGCGTGGAGGTATTCGGGGCTGGCATGGAGAAGGGTGGGGAGGACCCCGAGGTCGAGATGGCCGAGTCGGAGAGGAGCGGGAGGACAAAACGACGACAGGGCATGCGGAGCGGGAGCAAGAACACGTTCAGGCGGATGTGAAGTTGGCATTGTTGTATGTTGTATCTCTTGTCCTGCTCGTTCGCTTGCTGTCATGCTGTCATGTTGTATGCGCGGTGCCCTTGCACTCAAACCTATGCGTGCGGGCTCGATATCTAAAGGATGACTATAAGAGGCCGCCAACGCCGTGGCAGCCATGCAGACGATGCAAGAATATGCTGAGCGTCGTGGTTGGACACGTTTATCTAAATAGTATACAATGGACGTCGTCGTGAATCTATGTAAAGATAACGTACCCCAGCCACCAACGGCGAAGCAGACCGCCACGACACGATGAGCCCATTACGAGGCTGCAGCCGGGCGTCCAGGCGCCCCCGTCCCGACCGCAGACACAACCGCCTGGGCAGCGGGCGACCGCGGGGCAAACGGCGTAGAGCCGGGATTGAGTTCCGACTTCGCCGCGACGGCGGCCTGAGCCTGGTGCGACTGTGAGCCCGACCGATGGCGAGTGGGCTCGAAGGGCGGCGCGCGGCTCGACAGCATCGATGAGCTCCCAGTGGTGGTAGAGCCGATGGGGGTGGACGACGCCGAGGATGACGAGGAGCCCTGGGCGTGCTGCGCGCGGAAGCTGCGGCCGTGGTGGTTCTTGTGCGGGTGCCCGTGTGGCGGGAGGTGGAGGACGCCCGGGGTGGGATGATTTGGGCCGGGGAAGGACGCGCGCTGGCCTTGCGGTCGGTGGACCGGGTCCTGGTGCTGGTAGGCCGTCGGTCGCGGGGGCGGGAAAGATGGGCGGGGATGATGGTGCTGGTGGGGATGGTGGGGCATGTGGGGGTGCGAGTGTCGTTTGCGTGGGTGTGCATGGTGCTGGCCCGGGTGGAAGTTGTGCGGGGGGTTGGGATGCGCGTGCGACGGGGCATGCAACGGCTTCTCCCTGTCGCCCTCCGGCGAGCTGTCGTCCGCCGTCCTCGCGGATCCAGAGGCTGCTGGCACGCCCTCCGGTTCCTCGTCCGCCACAGGGTCGCCCTCGTACCCATACGGGTCCCGCTCGACCCTCTCCCGCTCCTCCTCCAGCTTCCTCAGCCTCTCCTCAAGCTCCTGTATGACCCCGCCCTCGCCCTCCAACTTCTGCCGCTTCCCGCTCAGCTTCTCCAGCCGAGTCACCAGACCCGCAAGCTCCTGCTGAGCCGCCTCCTCCCTGGCCCTCTCCCTCCCCTCCGCCTCCTCCCTCCTCCGCCTCGCCCTGTCCGCCTCGCCGCTCACCTGTTCCCACTCTCTTTCCACCTCCCTCTTGCGCTCCTCCAGCCCCGGCAGCGCGCCCTCGATCTCGCTCACGAGTGCCTCGATGTCCTGCGCAGCGGCCAACGTCTGCTTGACCGCCTCCTGCAGCGCGAGCACCTTCTTGCGCGCGCGGCCCTCGCCCGCCGCCTGGCGGTCAGACGCGCGCCGGAGGGTGTCGATCTCGGCGCGGAGCGCGGCGTCCGCCTTCTGGCTCTCGCGCCGCGCCGACTTGAGCTCGGAGCTGAGCTGCGCGTGCTCGGACGTGAGCTGAGAGAGGGCGTGCGTGAGCTGCACGCGGCGGTCTTCGAGCGTGAACGCGGAGGCGGAGGGGGGGGAGTGGGCGGCGCCGTTCGAGTGCTGATATGAGTGCGAGTGCGGGTGAGGGGGAGACGGCGATAAGGGTGCATTGGAGGATTCGGGCGAGCTGAGGAAGGTTTGTTCGTCTGGGGCGCAGGACGATAGGCGTGCGGGGTCGGAGGAGAGTGCTTCGGGATCTGCGATGTAGAGAATGTTGAGTACGTTGTCGAACACACGGGCGAGGTATCGCGTCTGGGCGGGCTGGTATAGGTTCATGCTGGCGAGATGGGGTTCAAAGCAATACCGCTATGGGGGAGACGCAGTAGTAAAGCAGTCGGCCCACTATCATTCATATCGAGGCGCATATCAAGCCCCGGTCGCGTGAGCCGCCATCTCGCGCAGAAGGACGTCGTCTTGGGTTAGTGTCTGCTACCCGATGACTTCGACAGGACGCTGGGCGCAGACACATGATTGACGACATAGATTGCGTATCTCGCGATAACGGGGGACGATAGCGCAGTGGCGGACTGCCACGCAGATTCGCGCAGGGAGGCGGCAAGGCGGACTAGTGATGATCGAAAGGACGCACCTGTGGTGACTTGGCCCCGCAAACTCGTCTCTCCCGGCATTACCCCGAGCTCGACGTCGTACTGCCTGGCGGGCATGAGGCCGTGGACGATGATGATGGCCTCGTCGTCGACCTCATCCTTGCTGACGATGACCTTCCTCCACGGGGTGCCGTTAACCTTGACCGAGAAGCCGTTCCGGATTATGCCGCTAACAATCTGCGGCTGATCGGTGTCGGCGACGCTCGCGGTTTCTCTGCTAGTGGAGGCCTCGTCATCGTCGGAAGAGGAGAGGCCGAGGGATGCGAGGGAGATGTCTGCGTCGTGGGCAGAGTAGGGAGAGGAGAGGACAAAGGTGACGGAGACGGAGGTGATTTCCCGGACGGAGAGGGAGAGGGAGGGGTAGCCGGGGCGGATGGAGTGCCAAGAGGAGCCGTCTGCGAACTGGTCGTCCATTTTGGTCGTGCGCTGGAACGTCTCTCACACCACTAGGCTTATACAAGACGGTCTGCGTGATAAACTTAGCGTAGCGTTCCCGCCCTTGCCTAGCCACCTGCGGTGGCTGAGACTAACGCGTACCTTATTACGTGCTTTCGTAAACGTTCGTGCAGGATAGGAGCATCTGAGCTGGCATGCGTGGACAATGCGGATATCCGGAGAGAGGTGGACGGATGGCTGTTGGATCCTGCCACAAGGCGAGAGAGCTTGAAACTTGTGCTGCAGGCCACCCCCGATCTGATCTCCCGCCACCGGAATTTTGCACTTTCCAAAACAAACCTCAAGCTCAAGCTCAAGCCTGACGTCATCCTGTAGCTATCCAGCAGGTACTGTCGGCCAACGACCTCAGCTGGTCTCGCACAATTATAACCGCACTCACGCCGCCCCCCTCGCAGAGTCGCCATGGTTTCTGCACTAATTCTGATCGCGGACGGAACGGAGGAGATGGAGTTGTGCGCATCTCTTTCGCCTCATAAGATGTCCACAACGTGCGAAGCTGAAGCACAGCTACATCCAGTACCATCACCTACGATACCCTCGTCCGAGCTGGTGCCTCATGCACCTCTGCGTTTGTATCCACCGAGGAGCGTCAGGGAGATAGCGGTTCCTACGAGAAGAATCCTCCTTTCGCAAAGGGCTCTCGCGGCATCAACATCCTCCCTGACACCTACTTTTCGCCTCAGGCGCACACTCCGGTAGGTCCGTCTGAGGGTAAACCAAAATATCTCCTGAAAGGCACGTTGTATAGGACAAGTTCGATCTGCTCGTCATCCCAGGAGGTGCCAAGGGAGCCGAGACGATCTCCAACAGCTCCCCGGTACAGCACTTGGTCCGCCAGTTTCTCGAGGCCGGCAAATATGTGGGCATGATTTGTGCAGGTCAGCCAGAGTGATACATCCCCGAATTGAGTGGTGGCACTAAGCTGTGAACTGCAGGTAGCCTCGCCGCGTTGACGGCAAAGCTGCCGAAGCAGCCGCTGACGTCGCACCCAAGCGTAAAGGACCGCCTTGCAGATGGTCGGTGGCCATCGCCTTTTCTGATGAGGTGGATTGCTCACGATGATCTCTCGAGCAGCTTTCGTGTACTCCGAGCAATCGGTCGTCGTCTCCGGAAAGCTGGTGACAAGGTAAGTAATGATGATTCAGTTATGCAGTCATCCAATGGGCTAAATGTCTGATCTGTTATTCCACACACTTAACGCAGTCGAGGTCCAGGTGAGTAGTTCAAGGTCACATATAACAAACACGCAATCACATCATATCTCAGGAACCACTTTTCCCTTCGCATTCACCCTTGTTGAAATGCTATTCGGTAAGGAGAAGCGCGAGGAGGTTATAGGACCCATGGTCTTCCCTCCGGGCACTTGGGCCTAAGACCCTACGCATGGTCTGGTCACGATTCAGGAAACAAAGCTATTGTGTGCCATGTAGGCACCTGTGCATGTATCACTAGCGAAGACCAGTGCTCCAAAATCCTTGTAATCACTTAACGGGCAATACGGAAGATAGTATAGGGGACAATGACCTTGGATTGAGCAGCACACCCACCACAGCTCGCAATTTCCCTTGTGCGGAAAAATGCAGCACTCCGCTGCAACGACTTCACGATCGCCTAAGTATTAGCGTAAGATCAAAGTATGAGCTTACACCACAATGGCCAAGAGCAATTCGTCGGACAGGGTATGGTCCGCGTATTCTCCTGACACATCTGCAAAGGAATAACAGTAGTGTCTTCACGCCTACCGAAAGCACAGCTCTCGCCATTGCTGTGCTTGCGTCCGAGCGAAGTGGTCGTGCCACTGGGTTCCGCGGGACGGGTCCGGGGGTCTGCATATCGCACCGATCGCGGGGCTTCGCACGATCGCATCCCATCGCAATCTCAGATCTGTGTTGATAGAGCTCGGACATCCTTTTGGTTGCCGGGGCCCGTCCACGTCCCATGATGGCCACCAGATCGCTGGGCTTCATAGGTTATACCTTCGCGGGAGGGCCTCCTTCATACATATCGCCAACACGTCGTGGAAACTGAACACCCAGTGGGGGAGCAAGGTGTAGAGAAGGAGATGAGGGTGCTATATGAGTATTATACTTACTACTACGCTACAACTTGAATGCTCGTAAAGCGGAGATGGGGATGATAGAGTCTAGGAGGATACTACAGGCTGGATACGGGCGACCTCTGTGCACCGGCCGCACAGCTCGTCGGCGGCGGGACGGGTGTATGTCCAACAGCGGGGGCACTTCTCCAGGGCAGCTGGGCGAACCGCGATCTCTATCTCGGTTCCTACACAACGCATCAGGTCAGGCAATACCGAGCAGTCAGCTGCAGACGCACCGTCTATCTCGAGCGTATCCCTGTATTGCCAGGCAGGAGCGGCATCCAGGTTCCTGTCGCAGAGGGTTACGCCAGACACGCCAAATAGCGACTTGAGCGTCGTCTCCTCGCGTCCCAGAACGTCGATGACGTCTGAGGTCGCGGCCGTCGAGACGCTCACCGCCACGTCCGCGGATAGGGAGCTCTTCACGACGCCGTCTTTGCGAGCCTGCTCGAGGAGCGAGTTGACTTTGGAACGGATGCGGAACAGCTTGTCCATGTCCGCCTCGGCCTGTACGTCAACGAACTCGTTCGGCTGCCGGTAGGTGTTAGCGCCAGCCGCCCCAGGCAAAGAATCATATTTGCCGACGTACCAGAGGCGTCCACCGCGTCACGAACACAGACGGGGCATCAGGTCCGTACAGCGTCTGATGGATCTCCTCGGCAAGGTGCGGCAGCACGGGCGCGAGGACTCTCGTCATCGTCGTCAGCACCTGGTCCAGGACAGTGAGGACCCTCCGGCGCTCGATGCCGTCTTCACGGTCCGCGTAAAGGCAGTCCTTGTTCACGTCGAAGTAGAACGATGACAGCGTGATGTTCGCAAAGTAAGACAGCTCGTTGATGACTGCATGGCCCACCCGTCAATTCCTCACCCTCTCTCACGAACTCGCAGTGTACAGGAAGTGTACGCACCCTGAGGGAAGTTGTACGCCTCGTACCCAGCCCTGGCAACGGCATCGAGCTTGTGCAGCCGATGCAGAACATACCTGTCCGCCAGGCCCAGCTCCCCGCGCTCCACCTTCTTCTCGAATGGCCGGTCCCCGAGGCTGCCCAGAATGAACCGCGACGAGTTCCTGATCTTGCGCATCGTCTCCGCGCACTGCTGCAGTACCGTCGGCCCGATCGTCATGTCCTTGCCGAACTCGACCGTCGCGACCCATAGGCGCAATATGTCCACGCCATACGCCTTGTCGTGCTTGCCCGCGCCTCCGTTGATGACAGTCAGGGGGCTGACGACATTCCCGAGCGACTTGCTCATCTTCTTGCCCTGCTCGTCGAGCACCATCCCGTGCGTGATCAGCGTCGAGTAGGGCGCGGTGCGTTTGCGCGCTTCGGACGTTGCGGCCCCAAGGGAGGTCAGGAGGAGGCTCTGGAACCACCCGCGGTGCTGGTCGGTGCCTTCGAGGCAGACGTCTGAGCCGAACGTCCGGCTGGGCTTTGCACCGGTCTGCGTCTGCGAGGCGTAGAGGTCCTCGAGCGTGCTCCATGCTGTCCCGCTGTCGAACCACACGTCCATCGTGTCCGTGCTCTTCTTCCATAGCTCGTCGAGCTCCGCGTCAGTTAAGCCTTCGCGCCGCGAAAGGGGCACGAACGCAGACACAGGCCCGTCCCACCAGTAGCGGGGGCCATGCGCGCGGAGGACGGCGAGGATGTGCGTCAAGGAGTCGGAGTCGAGCACCGCGGCGTTGGAGGGAAGGTGATAGAGTGCTGGGATGGGGACGCCCCACACGCGCTGGCGGGAGATGCACCATTCGGAGCGGGAGCGGACGAAGGACTCAAGGCGGTTGCGCGCTATGGGGCGAGGGACGCGTCAATACGAGGAATAACGGGGAATAGGATAGCAGAAGTTGACTCACAGATGGCGGGCACGAAGTTGACGTCCTGGAGCGCGGTGATGGCGTCGTCCTTGATATCGTCCAAATTCGCGAACCACTGCGAGGTAGCACTATCCGCAACTGCCACGTAAGCCCCTTGCCATCACGAACACAACTAAAAGGGATACTGCTACTAACAGGGTAATCACAGGCTTGGCCGTCTTCCAGTCGTACGGGTAGCGGTGCTTGAACCGCTGGACCTTCCGCAGCGCGCCGATCTTCGTGAGCAGCGCGACGATCGCCCTGCCGCCATCGGACAAGACGTCCTTCGCCACGAGCTCGCTAGCAGCCTCCTTCCCAATGACGTCCGCAACGTCCTCCGTGAATTGACCTAACCCGTTCACGTGGCAAATAATTTCGCGACTGCTGTTCGGGGCAGGCACCGGGGTGGACGCCGTGGAAGAGGCGATAGGCGCAGAAGTAATGAGACCGAGGGTCTGCATGACGGCGTAGTCTTCCGCACCGTGCGCTGGGGCACAATGGACGAGGCCTGTGCCGGAGTCGTTCGTAACGTGCGGGGAGGCGATGATCGGCAGGGAGGGCAACGTCGTGGATAACTCGTGCAGGGGTGCGAAGATGGGACGGTAGGCCGCTCCAACGAGCTCCGATCCTAGGCAACGCTCAGTAACGAGACCGCATATAATCACGAAGCTTACGTACCGCTAATATCTCCCAACGGCTCTAGGGACGACGCAAAGAGACCGGAGACAGACTTGAGGGCGTCTTCACGATCAGTGGCATAGATGAGAACAGTTTCGGAATTGTCCTCGCCCTTAATCGAAGCGACACGGTACAGCATATCTGTGTTGGCGGCGATTGCCTATGGGCCAACCACCCTGTCAGCATATATGCGCCCCAATCGGCGCGCGCTGAACCCACCATATTTGCAGTAAGCGTCCAGGGCGTTGTGGTCCATACAAGCAACGAAACCTTCTCCTTCCCAGCAATCAGAGCACGCAAAGCTTCAGATATGTTGTTGCTGGTGAGGTCGAGTGGGAACGTGACGTATACTGAGTGGGAGACGTGCGCGTCGTTATATTCCAATTCAGCTTCCGCAAGGGCAGAACGAGACGACGGAGAGTAGTGCACAGGACGGTGTTGACGATATATCAATCCCTTCTCAACCATAGTCTTGAAGATCTCGAGTTGCCGCAATTCATATTCCGGGTCTGGGTGCCCCGGATGTCAGTGGACGGTACGTGTCAATATATGCGCAGGTACCGACCCAGTGTCCGGTAGGTCGTGTCAAGCCCCCAGTTGGCCATGATGCCGAATTCCTGGAACTGTGCCATCTGAGAAGCGACTTCCTTCCGTGCGCACTTCTCGGCTTCCTCACGAACTTGGGAAGGCGTTAGCTCGTTCACGTCAACCTGCTGATATATGAGACTCGGTGCTAGACGAAGGGCGCATTACGTACTCCGAGCTGTTTGAGGACCTTGTTCTCGATAGGGAGTCCATGGCAGTCCCAACCAGGGTGGTAACTTGACATGGTCGGTCAGTGGACATCACATTCGGGTGACCAGCATCGTACTTACTGAACACGGTGACCCAAGGAAACATGATAACGATTTATGACATCCTTGAGAATTTTGTTCAAAGCATGTCCTGACGGCGAGCGGGTCAGCGCAACAACTTCGTGAGAGAAGGCGAGCCGATCGCAGACATCCGTACAGCTCCGAGATGCGCTCGAAGTGCATGGCAGGAGAAAGAGCGATTGTAAAGGGACATAATGTAGCTATTGTGGAAGTTATAACCAACCGATGTGAAGGTCACCGTTGGCATACGGGGGTCCGTCAAGGAAGACAAACAGCGGGCCATTGGCATGTCGGGACTATGGAGGAAAGTCAGTAGATGACTTTGGCTGGGTTGCCAGCAGGCGCCAACCTGCCATTGGTAAAGACCGTCGGTCGTCTTGGTCTTGATGCTTGGATCCTTGGACGGGTCATTGTACAAGGGGAAGCTAGTTTTGGGAAGGAGCAGCGTGTCAGCCCAGCGGGGAGCAGACTGCTGGTCCTGAGCGGTCTGCGATGGTGGGCGGGAGGAGAGACATCTACGAGACCATTGGCGAGTAGAGCAGAGTCGTGGGCCCGGGCTGAGAAGAGACCAGCGGGGCATGGACCGGAGAGCGAGCCTGAGCCGGGGACGAGACAAAGCAAGGCTGCTGGCGCCTACTCCCCGCGACGCGCACAGAAGCACCGGTCACGTGGCTAACGCGCTTGTGCCGAGCGTGTTATTTTGTTGTATTTGGTGGCTGGTGTTGAACAAAACTAGCCGGGTCGTCGGCGTCAGTGCTCATCCACATCCAACTCTGTCCTACTCCATCCTGTACGCCTAATTCCACAAGACCTCTGCTGTCTCTTTCATGTCTTCAGCCATCCCAGTAAGTGTCCTACAGTCTTAAGCAACCATTTTCGTGGGTGCTCAACGTCGTTCGTATCAGACACGGCGTGTGACGCGGGCTGCCGGTCGCACCACCGTCCTTAAAGACAAGGAGAATGCAACAGCACGTCCTGGACGTACAGCAGCCTCCCGCGCGAAACCCCCATCCACACAAGCCGCCGCAGAGAAACCAGAGAATGTAAAGCCGCCAGGGCTCATCCGCGCTACCGCCTCCACCGCAGCCACCAGGGCAAAGTCCATTGGTGTCGCTGCTTCCAAGGCCGACCCTGTTCCCCAGGTCAAGCGCAAGCGCGAGGCCCTCGGCGAGGTTCCGAAGCCCCCGGAGAACAAGGCCAAGGCCAGCGTCGGGACGTCAGATCTCAAGGGCAAGGAACGAGTCAAGGAGATCAAGGAGAAGTTTGAGGGAGTCATTCTCCAGAAGACGACCACGACAACCACTGCCCGTAAGCCCCTTCGCACTGTTGTCGGTACGACAACTACAACCACTGTCACAACGACAGCGACGCGTCGTACTCGGACGGCCGCACATGGGTCTCAAGCGCAAGGTCTGAAACCACTGCGCGAGGATGACGAGGACGCTATGGCTGTGGACCATCCGCCCCCTCCGCCCATTCCCTCACCAAAACGGTTCGTTGCTGCTCGCGAAGCTGTTCGTTCTGGCGTTCCCGCAGCGTCGAAAGTGCCCCGGCGCATCGCTCGGACATCAAAACCGGACGATGACGAAGAGGAGGTGAATCGGGTACACAAGAAGCGTCGCACGTCATCGGACATGCCTGATGTGGAGGCACTGCACGAAGAGGAGGTTGAGAACGCTGTTGCACCACAAGAGGAGGACCCGGAAGGCGACCACTGGGATGACTTGGACGCGGAGGATGCAGACGACCCGCTCATGGTCAGCGAGTACGTTGTCGAGATCTTTGAGTATCTGAAGGACGTTGAGGTATGTTGTTGTCGTCCAATATCTATATATGCGCATATATTGAGCTTTACTAGCAAACCACCATGCCTAACCCCAACTACATGGCAAACCAGAAGGATCTTGCGTGGAAGATGCGTGGCATCCTCACCGACTGGCTTATTCAGGTTCACTCGCGTTTCCGCCTCTTACCTGAGACTCTCTTCTTGTGTGTCAACATCATTGACCGCTTCCTTTCTGCCCGCGTCGTGTCCCTTGCAAAGTTGCAACTTGTCGGGATCACGTGCATGTTCATCGCGGCCAAACTCGAGGAGATCGTCGCCCCTTCCGCGAGCAACTTCCTCTACTGCGCAGACTCTTCGTACACCGAGGCTGAGATCCTCCAGGCCGAGCGTTACGTGCTCAAGACCATCGACTGGAACCTGAGCTATCCTAACCCAATCCACTTCCTTCGGCGCATCAGCAAGGCTGACGACTATAATGTCCAAGTACGCACGATTGGCAAGTATCTGCTTGAGATCCAATGTCTGGAGTGGCGTCTTATCGCTGCGCCGCCTTCCCTGCTCGCTGCCGCGTCCATTTGGTTGGCGCGCCTGATCATTGGGACCCCCGATTGGGTAAGTGACGGTTCAGCTTCTTGTATGTCGCTTCCCTTTTATCTTATGAGCTATGCAGACAGCCAACCTCGCGCATTACTCGTCGTATCGCGAGCGTGACATCATTCCCACCGCGAACCTAATGATCAACTACATCCTCAAGCCCATCAGACATCAGTCCTTCTTCAAGAAGTACGCTTCGAAGAAGTACCTGAAGGTATGTATATCATACTTGTTATCATCGTTTACTGAACTTAATTTGCGTCTTTACCGTTCGTTGCACAGGCAAGCATCTTCGTTCGGGACTGGGCATTTGCACGATGGGAGGAAGGTTCGCAGGTGTCGCTGCAGGCTGAGCTGCCTGCGCTCAAGGAGATCATCAACGAGCAACGCGCCCAGGAAGAAGAGCAAATGCTACTTGCGCAGGCAGCACAAGAGCAAGGCGATAGCGACGGAGAAGTGTTCCAAGCATGAACGTCTTTGATTCCTCCTTCGGCGATTATGGACGGACGGTCACGCGTGGACAGCGCGTTTGGATAAGGATACCCCGGCGAACATCCCTACCATCGTCTCGCTCTTCGTCGTCGTTCTTTGCTCTTCGTTCCCCGCGCGCACGGTCACGCGTTGTGTTGTCTAGCATGAACTTGTGCCGACGCTCTCCTCGGACGCTACGCTTCGCTCTCAGTTCAAAACTGCATGTCTGCATACCCGCATGATGTTTATTGTTGTCCTAATCGCCGTCGGTCCCCTGCACGCTGTACATTCTCCTCACCTCCCGTTTCCCAATGCCTTCTGGCTTGTCCCCTGCAGACCTGGTGGCTCGCCCGTTGCCCGCCTGTTGCCCCCCTCGACCCACCGTTGCATTCTCTAGTATACGTTCACCACGCGACCCATGTCCCTGTTCACACCCATGTCCGCCTCACTTGTATCTATCTATTCCCCACACCTCAATCCCACCCTCACCATCCCCATCACCACACTTCGCGTTAGATCCACATTGCACAGTAGTACGTAGTCTTACGCACGCATCACATACCTAGGTACTGACCCTACCCATATGTTATGAGCAGTCGCCGTCTTCTCGTCACCGTTAGTACCGTACCAGCCCGCATGTCTACCGCACCTGTGTTCTATGTCGATCTTGCTTTGTACACTAAGAATTTAAATCGAATCGTCCCGCATCAAAGGCGGGGCGCGAACTGACCAAGTGCATGCTATGAACTGTGGTTCGCGGTGAATCTCTACTCCTATATAGGTACTTGTCATCGACTGCCAAGTGATGCAACATTTGGTCTTATTCGCAATGACAACAGACGACCCCGTGCCCAATACTGTACGTGTACATGTCAAAGATATCTACTGACTACCAAACCGGTCGCTGCGTCGTCCCCCATAGTAACACCTCCCGGAGGCCAGTGCGCCTAGTACGAGCGGCCGAACAAGGTCCAGCGCTTCGCGTCCTTGCCGCACCCGACGCACTTGGTGACCCCAGGCTCGATCTTCGGCCACCTGCTCTGGTCGAAGGGGATGCACAGGCTCTTCGCACCCGCCGACGGCGCGCGCTCGTCCGTCGGCTCGGACGCCTTCGCGGAGCGGTCCTTGATGTCGTCCTCGCACGCCTCCGCCTCGCACCAGGGGATGACGACGACGCACTTGTCGTCGAGCGTCGGCACGAAGTCCTCCCAGCGGCGCACCTCGCGCAGGCGCGCGAAGTACGTCTCCTGCGCGCGCCGGAACATGTCCGCCTGGATCGTGTCGAGCAGCGCGGAGACGGTCTGCGCGATGTTCGCGAGCGGGACGGGCGCCTTGGCGCCTGTGTCGCGGCGCGCGGTGAGCGTCTGGGACTTGGCGAGGTCCTGGGGCCCGATCTCGAGGCGGAGGGGGACGCCCTGTATTTGTGGTGAGGGAAACGGGTCAGCGAGCTACGCAGAACGGGCAGAAGGTGGGACCGTAAGCACTCGCCTTCTGCTCCCAGTCGTTGAACTTGTAGCCGGGGGTGTAGCCGTCGCGCAGGTCGGCCTGCGCGCGGATGCCCGCTGCCTTGAGCTGCGCGGCGAGGTCCGCCGCGGCGTCGTTGACCGCCTTGCGCTGCTCGTCCGTCGACTTCGCGGTGATGCCGCAGGGGACGACGACGACCTGGAGCACGGCGACGCGGGGCGGGAGCACGAGGCCCTGGTTGTCCCCGTGGATCATGACCATGACGCCGATCGTGCGCGTCGAGAGGCCCCACGAGTTCTGCCAGACGTACGTCTTGCCCTGGCCGGAGGGGTCGGCCGGGTCCTCGACGACGATGTTGAACATCTCCGGGCGGGAGAAGTTCTGGCCGAGGCAGTGCGACGTCGCGCCCTGGATGCCGCGGCCGGTGGTGGGCACGAAGCCCTCGACGGTCGTCGTGTAGAGCCCGCCCGCAAACTTCTCCTTTTCGGACTTGACGCCAGGGATGACGGGCACGGCGAGCAGCTCCTCGTACACGCGGCGGTAGAGGTCGAGGATCTGGAGCACCTCCTCGTCCGCCTCTTTCTTGGTGAGGAACGCAGTGTGGCCCTCTTGCCACAGGAATTCACGCGTGCGGAGGAAGGGCTGCGGGTTCTTAAACTCCCAGCGGACGACGCTGTTCCACTGGTTCAGCTTGAGGGGGAGATCGCGGTGGCTCTGGATCCACTTCGCGTAGTCTGACTTGGGATTAGTGGGAGCGTGGGAGCGGCAGACGTAGACGACCTACAGGGGTACATAACGGTTTCGGAGGTGGGACGGATAGCGATCGGTTCTTCAAGTTCTGACTTGCCTCTACACGTCCGGGGCTAAGCAAGTTGACGATGAACGCATACCTTAGCACACTTACGCTCGTGTTACCCAAGCAACCTCCGGAGAGAAGCCCTCAACGTGATCCTTTTCGCGCTCCAGGACTTTGGCGGAGACGAACATGGGAAAGTAGGCGTTCTGGACGCCCATTGCCTTGATCTTGCTGTTGAACCATTCTGTGCCACTGTCAGCTCAAGTGCGCTATGACGCTGTGAAAGAGAGATGCACAAACCTTGGATGGTCTCCCATATGCTATATGACCAGGGACGGAGGATGTAGCACCCAGAGACGTTGTAGTACTCCAACATATCGGCCTTGATGAGCACGTTGGTGTACCATGTCGGGAAGTCGACCTCCTTCTTCACCCCAATAGCAATCTGGACCGCACCCTCGATCTTGGCCTCCTCCTTCTCCTTCTTTACGGGGGCCGATGTCCTCACGGCAGCGGCGGCACTGTCTGCGGTAGCCTGGAGGGTGGCGACATCGACCTCGTGCAGTGTGGGGGCACCTCCGGCTGCGAACTGCTTGACATATGCATAGAGATCCTTGCCGGACAGGAAAACGGTTGAGTCTGACGAGAGTCCGCGGACTGCGAATACAGATGTTGAGGAAGCGATAGAGGACTCGATGACGGTGGTGATTTTGGGGTATGTTTCTGAGGTGATAGCGAGGGGGGAGACTGCGTGAAAGGCAGATCAGTTAGCCATCGCTCATATTGCTTCTTAGCCCAGCGCGGTAGAACTCCGGGTACGCATTCCTCCCTCGGGAACGCGAAGGTGCCCAGAATTTTGGCACCGGACCGAACGGATTCACGAGTGATGGTGGTATACAAGACGATAGATGGAGACTCACGAGAGTTTTTGTCGAGGTTGAAGAACTCCTTGAGCAGATCTTCCGAAGCGAGGCGCAACTCCTTCAGGTTCAGGTGCTTCCCGAGCGTTCCTGATGGCACATCAGAGCTTTCTCGTGCAATGACAAAGACGGGGACAGGAGTCGCGGTCTTCGCGGTCTTGGGCTTGTACACGAGCGTCTTGATCAGCTCGAAGCCCTGCGGGGCGGACCCGCTTGCCTGGAGAGCGTCGCGCCAGGACTGGGGAGAGTTGGTCGGGCCATGCGAGACGGTCGCGGCCGGGGAGATGGACAGTTTCGAGAGGGATGTTGTGATGGACTCTAGAGACATAGCAGGTGGTGAGGAGTGGAGGGATCTGTGGGGAGGAACGGCTGGGCGGAGGGCGCGGCGGTGAGTAGAAATGCTGCTGGGCTTGTGGCTCGTCCTGTCGGCGCTTTGCGAGATTGACTCGACGGTTTTGGAGGGAGATGTTATCAGATGCCGCGATAGAACGGACCGTCCCAGTCGAGGGATCCGTCTCCCAACAGCCCTCGGGGCAAGCATTCGCGCGCGTCAGGACAAAGAGCAGCCAGCGCGACCTCCCAGCCAACCTCGACGCGATCGGGGCGCTCACCGCGCTCTATGTAATCTACGCGAACTCGGATCTCTATCATACTCTCCAGTAACCAGTTGAGCGAGAGTCAGTGGCAGTCAAACCAACGTGGATTTAGTCCTGCGACCTAATTCTATTGGAGGCATTGTCATGTATTTACAGACACAATGGATGCATGCTATGTATGTGGCGACAACGGTGGCCCAAAGACGAGCAACGATTACTCCTCTGTCTCCCTTCCGAGTCGTCGCCGTACAAGTACAAGCCCGTGAACTGCTAAACTGCCGTCCGTGCGAGCTTTCGCGACGTATAAAAGAGAAAGAAGGCTAGACGAGCGATGATGGTATAAGCTATCTTACAATTCTCGAGAAACAGCCAAGAAAACGCTTCAGCAAAGACATTCAAGGGTGTCTCGTTCTTCAAAATGACGTAGATCTGTCGTGGCGTATATCGTGACGGTCGTGGTCGTATTCGCAGCGTCTGCGGTGGAAGGGCATGGTCCATAGCCGCTCAGTCCGCACCTGAGCTCGGCGTCCTCGAGGTAGGTGTCGCCTCCTCCTCCAGCTGGTACTCCGGCTTCTCCGCGAGCTCCTCCTCGAGCGCCTTGCGGCCCTCCTCTGTGAGCTTCGGGATGCCCGTCGAGATGTCGTTCTCGAAATACCTCGGAACGAATCTACAAAAGCGACCTATCAGCATAGACGTTCCAACAGTCCACGAGCGCGATACTCACGGTACGCCCTTACGCTTGCGCTCCGCAGCATCATCGCGCTGCTTCTGCTCGATCGCCAGCTTATGCTTCGTCGCGTCGCTGTACTCCTTCTTGACCAGCCGCGTCGTCACGTTCTCCCACAGCTTCCTGCTCTCGTTCGGGAGCTGCTTCTCCAGCGGGCGCACCGCCTTCGGGATGACCGCCAGCGTCGAGACGTCGATGAGCGTCGCGTACTCGCTGTCCGGCGCGTCCACGCGCTTCCACCTCACCCTCCCCCTCCACGACCCGTCGAACACTGCCAACACGCGGTCCTTCGGCACGTGCTTCACGCGCGTCCATTCCTCGTGCACGCTCTCCTCCGGGTCGTACGTGTGAATGACGCCCTCGAGCGCGAAGTGCGCCTTCCCCAGCCACGACTCCTCCTTGTACTCGATGATCGCCCTCAGCTTCTGCCCGTCCGCGCCGCCCGAGCACGTGATGATCGTCGAGTCGCCGACCGCGACGTAGAAGCTGCCCCGGAGGAGCCCATTCACGGACGCGACGGGGTGCGTGATGTGGTACTGCTCGCCCGCGCCCGCGCCCCCAGTGATGCGCACGAAGATGCCCTTGTTGAACGACCCCGGCATGACGCGCAGCGTCGTCCCCGACACCTTCGCCGAGATCTGGTCGATGCCCATCAGCTCGAGGTGGCGGCTCGGGCACACGGCGTGGTACGCCGAAACCGGGGGGTGGTGCGACACCTGCTCGGTGAGGTACGCGATGCGCACGCGCGGCTTGTCCGCGGGTCCGTCCGCCTCGAGGAGATCCGCCGCGCCCGACGCGCGGTCGTTCGCGAGGCTCAGGCTCGACGCGCCCGCCTCGGGGTTCGTCTCGCCGAGCTCGGGGGACGTCGAGGGCGTCGTCCTGCCCGTGGTGGAGTACCCGCGCGACATGAAGCTGAGCCCGCTGAACCCGCTCTTGCCGCTCTTGACGCTGGCGTTCTCTGAGAGCGAGGGATGCGTCACATTGGGTGTAGACGCTGCGCCGGAGGAGAAGAAGTATGACGATGATTGCACAGGTTCAGGAGCAGGCGGCGTGATGTACAGGTGCTGAATTGGGGGTGCATTCGGATCGGAGGGGTAGGTGACAGGTATCACGTCCCAGTGCGAACGGAAGTGCTCGCCAAGGACAGAGTTGTACGGCTTGCAGACCTTTCCTTTCTGTTAATCTGGTCAGTGCCTTTACCAAAAGCGAGGCCCTCGCGGGCAGAAGACGGATGATGCTGTAGCCACAAAAGGATGCCTGTGCGTCCGCAGCTGTCATGACGAGAAGCGCATGCACAGGGGAGGAGGTTACCCTATGGGGGAAGACCAAGCACAAGCAAGGGTCGGAACTGATTGGGAAGATTGGGGCACCAAGTGCACGCTCCTAGCGACTCCGCCATGCCAAGGGGGCTTCACGGTTGTGCGCGTAAGCCATCGGGGGGGGGAAGGGACGGTAGCATATGTATTGTGTGCCATTTCGCAAATTCAGAGGGCTTCACGCAGGCAAGGCAGTGTACGAAAGAAACCTGGAGAAACGAGATTATACACTTACAACGAACTTAAGGTCCTTTGAGAAGGTGAAACGCAGTGTAGCCAGCATACGCTCGAAGGGGTCATCGGAATCATTGATACTGTGAACAGATCCATTCAGCGATGTAACTCATGGCACTGTGTAGCGCATCTACTCACGCAGCGAAGAGGTCTGGTCGGTCCAAGTAGTGCCAGTACTCAAGGTTAGGAATAGGTTCCAGCAACGAAGCCGGAAGTGAAAGACGCCTAGAACATACTGTCGGTCACAGACGAACGCGTGGCGAATATGTGAGAAGGCATACATGGCTGCGATATCTTTCACTCCAAGACACTTCTTGACGAGCTGGACGATCATCTTCAGCTTCCCGCTCTCGCCAGTGTCACCAGAATCTGGAACGGAGATGGGCTGGCCAGGAGCATCCTCGTCGAGCGGGTTAGTCGCTTCGTTCTTGTCGAAGGAGCTCATCGCGATCGTAGGGAGAGAATGAAAGGTAAGAGAGCAAAGGCGAGAGGATGACAAGATCGAGACGAGTCGGAACGGGGCGGGAGACAAGGAACGTGTGTCACCGCTCGCGCAGCCCCACTGCCCGTAACCAGTCAAGCTAGGTAACCCCTTCTCGTAATAGCAAATTGCAATAGCTTCCTTGGCTGCTGCACGGTTCTCCTCGTCCCCGAACACAAAAAAAGCGATGAAAGCATACTGATATGGTTCGACCCGGGCTCGAACCGGAGACCTCCTGTGTGCACACTAGGTTCGAAACCCATGTGAGACAGACGTGATAACCAACTACACCATCGAACCGTTATTCAGAGTGGTCGTTGATATTATATGTTTTTGCTAATTGTGAGCACTGGCCGTTGTCGTGCCACCGCAGTCGTGAGCAAGTTCTGAACAAACCATGTAGGCAGGCCGTAATAATGGGTATCAACATCGCGTAAGAAAATACATGGTGTCTATTGCACAGTCAGGACTGATCTTCATGCCAGGATGATCTGTGATTTTTTCCATCCGAATGTGGGTGGGGTGGAGAACAACATTTATATGCTCAGCGCGAACCTGATACGGCGCGGTCACAAGGTACGGATGCCTATATTCACTTGCAAGATATTACTGAAAGTGACATAGGTCATCGTGATAACGCACAGCCATCCTCCAGATCGAGTGGGCGTCCGGTGGTTACTGCCAGGGCTGAAAGTCTACTACATCCCATTTCCCACAATCGCCTCTTCTGCAACTCTGCCTAATTATTTCACATTTTTGCCCTACTTTCGGACGATTGTTCTACGGGAGAACATTCAACTGGTACACAGTCACGCCGGTCTCTCCTCACTGGGTCAAGAAGGAATCCTACATGCTCACCTCTTGGGGGTGCGGACGGTCTTCACTGATCACAGTCTGTTCGGTTTCGACGATGCCGCAAGCATATTGACAAACAAGCTACTTGAAGCGGCACTGCGTAACGTAGATGCCGCTATCTGTGTCTCCCATACTGGGTATACGATCTACCCTCGTTTTATGTATAGTTTCCTGCGCTGACCATTTGCCCAGGCGCGAGAACACAGTCCTACGAGCGAGACTACAGCCGAGTGTGGTGCACGTCATTCCAAATGCACTCGTCGCGGACCAGTTTAAGCCCCCTTTGAAGCTACCTTCAGAAGATACCAGTAAGGGTGTTGCTACTACGTCACTTGCCGCCTGCTCTCATTCTCGCAAGTCACCATTGTGGTGGTGGCCAGGTTGGCGTACAGGAAAGGCATAGATTTATTGATCGCTACAGCACCTCGAATATGCGCCATGTTTCCCAACATCAGATTCCTCATCGGTAGGTTCCTGACGCAAATATTACAAAGTGAATGCTCATAGGACTTAGGTGGTGACGGACCCAAGATGATCGACTTGCTCCAGATGCGGGAGAAGTATTTTCTGCAAGACCGTATAGAGGTCCTAGGAGCTGTCCGCCACAGCGACGTTCGGAACGTGAGTCAACGAATGGATCCGGCTATGTTCAATATTCACATTTGCCGAATCAGGTTCTCGTCCAAGGGTCCATCTTCATGAACACGTCCCTTACAGAAGCTTTCGGGATTGCCATCCTAGAAGCTGCCTGCGCAGGACTGTACGTCGTTTCTACGCGTGTAGGAGGAGTCCCGGAGATCCTCCCAGAGGACATGATATCGTTTGCAAATCCAGACGAAGATGGTCTGTGCCGCAGTATGCATCGCCACGCTCAGTAATTGAACGTTCCTCTCAGACGTCGTCCGTGCCATGTCGGAAGCCATCCGCATCGTATCGGCCGGTAAACATGACCCTTATCAGGCGCACGAGCGCATCAAACACTTCTATGACTGGCAAGAGATCACTCAGCGAACAGAGGTCGTCTATGAGTCTATCATGGCCTCAGAACCGTACGATTTCTGGACACGCCTGAACCGGTGAGCTCGCTCCCAGTATCATACATGAGGATATGGCTTACATCGATTACAGAACGCTAGACGTGGGACACATCGCAGGGATCATATACGCCATTATCCTCCTCGTCGATTGCCTCTTCTTCATGTTCCTCGAGTGGTGGCTCCCTGAAGAGCAAATAGATAAAGTGCAGATGCACTGGATCCCGGAGCGCTTTCGAGAGGTATGCCAGCTTAAGATATTAGGGTCGCACTTTCTCTCATTCGGTCGCAATGATAGGTTGCCGAAGAGCATGACGCTCGCTGAACAATACAGGATACTGTACTCCTGTTTGCCATCGGTCAACTTCGTCAGAAGTCGGTCACCCGTGTGGACTCGTTCGGCTTCCCTATCAGCAGATCCCAAGTCGCATGTGGACAATAGGAATTATGTATACTTTCTCGGCTGTCCGGACCGTCTCTGAATGATGTGCTGTGCCTCACGTGTTTTGTGAACATCCATCAAGGTTCTGAGGTAGAACGCGGTCAAGTCGGACAAGAAAAACTTTGGACGTCTTTTCCCCTTTGACCCGCTCCTCCATCCATCACGGTAGCCAATATGGGCTCTTCACTCGAGGTCGAGAAGACGAGCAACATCTCTGACGACCAGGCAAACGAACTCGTGGCGACCAAGCCGCCGACATGGCTTACCAAGATAACGAAGTTTGTCGCCCATTGGGGGGTGGAGACGAACGGGTTCGTCCTCCTTTAGCGAGTTACTGGACTTCGCCAATTCCTGATGATGCCACAATAATGCCGCAGGATTGATCCAGTTTTACCGGAGGAGAGGAAAGATACCAGAATGTATCAGATGTTTTTCGTGTGGTTTTCTGCCAACATCAATATTCTCACGTGCGTGCTATTTCTTTGCGCCGCAGTTGTGTTCCAGCTCATGTGAGTAGGTTTGGTACTGGCTCGTCAGGCCCTGCATTCTTTGGTCTCGGACTGCGAGATTCCCTCCTGGTTATACTCGTCGTGGACCTCATGTGCGTGGTGCGTCTTTCAAAGAACGACCGTAATCTCACTAGCGATGTAGATCATGTGCTATCCCTGCTTACTTGTAAGCGCAGCGACGCATGACGTTTTAGTGCATCCTGAACGGACTCTCTTGAATCGTACAGCGCCGTCTTTGGCCCTAAATTGGGCATGCGCTCCATGGTCCTTGCGCGATACTCTTGGGGGTCAGTGACATTCCTCATTAAGACCTGTGAAAAGACACTGAGCTTCCTGGCAGATATTACGGGTCAATCATACCCAGTGCCTTCACTGTCTTCTCGATGCAAGGGTTCCTCATCCTCAACTGTATAGTCGGGGGACAGACGCTTGCAAGCGTTTCGTCTCACCTTAATGATACGCTGGGAATAGTAATTATTGGCATCATCTCCCTTGTCGTAAGTCGGGTGAGGGTTACCATGAATTTGATTACACACTCACAGCCCTCAGGTCACATTCTTCGGTTACCGTGTCATCCATTGGTACGCCTTTTCCCCTGACTGAGTGCATGTCAACATAATGATGTATTGCGTCTAGGTATGAGACAGTAGCTTGGATCCCAAGCGTCATTGCCTTCATCGTCATGCTCGGTACGGGAGGACAGCACCTCGGAAGCCACGTACCTCCAGGCGAGCCGGCTTCGGCTGCCTCTATCCTGTCATTCGCCACTACTGTTGCGTCGAGTGTCATCAGCTGGTGCGTGATGACGCCCGACTACGGCGTGTATCACACCAGCAAAGCGTCCGCGTTCGTACGCCCAGTGCGATGATCGCCCGAACTGCGCTAATGCATTATCGCTTTACAGCACGCGTGTGTTCTTGTACAGCTATGCAGGCTTCCTCGTGGCTAGCGTGAGCCAACAAAACAAACGTCTATCAGACCCTACGTTGACAGTATCATACATCTAGCTCGTCGCGCATATGCTCGGCGCTGCCTTCGCTGCCGCTGCGCCTGGTGTACCTGAATGGGAGACAGGCTTCGACAACGGAAACAGCGTCGGCGGCCTCGTTGAAGCTGTTCTTTCACCTGCAGGCGGTTTTGGCAAGTTCCTAACAGTGGTCATCGCATTGTTCATTCCAAGCGCATGTGCGCCCACGATGTACACATTCGCATCGAGCTTCATGACCATTCACGCTTGGCTGGGACGTGTACCCCGTTACATCTACACGATCATCTCCGAGGCAATGTCAGTGGACCTCTCATTCATGGGTGCCGCATGCAGTCGCTGATTCCTTCCAGTTTGATTCCAGTCGCCATTGTTGGCGCGACGCACTTCTACACGACCTTCGTGGACATCCTAAACGCTATCGGCTACTGGAGCACCATCTTCGCTGCCATCGTGATCGTCGAACATCTCACCTTCCGCCATAATGACTGGGAGTGGTACGATCTCTCCCAGTGGAACAGACCGAGAGAACTGCCTCTCGGACTTGCTGCCGTCTTCGCCTTTCTTTTTGCTGCAGGGATCATTGTTCCCTGTATCGATCAGGCGTGGTACGTTGGGCCTATCGCGAACACGGGTACCGGCGACATCGGCGTCATTGTTGGATTCGCCCTTGCCGTCATATGTTACCCGGTGTATAGAGCTATCGAGCGTGCGCTCTCTGGCAGATAGATGTGTGATTGTGTACTGGTTTTACAGTTTGTATTTGGTCCTAGCGATTCCTGCAGTAACATTCTTGGCGGCTAGCCGAGCTGGTAGCCGATGCTCGTACGCATGCACGATCCACTGAGCGTCGAAAATCAGTACACATGCCTGAGAAATCCATGTTCGCTTTCCAGACATACCTCGCAAGCCATTGGTCGAGTGTCTCGCGGATCAATGATCTCTTCTATGCCGAAGACATGTGCGGTCCGCGTCGGATCTCGTACCCCCTCAAACTTCGCTAGCAAGTCCTTCATCATCTTGTCCCGCACTGCTGGGGACGGAGCGCTGTCGAGCTGTCTCTTGTATGCCGCTTCAATCCCTCCTTCAAGAGGCAGGCTGCCCCAATCGGCAGAGGGCCTAAAAAGATGTTTGCGCTCAGCTCTGGCAGGGAACACATGAAGACGTACCAAGCTACACGGTCATTGAGGCCGTCTCCAGGATCGGACAGCGCACCACCCGCTACGCCGAAGGAGCGACGTATGATGACCGTGAATATGGGGATTGTGGCATGGTATAGGGCGGACATGATGGCTACCCCATGACGGATCGTGGCTGCCTTCTCAGCCGCAGAGCCTGCAGAAACATGTTGAACGTTATTTCCACAAGGATAGATGATCGCATCGATGCCTACCAATGGCGAAGCCCGGTTGATCTACCAGATTCAATAGTGGGATGCTTTGACGACCTCAGCGATGGAGACTCAGCTGTCATGAAGGGGTGCTCACCCGAAGCGGTCGCATAGGTTGACGAAGCGCGCTGCCTTCTGAGAGGCCAGCGCATCGAGTGCACCTCCACCAACTGTACAATCACTAGTGAGGACCCCGACAGACCGGCCTGCGAGGCGAGCAAAACCAGTGACGACGGATCTACCCCAGGTAGAACCGATCTCAAAGAACGAAGTCGGAGATGGCTGTTCCGAGGTAGGACTCGAGGGAGGACTAGCTACATCCACAATCAGTCGTACAAGTCTCCGAATGTCATATGCGCGAGCTCGTCGTCGCGGGATGACGTCAATCAGCTCCTCTTCTCTCCTGTCCGTCGGGTCAGGAGAAGAGAAAACAGGAGGCAAGACATGAACGGAAGTCGGAAGGAAAGACAGGAAAGTGCGGAGTTGATGGAAAGCTTCGGACTCCGAGGCAGCAACGTTGTCTACAGTACCATTTCGTGCATGGATCTCCCAACCACCGAGCTCCTCTTTGGTAAGCTCTTCAAAGGTGGCCTGCTTGACCACAGGAGGACCTGCTGCAAAAAGCTTGACTCAGGCTGTGAGCGGAATGTCCGGGCAACACTAAGGGGCGCCGTACCTGGCTGACTCCTTTGACCATCACGCTGAAGTGGCTGGTCACTGCCTTAGCCGAACCCAGCCCAACAACTGGTCCGAGCAGTGCACTGACGACCGGTATTAAAGTCATAGCTGTCATGCTCTGACCGAGTCCGGCCAGAGGTGGTATGTATGTGGCACCAGCGGAGAGGTCTAAAACGAGCGAGCCAACTCAGTGATCATATACACTCCACCAAACCGAGCACGTACATGTGGCAACGCTACCACCCCCACTTGACCCATCCAATAGTCGAATCTAAAGTTGCGCCTCAGGACGGAGTGAGTAGTATAATGACTGAGGTGAACGAACCAGAGGCACTCGGTGTTGGGTAGCAAGAGCCTGTCTCTCGATCAGCGATAGCTCTCTGCCTATCATATAATCGTACGCGTACCTCGCCAAAAGCCGCTTTGCCTTGTACACCTCCGTCTGCGTGACCTCCACGGACGCTGAAGTCATCAGCGGTCACGAAAACCTTCCGACCATCCACCCTGCCCCAACCAGTGACTTGGTTCCTGAACAGACCATTTAACAAACACCATCCTGAATGAGTCAAACGCACACTTACGCAGGAATGAAGTCCATGAGCTCGCCAGTTTTGTCGTCCACCATGGGCTTCCCGGTGAGTGAACCGACCTCGTTGAACGATCCCGGATCGAGAAGCGCGTCTAGTCGCTCCCGAACCCATAACTTGCCGTTCTGCTTTTGTCGTGCATAGCCCGGATCCTGGGGATTCGGGGTCCTGTTCTTGACTTGCACCTTCCGAATCCTAGAGACTGCATACTAAGAGAGCATGGCGACACGATATGAGTGGTTATGGCATAATTTGGATCGTGGGGGAGTACCTTCCAGGTCGTGCCGTCATCATCCTCGACAGCACTGGCGTCGTGAGCCTCACTCTCTTCCGTCCTCGATGTGGCCACTGGCGACTTGCCCTCTGGACTCGACGGGCCTTTCGGCATTCTTCTGGTGTTGGTCTACTTTGACCTGTGGTTCGCCCGCTTCACGGCACGGGCGACTCCTGACATAGCGGTCACGATGGTCGGCATACCGTGTACTACAAGCACCCGGGAATCACGGGCTCCTCCATACCCGGATATTCGAGGGCGCACGACATGAACCTGGCTGTCCTACTACAGTCTTCAAGGGCTCCGAGCAGCCTTACGAAGAGTCCATCATCGTGGTCCAGCATGGGCACGCCGAAGATCCTCGTGGCGAATCGGGGAGAAAGTGAGTACCCAACTATCGCCTGCTGCCAGAACACCAGCCTCATGGCATCTTTCGTTCCTATCCAGTCGCAGTACGTATATTTCGGTCTGCAACAGAGTTGGGATGGCAGACAGTTGCCATATACACGGAAAAGGACGAGTCGCACGCGTCGTATGCGGATGAAGCCGTGCTGTTGGACTCGCCCGCTCGGTTCATGGACGCAGATCACATAGCCGACATCGCTCGTCGGTGAGTACTCCACCAGGGACCATCCCACGCCGGACCTGATCCATTGAGCATGACGATAGGACTGGCTGCACGCATGTACACCCCGGCTATGGCTTCCTGAGCGAGAGCCCCAAGCTCGCGGCCTTGTTCTCCACCCCTCATCCAAACGAATCTGCTAGCATCATCTTTGTTGGACCCTCCGTGGAGACGTTGAAGATTGCATCCGATAAGATGCTTTCCCGGGAGCTCGCAACCTCAATCGGCGTTCCTACAGCTCCCGGCATTCGAGTCTCGTCCGTCGCGGACGTACATCAGTTCATCGAAAAGCTCGGACCGTGCCCATTCCCCATCATTCTGAAAGCATTGGACGGTGGAGGCGGACGCGGCATTCGCCTTGTAAACGCGGCTGGAGACGTCGAGAATGCGTTTCAAAGGTGTCTAGGCGAGAGTCCCTCCAAGCAGATTTTCGCGGAGCAGGCCCTGGTTGGGCGGGGCTGGAAGCATGTTGAAGTACAAGTCGTGGGCGATAGTCAAGGCAATGTGACACATCTGTGGGAGCGCGAGTGCAGTGTTCAGCGGAGGTGTGTGTTTTCTGTGGGTGGTGCTGTCTGGATATCGTAACTGATATCCTCAGGTTCCAGAAGATCATAGAGGTCTGTTGTATGGCTAAGCCAAGAGCACACTGTACTGAACAGATTGGCAGATGGCACCGTCGACCTTGCCGCGAACAGCTATTGAGCCATTACTTGAGGCCGCTCTGAAGATGGCCCGAAAGTTGCGCTACGCCGGACTCGGCACGTTTGAGTTTCTCGTCAATGCACAATCACACGAATGGGTCTTCCTGGAGATCAATCCTCGAATACAGGTGGAGCATACAGTGACCGGTAAGTAATGTGAAACTGTTTGTCATACTTGGTCCTCACACTCTTACTAGAGGAGATCGTCAACGTGGATCTCGTCCACATACAGCTGTTGCTATCGACGAAGACGACGACGCTGACGGACGTACTCCCTAACCACACAATTTCTCCGCCTCCACCGTTTGGTCATGCCATCCAGCTACGTCTCGTGGCGGAAGATCCTGTCCGCTCATTCCAACTGTCTCCGGGAACTTTACGCCCATCAGACATCTCCTGGCCTGCGGGACGAGGAGTCCGTGTCGATACATGGCTTTCGACCGGACCTAGCGCGCACAATCCTGGTTTTGAGTGGACCATTGGAGTCGATTTCGATTCCGTCCTTGCGAAGATCATCGTGCATGCAGGCTCGCCCAGCGAGGCAACTGAGAAGGCGCAGCGAGCCCTCAGAGAGCTTCGAATCTCTGGGGACGTGAAGACAAACCGGGAGTTGCTCGCTGGAGTCCTAGCTCATCCGGACTGGCGCGAAGGAGCGATACACACTCGATGGCTCGAGGAGGCCCCAGACGAGGTACTTCGGTTGGGGAATGATAGGTTACGCGTAAAGAAAGCTCAGCCGAATCCTCTGTCGTCGTCAACGACGGGCGCCAGCAGCGCATCGACTCCCGCGGAAGGAACATCTGGGACAATCCTCCTCCAACCGGGCTCGTCCTTCCAACTATCCATATCATCCTCCCCCTTGTCGGACTCCGATACGCAGGCGCAGAAGCACAGCCTAGTGCTCTCTACAATCAGACACAACGCGTTCCCTAACGAGCTTTCAGGAACGGTGACCACGTCTTTGTCTCCGGAGCCTCTCGTGTTCTCCCTATTGCAACTTTCCTCTCTCGCGACGTCTTCTCACTTCGAGTTCGCCGACCCCCGTGATCCCTCACACCTCTCCTGCCCCATAGCTGGCAAAATTGTGGAACTGCATCCTGCGCTTGCTGCTTTTGGAGATCCCTCTGTTTCTCACGCTTTCATTCGTGAAGGGGAACCATTGGTTGTGGTGAGCGTGATGAAGATGGAGAGCGTAGTCAATGCTCCGAGGAGTGGCAAGGTCTCAAGACTTGGGAAGGGGATCGAGGCTGGTGCGGTTGTTCCAGAAGGTACGCTTGTGTGTATTCTAAGTCCTGCGGAAAACGGGGGCCTGGCGCGATTGTAGAGCGAGGCCTCGTTGCTTTGTCCGACTCGTCCGACTCTCTATCTTTCGCGTGTACAAGAGTCCAGTACTTGATCTCCACAGGACAGATCAGAATCTAAAAATTGTTCTCTTTCGGTACCTCTCCATGTGTCCGTCATCCATTTCGCTCTCAAGACACACCAAGTTCGCCTACTACAAAATGGTTAGAGGTTTGCCTAACACAAACAGGGAGGTACTCGAGTGAGACAAGCCATAGACATGGCGAGGATGCTATCTGGCAATGGTGATAGTATAACTTCTAATGCCAACTCTGCTCGACCTAACCTTGACCATCTTCAGTAAGCCAGGACCTTCAGAGGCTCGAACTTCTGCTCACGATGTCTGATACCCAGCTCTCGAACAGACCTACTTCCGTACTCCGGAGATGCTCCCGCTGCTTTGAAGCCCCAGGGGGAACGCAGTTGAAGCGATGCACCGGATGCGCCTTTGCCCTCTATTGCAGCAAGGAGTGCCAGAAGGCTGCTTGGCCAAAACACAAGTGGGACATGGCTGCCATTCTACCAGACTCGAGATAGGGCTCTCCTCGGAAGACCTCGATCGCTGACCCTGCTGCTTGGCCCTGCAAGGATCCCATGCGTCTACCACGTAGGCCATGCCGCGTCGCCGGCCATAGAGGACGCTGCACGCCGCTTTGGCTATAGGAACATCATCGAAATCCGACAAGCGCTGAAGGATTTTGTGGACGCCAATACCTGGGCATTCATAGCATTCTCCAAAGCTCTGGTCATCATCGAACATGGCCTCGCTGAGATCCACAGACACCCGCCGAGACACCTGGAGGTCTCCCTCATGCCCGCCGGAAATCCTCGCACCCGCAGTCCGGCCCACACCTTCATGATGTATAGCCACCGCTGGTTTATGCTCGACGAATTGATGTCGGACGCCGAGGGGTGGGAGGCCAGCGAACCCGAACGAGAACGCATCATCAGACGATATCTACGCAATTCGGATCAGCCCTTCACAGGGCTGCGCGTCATACGCTACCAAATACATGGGATCGATATCTCCATGACATCCTTCTATCCCCGCTTCGAGCCGACAATGCCTCTCCCCGCAGTCCTGCCGTCCAGTACAGAGCTCGTCATTGGTCAGATACTTGCGGACGTTGTCACCCTGACCGAGGGTAGCATCAACACCGACATGGCTTTCGGTCCCCGCCATGATGAAACCTCCAAGATAGCGCTGCCCGGGCGTTTGGTCCGGTTGAACAACGAATGGGTGTGGGAAGCTTCCTTTGCCAGTTGGGACGAAGTCGGAACAGATAGGGAATTGGATTTGCTGCAGGCTTTCACCTCACGGCTCAACTCTGAGCTAGGGATGTCTAATGTCCTAGGCTACATTCAGTGCTTTCAATGGACTCCTGCGATGCTCAGACATATAGTAGCCGAACCCATGATTGTGTATTTCCGTTGTTGATCATAGCTTCGCAACTTCTGACAACTATCACTGGGCAAAGTCGCCAGGAACTTTGGGTGCTAGTTGTTTGTACTACGCAGGAGCACAAAAGCAAACTGGAATGCTCGAGAAGGCACTCGCGACGCGACGTATTTTGAGAGTGCACGTGACCGCGCGGGGCGGGATACGTGTGCAGCGCTTGTGCTGCCACGCGGGGTGAGGTCACTGCAAGTGTTATTTAGGCGTTGCCCCCAGCCTGTTCCGCCACAAGTCTCTCCGTCTACTTTCAGTCGCTTTCGGCAACGCACCGTCCTGTGTATCGCTGTGTATTGTAACTCTTTTAACCTTACTGCCTAGTCAACATGTCCCTCGTCGAGGAGCTTCGCAAAATCCCACCAGTCACCCGCTTCCTTTGCGGGTCCTTGATTTCGGTCACAGTGCCGATGATATTGCAGGTCGTGTCGCCATACAAGTTGTTGTTTGTGAGGGAGTATGTCACCAAGCGGTACGAGGTGAGTGGATTCGTTTTGCTAGATGCTTTGGAGGCACCGTAGCAGGGATCCCACACATACATACGGACCGTTCCGCAACTTGCTCGGGGCGTTCTCTCTCGACAGGATTGCTAACCTCCTGTGTGAACCTAGATATGGCGAGCTTTCACGACCTTCTTCATTGGAGGTACGCCTGCGGACTTCGCGTGACTGCTGCATAAACATAACACGAAAGGCACACCTGCAGGCACTGGGCTCAACTTCATATTCGATATTGCGATGTTCTAGTGCGTACCTCCGTGACCTCCTAGTTAAGCATACTCATGAACCATTGTGCGGCGCTGTAGCCGGAATTCCGATGAGCTAGAGTCAAAACACTTCGCGGGTCGGTCCGCAGACTATGCGTGGCAGGTCTTCCTTGCTAGCCTGAGCATTCTGGTACGTCGATTGACCCAACTCCTCTGGGCGGCAACGAAAGACGTACTCACCATGTCGCGTCGTACGCGAAAATCACAGGGCTTCAACCTTCCCCTCCGCACGTTCGTGCACACTCGCGCGCTCCTGATCGCGCTCACATACGTCTCTTCCATGCTCGCGCCCCCAGGCTCCCAAACGACCTTTTGGGGCTTGATCACGTTCCCCGTGAGGTATCTCCCCTACGTCTTCATTGCCATGGACTTCCTCATGGGCGGCCCGCAAGCCGCCGCCGTGAGCATCTCAGGGGCCGTCGTCGGTCACCTGTGGTGGTGGGGCGTCTGGGACACCGGCGTGCTGAGGAACTTGGCCGCCGCGCCGCGATTCGTGCGTGCTCTCATGGGCGAAGATAGCGATGGGCGGCCTAGGCCCCTTGGAGGGGGTGTACACGTCGTTCCACCGAGAAGAGACGGGCCTGTGCGGCAGGCTGGTCGTGGCTGGGGTTCTGGGCAGAGGTTGGGTTCGTAGAGAACATGATACGGATGGAGATGCGATGAGTCTCCGGACAATGACTTACTGGTACAGAAGCATATGTGTGTAAGTCGCGTTGTATCTCCGCTTGAAGGTCTGACAGATCATGATGTGTAGCTACCGCTGATATTTCAATCTGTACCGATGTAACGTGATCGGAGGGGCAATGTGCGTGTGTACCTTGTTCGCGCAGCTTTGGTCTCGGTTCGCCCACATTCAGCGCTTACAGCCAAGTCATCTGGCGGTTGACGAGCCCCCCTTATTCCTATGCCGTCTTCCCCTCTGTAACGTGCTGAACCTCGCTCTACTCAATTTGCCACCGTCTTAGCGGCTGGAGCCGGACTAATCAACATGAGCACTGTAATGGACGATGTTCGCAAGATTCCCCCAGTGACCCGCTTCTTATGCGGAATGCTGGTGACGATTACACTGTCTATCAAGCTCGAAATGGTGGACTTTGGGAAAGTCGTATTCTTGTTGAAAGAGGGAACCATTGGGGGTCAAGTGAGTTAACCTTTCGCCGTTAATATCTGCGTAGACTTGGCCGCTTTCATTTCCCGGTCTGAGCTCAAAGGCCTGGGTGAGGGTGATGTGGGCAGAGAACTCACAATAATGCCGTCTTAGCTCTGGAGACCATTTACGAGCTTCTTCATTGGATGTGAGGAACAGTTTTCTCCATGCCAGCGAAGCGAACTGAGTGCATCCGTTGCAAGCCATGCAGCCCATCAGCTTCATAATCGAAGTCATCATGCTCTAGTGCGTCCATACCGCCTGTCTTGGAAGCCTAACCCGCGCGCTCAACGCGTCCCGACAACGTAGTCGTAACTCACATGACATCGAGTCGCAACACTACCCCGTCAGCTCGTCCGACTATGCCTGGCAGGTGTTCCTGGTGTGCGTGAACATCCTCGTACGTCGTCATGCACCTCAGTGCGCCGCCTTCCGCGCTCTACCGCCAACTCACCCATGCGCAACAACAGATCCTCAACATCCCCCTCGAAACCTACATCCACGCCCACGCCCTCCTCATGGCGCTCATCTACCTCTCTTGCGCGCTCGCGCCCGCCGGCGCGCAGACGTCCTTCTGGGGGCTCGTCACGTTCCCGATGAAGTACCTCCCGTACGTCTACATCCTCATGGACTACCTTAGCCAGGGACCGCGCGCGGCGGCGGTGAGCGTCTCGGGCGCCGTCGTCGGCCACCTGTGGTGGTGGGGCGTGTTCGACGTGGGCGTGTTCAGGCCGTGGGCCCGCGCGCCGTGGTTCGTGCGCTCGCTGATGGGCGAGGACGGCCGGACGCGGCCCATCGGCGGAGGGGTGTACGTCCAGCCGGCACAGCGGGTCAGGGACAACGCCGCGAAGCCGATGGGTGTCAAGAATTGGGGGTCGGGCCGCAGACTTGGGGATTGAATTCTTGTGGGACAGAGGCGGGGAGTCGGATGGGTCGGTGGTCGTGAGCCGGGTTTTTCGACGTGATTGTTCGGATTGGGTTTCTGACTGTCTGAAGTCTTCTTGGAGACGTTGCTGGTACGACATGAGTTTGCTCTGTTCTGGTCTAGGTGTGCAATGTACGGATTAATGTCGCCATCATTTCTTCGCGGCCCTGGGAAGGCGTCGTCTACAATGTGGTAAGGCTGCGTGCAGAGTACATAATCATGAAACCATTCCAGGGCATCTTGTCGGAACATAGCGGCTGAACGTCGCTGCCACCTTCGGACCCTGAGGCCTCAAGGAGTTGTCACTACTCACACACCTGACTGCTAGAGGTCTGCTGCGCCATGCACGTTTGACAGCCAATGCAGACAGCAGGTTAGGTATGGCCAAAGGCAGAAATCCCGCAATTCCGGAAGCCGTAGGGCGTTGTCGACGGTGGTACCGTTCTGGCCTAGACTCAATCCTAACTTCAAGGGCGAGTGGACGCAGAGCGGGACACGTCGCATTGGCGTACATGCGTTACTTTTGCTATCGGATGGCGGGGAGCGGACCGCGCTCGTTGGGTGAGTCCTACCTTCCCTTGGATCTATCCAAAGTAATAGCTGTGTTGTAGGTCCAATTTACTTTGGTCACAATTTGATGTCTCCGTGATATACGGCAAAGGCATAACTGAGCTGCTGCGGGGATTGGCGGTGGATATGTTCTTGCTGCGAGAGTTAACCTCGCCACGCACGGCAAACCAACACGCGAGGAAGAGGCGTGGGTAAAGGATCCGCGCGTTCCAGCTTCGTGTTAATATACAAGATACCTTCTGCAGAAGCGAGATGACTTCCTCTGTGCCGAAGGTCTTCCGTCTCCTCTCTCTATCGCCTGTGATTCTGTAACCGTCGCCGACGCTTTCAGGTCTCTTCATTCCTCCGAGCCGAGCGCCGCATGCAGACGGCGTTCAAGCCAACGCGTCTTTGGCACCATACTGCTCCCAATAGGCCTGCATCTTCTCCAGCTCCTCTGTGCGTTCGTGTGCTTGCAGCCACGCCATGAGGTGGCGCATCTTGAGGATGGTCGGTACGCGCCCCTTCCCGCCCAGAAGCTCCTCGACCTCGTCGATCATACTGCGTCCCTCCTGCCCAACCTCCTGCCGGTCCAGCAAGAGTACCGCTCCGACAACCTCTCCGCCCTCGCGCTTCACGATGTCGATCGCACCGCGTATCGCCGTGCCCGCAGTGGCGACGTCGTCTAGGACGAGCACGCGCTTGCCCTTGATGGGCGTCCCCACCGTTATCCCGCCCTCTCCGTGATTCTTGGCCTCCTTCCGGTCGTACGCGAACCCCACATCAATCTTGTGGTCACGGTGCAAGAGCAGAGCGGTCCCTGCGGCGAACGGGATGCCCTTGTACGCCGGTCCGAAGAGCACGTCGAACTCCGGGAGGCCAGGCGAGGCCTGGAGCGCGTGAGCGATCGTCGTAGCATACGCGGAACAGAGCGTGTCCAGTATGGGGCCCGAGGCGAGAAGCCCCGCGTTGATGAAGTACGGCGAAGAGCTGATGCAATCGCGCAATATGCACACGCGGGTATTGTTAAGGTATTGGTGAGGTAGAGACGTTGTCGGAAAACGGAGGTGCATGCGAAGTGGAAGGCAAAACTCAGAACTTGTTCAGGAGATCGGCGTAGGGGAGTGGACGGACCGGCCTGACTTGAGAGTGAATGTGCCGAACTTCAAGGCCCCGACGGCCATACTATGCTCGATGAGCTCCGTTTGGTACTTTTCCAGCGACATTGCGATTTCCAGGACCGTACTTAGGGAGAGCGAAGGTAGACGGTGACTAGTAGCTAGTGTAGCGGAGATAAGATATCGGCCTGGGGCAAATCCATGCGCCTGTTTTGGGCTAAGAGACGCCCATGGCTGCAATGGAACCTCGGACTCCTCATTAATGACGACCCCTGTCTCAGCGTGCGGAAACTCTGCACACGTATCCGCTGGTATCGATGTCTTGCGAGGCCACGGGAAGGCTGAGAGGGCTAGTACATGGAGACTGAGACGGCTCCGACAGGGGATAACAGGACTCCGCGCGAGATTTGGGCCGCAGGTATGGAGCAGTGTGAAGTGGAGGCTTAAGTGCCGGGTGGTGCATCCTCTCTCCTCTCAACCTCAGTCTTCTCGAACGCCACGACGTCCAGCGCGGCGAGTAATCTCTATATTTCTGTGTGGACCGTGAACAAGACTGCGCGAAATCACAAACGACCATCGGAGAACTTCGGAGAAGCGCAGTAGTGTTGTACTAGGGCAGGTCAGCGTGAGCGGTCTTAGCCAGTACCAACGACGACTTCAACTATCCTCCCAATTCCAGAAAAGCTTTTGGACTTACTCGGCAAGCGGCCGCGTCGACTGGTTCAAGGCGGAATTGTCGCTTGTGCAAGAGCGACTCCGGAAGAGCTTCGGACTCGAGAACCTGACCGAACAGGTTCTGCTTCCGCTTCTGTTTTGACGAGTCATACGCGCACCTAAACCTCGTCGTGGGGGCAAAGCAGGGTGGGTCCAACCCCTTCCGGATTATCTTGCGTTCCTTGTCTCTTTTTTCGTTCAGAATCCGCCCGGGATCGGACCAGCATCGACGCCTGAAGCGTCCACCCTGACCTCCCCTATTGTAGTTACGGAGCTTCGGATCCTTGACCTCTGCGAGCGTCCCACGCCGACTCTCTTTCGCTCCTTTCCTAGGACATGCTTCCTTGTGGCTCTTGGATATATTGTCGCATTCATACAGTATCCCATGAGGAGTCAATTAGGTACGTCAGGGTGCTTCTGAGCCAGGGACATCTCATGCTCACGTGGAGTTAACTTCAGCCTCAGATATCAAGGTCACCGCCGCGACTTCTACCCGTGCAGTCCCAATCGCTCGCTGTCTACCCCTTCCTCAACGGCATAATGGGTGTCTTCGCTCTCGCTATTCCAGGCATTCTCCTTGGTGAACGCCTGCGCCATCATACTCAGGATCGCGAATACGACCCCGAGAAGGCTGTTCGCCATGATTCGCGTCCCTCCGGAGATCTCGACCGCTCCTCACATGATATCCTCTCGCCAAATACCCCTCACCGTCGCGCCCGTCGTGTATGCTTTGATGCCAAACACCCTACATCTGCCAATGGGCCCGGGCGCTCTACCGTACACCACTCCGATGACCTTCCTAAATCGACTCCCTCGATGTGGCGGAAGGCTAAAGACTATGTTTGGCCGTCCGCTGAACAGCTTGCTGATCTGGACACTTTTGTGCCCAATTACCGGTGGACCCCGATTCTCTCAGGAATTATCATACCCTTCTCTATCCTTCTCGAAATCCCTGGCTTGACGGAGAAGTGGTACATCAAGACGGAGGGCACTCAGATTGTGGCGGTACAGAAGAACCCGATCATCCTGGAAGTCGGACTTGCCATCTCCATGGCCAGTGCGGTTATCGCAAACGTCGCGCTCATCCTCCGCTTCTTAGAGAAGAGGGTTAAAAGTGTTACGCTACTTTGCGTCGCTTTTCTAACACTACACGGTACGTCCCGATTTCCGCATCTCACCATCGATTGCTCATCATGGTCTGTGCAGATGTCATCAACATCATTGTTGTCACCACCTTCGGTGTCGAGCATCGCTTCGACGACGGTTTCACGTATGGCGAAGCTTTCTGGATGACGCTCTGCTCTACTATCGTGTCCAGCGTTACGAATGTCACTTTGATTGTAGACTTCGTGCGTACCCCTGACTTCGCCAAGCGAGGTGAGCTGCTCGCATTCGCACTCGTAATGTTGTCTCACCGTCAATCTTCACTCTTAGGAAGTGGTCTGACGCGTAGACAGCGCTCTCTCGTCATCATCGTCATCATTCTGCTCGTTTACATCGCTTTTTGCGCCTTGCTGAACTCCGTCATCCTGGAGCTCAGCTTCATTAACGGCCTATATTTCACCGTCGTTTCCATCGAAACTATCGGATTCGGCGACATAGTCCCCGAAAGCACTGGTGGAAAGGTTTGGACATGCATCTTCGTCTCCCTCGGCATCCTCCTCATCGGTTTGGCTATCGCGATGTGTCGCGAGACTATCCTGGAAGGCCTCGAGATTGGTTATAGGCGCCGCGTGCGCAAGATGCGCGAACATCGCCGCGAGACCCGTCGGTTTCGCCGGTGGGAGGCACGCTGGAGACGCGCGGTCGAGTTCCGCCTTCGCGAGATGGGCTTGCCTGTCTGGGTTCCTGACAAGCCGAAGGACGAGGGCGCGATCCGCGTCTTTGGCGTGGACACTGGCGTGAAGATGCCTTTCTACAAGCGAGTTGGCACGCATATCAAGCGGACGGCGACGATAACGACGATAGCCTCGGTGGATTCGGTCCTCCGTCGCAACAAGCACCGCAAGATGCATCTGAACGTCGAAGCCCTTAGGAACGTTCAGCTCGAAGAGGCTGCGCTCGAGGCGGGCGTCCCGCTCGAGATGTTCAGCGACCTCGGAGCGCGCCCCGAGCTACAGCGCAGCGAGGCCTTGGGCACGAACGCGATGGAGGCGCAGAAGGCCACGGAGGGTACAGGCGTAGGTCCCACGGTACAGGCTACCTTAGCGGCCGCCACATTCCACGACTCGATCGCAAGTGGGTGGGTCCACAACCCAGAGACGCCGACTCATGCACAGCTCGGACGCATGGCTGCTATGCTCACGAAGTTCTCTTTGGCGGTGTCGGGCCACCATGCGCACCCGCCTGCGCTGCCGCACAGCGAGTATGTACAAGAGGCGAATCTGTTACATCCCCACGCGCCTCCCCCGCATGACCCGTCGGAGGAGGAGCATCGTAGGCCAACACACGGGAACTCGTTTGAGGACATAAGGCGGCATCCTGCAGCAAAGTGGCTCAGGGACTTCACACGGGGTGCCAACCAGCGTTCGACGTGGACGTACGAGAAGCTTAAGGAGGACATGGAACAGGAAGAGAGAAAGGCTTACTGGGCTAAGGTGTGTACCTCGTCTGTATTCGGCACCGTGCGCAAGACCTCATGACCGTTACTTTAGCTCACGATCGCTTGGTCGCTTCTCATCCTCTTTTGGACGGTAAGTCACTATTCCCATCTATCTCCTATATGTGCCTGCGGAGTCTGACAGTCATGCAGATTGGGTCCGGCATCTTCTGTGCCACGGAAGGATGGACATATGGGGAAGCCATGTACTTCTGTGAGCCGCTCGCCATCTCATATCCGATATCATTGAACAATTTCTGTCGGTTTAGGTTTCGTCGCTTTCAGTACGACTGGATATGGTGACTACTCGCCCAAAACTCCGGCTGGTCGCTCCGTATTCGTCGTGTGGGCTCTGTTTGGTGTGGGTACTTTGACGATCCTTATCTCGGGTTAGCACGTTCCGCCCCATCCTTCTTCTCTCCACACGTTATCTCACCCTCCTTTATACCTAGTTTTGCAAGAAGCGGGATCGTATCGTTACAAGAATGCACTCCACTCGCGTGTCTTCGACAACGCTGTCAAGAACTACCGCAAGCGTTTGAAGCAGACCCAGGATTCTAAACGCAATCGGATGAACTCCAAGAATACTGGTGCCGGACCCGGCGGTGTACGGACAGCCGGTCTTCAGCAGCAGAACAAGCCTACTTTCGTACGTCTTCGGGAGGCGGACAAGCAAGCGCGGCGAGCGCTCGAGGCGCTCCCGAATGAGATCATACGCAGCGCTAGAACCTTGCACGACTACATGGAGTTCTTCGTTTCAGGTGTGGATGGGCTCGACACGATTGAGGAGGGTGACGTCGCTTCCGGGACGCCAAACATCCCGCCTGATATGACGAAGCTCCTCGACGAACTCGGAGATATGGAGGGCATCAACCCGAGGCTGAAGGCGGAAATCCTACAGGACGAGGATGCGAGGAAGGTGCGTGAGCGTCGTATCCTGTAGCCTAGTCCTCTGCTGACATTCTCCCCAGACACTGTTTATGCTCAGTCTTGAACGTACGTTTCACACCAGTGCTCTCTCTACTGTCTGACGTTGACCCCGCTCCGCCATTAGGTTCAATGAAGCGACTTGTCGCGCATGCCGAAACGGCGATGTTGGCGTTGTCGGAGCGGGACGCACTCGTCACTGCGACCGGTACGGAGCACGCACATGGCGTTGGCCTTCAGCATTTAGACTGGACGCGGCGGAAGAACAGCGACGGCCGCATTCGCGCTCAATCAGAGCCGCCGTCGGTGACTCCGCGTCGTATCCAGGAGGACATACCTCGGACGGTTTCGGAGGGCTCGTCCATTCTGAATCCTCGAGACAGACTTGGAACTTGTCTCTCCCAGCAAGCTTCCCATACCATGCGCAACAGAGATCGTGCTGCGTCTTCTGCTTCGTCTTCTTCTACAACCACCTCTTCTTATTCCAATCCCATGGCTAGCTGACGCAGAGCATAACCTGTGGGTATCATGCATGCTATCGACATGGACTCAACCATCATCCGTCATCTTCGTTAGTTTCCCCAACGTCTGACATCGCATGACTCGTGCATTTGTACTATATCGCATATAAGGACAGAGAAACATACTACATGGATTCGGGAATTACTTCATGATATGGACATCATTTTCTGTATCATTACGCATGTGAGCTCTAGAGTACGCCTAATTCATAATTACGCCATAAGCCTTGGTGCCATGAATGATCCATCAGAGATTATCTGTTGCGGGGGGCCAGGTATGAGAGGAATGGGACAATCTTTTTCACGAGGCCGTGGGGGAAGGTCCGAGAACGAAGGAGAGGGTATAGAGTCCACCGGAGGAGGGAGAGGGGCAGGAGTCCTCGCGGAGGAAGGGTCACGGAGGAAGAGTAGAGCCGTGCATAGACATGGAGAAGTATTCACATTGCCCTCCGTCAGATTTCTGGAAAGAGTAGCCCATGTCAAGCAATTGACTGAAATAACATAGCCAGTTGCTCACCTTGACCATGATTCCATTCTCCCACAAAGCTGCTTCGATACAAGCTCCATTAGGGAGCTCAGGGACGGCCCTCCTCCGCACTCTATAGGGTAGTCCCGTATCTACAACCCACGTGGTGTCTTCAAACCAGCCGCTCATATCAAGAGAGGTATGGGCGGAGACGACTTCCACAGTCCACTCGGAGGACAGTGTATGCGTCCGAGTTGAGATAGAGATCTCCTCCGTGTCCAAACCGAAGTCGAATAGCACAATTTCCGCAGGCCTGTCTCGACAAGAGGGCGACAGTAGTACGCACCGGCTGCCAAACGTCGAGGGAGTCTCGCATTCCTCATCAAAATGCACAAAGCGGGCATTCTGAGGACCCCAATCGTTCCACATGACTATCGGGACCTCCGGGGTCGTGGTGTCGGCATTCGAGTCACTATCCGAGTCACTATCCGAGCATGCGTAACCCGATCGGTCGACCTCGTAAATGCGTGGGTCGCTGTAGGCCTCTTCGGCTACCGGCGCAGAATGCCTGCGGGCTTCCGCGAGCAAGGCCGCAACGCGGATGGCGAGGATGATGGAACAGCGCTTGTCGGGGGCAACATCCGGTACGCTTCGGATCATATTAATGACGACAATCCCCTTGTCTGGGTCAGTGACGAATGCCCTCCCGGACTCGGGGACGTTGCTGAGCGGATGAGATACCGTTGTCCAGATCTGTAAGGCCGGCTCAATGAAGCGCGGAAGCTCCAAATCACAGGTGTGGACAACGTCGTCTTCTGCGAATCGGAACAGCCGAAGCTCGTACTCTTGCACAAGCAGTAAGGTCCGGTCTCCGATGAAAGTCGCTAGGTCTCCCAACGCATCGAAGCCCTCCAGGGTCTGGGGGAAATCGAGAATGTCAGCTGTGAACATTGAAGATGATGAGGGACCTCACAAAAATGTCCTCCCCTGTCTTCCAGTTCCATACCCGCAGTATCCGGTCCTCATCGGTCCCGGCAAAAACCAGGATCAGATCCTGGTACACTTCGAAGCTGTTGATCTCTCCCAGCGGCCCAATGCCTGCATCAAATATCGAGTGCTGGGCCAGCGGATGAGGTCGCTGAGTGATCATGGTTAAAACATGGATGTCTCTGCAGAAATGGGGCAATTAATGGAGATATTGCTTTAAGTCAAGACACCCGGACTTACGGATAGCGTTGGAGACTGCTAGGGCCAAGGATGACCAGAAGGTCTTGCGATGGATCAAATCGATAGGCCACAAAGCGTGGAAGCTGGTGGCAGCGGATGTTCGCCTTAACTGACCAGCCATCGTGTGGGATAGGATCATGCAAGCTAGAAATTGTCGGTATTTTGGCAAACGTCAGGTCACCCGTAAAATCCTCTATGACGATCCAGCCGCTTTCGAGAATTAGGGGTGGGCTTTGGTGGTTAGGAAGGTGAGTCGATATGGGACTTGGTCCCATGTCGCCCGAGAGTACCTCCCAAGTCTGGTGATACCTGTGCAACATCCTCTTGCACTCATTGAAAGGAACATCAGAATCTTCCACATTCGCGAGAGCAAGAGCTCCCAGCCTCCCCTTGTACATCTTCAGCATCGCCCGTACGATTCTCTGGAACCTGCGACTAAGCTGGACATTGGCAGAGACATGAGGAAGTTATCATGAAAAAGTGCTCAAACACATACCATTTTGCACTTGATCATCTCGGTGTAGGATAACTCGCCCAAGATTTGGTCCCATAACTCAGTGGGGAGCCGGTCAGCGAGGCCGTGGTTTAGAAGCCGTAGTGACATGGCAGTAGTGGTTCACAGTTGAGATCATTTTCAGCAGGAGAAGAATATATATGGCACCTAGAATGTATATGGCACCTAGAATGACAATGACATGTATAATGAAGGAGACGCAATGTCGCCGTTTGACCGATTTGCAAGAAGACCGGTCTCCATAGGCTGGCATTGGCTCGACTTGACGTCCCTGGACAGCGCAATGTTGGCGTTGGTATGATGCCAGCCATATAATAAACAGGGCTAAATCTACGCAAAGATATGACAAAGGCTAGAAGGATACGAGGTTACTGAATGCTGGCGGTCAGAGGTAGGTGTGTAAGATGTTTGTCGGCGCAACCACGACTGCATGTGGCTGTGCAGAGTCGGGCCGGCACGGACGCAATGCACCTCATGGCTACATTCCCACCGGGCCGGCCACAACTCAGCAAGTACCGCGTCATGACCAGCCAGCCCGCTCCATTTGCAGTTGAACAACGGGGATGGTCCCAGCCTTACCATCTCAATCGCCGACATTTACCTCTGCGAAACGCTTGGGAGCCATCACCTCGCATCTTAGTGCGTCAACAATGTCCGATAGTAAACTCAAGGTGGTCGTGTGTCGCGACCTAGGACCGGATGTCATGCCGCTGCTACTCAACAATCCACGGCTAGATGTAAGCTGTTCATTCCCTATTGTGGGGTCTGGGATGCTTATCCGTATGGTACAAGGTGGTTGTGTGGCCACACAATAGTGCTTGTGAGCGTAAATGGCTACTCGAGAACGCGCGAGGTGCCTCTGGAATCCTGGTTATGTTATCGGAGAAGGTACCTTTCGGGGAGCTCCTTCATTAGCACTATTTATGACTCACGAGCCGATCTGCCCCACACAGGTAGATGAGGAACTTCTCAATGCAGCTGGCCCGAAGCTGCGCGTCGTATCGACCATGTCTGTCGGCTACGGTCAGTACGACGGAGTTCCATCCGCTTGACCATCCGACGAACGCTCATGATCAAAAATCTCCAGAACACGCAGACCTCAAGGCCCTGCTGACCCGGGGAGTTCGCTTTGGGTACACCCCGGACGTCCTGACAGACGCCGTCGCGGACCTCTCCGTCATGCTCGCCCTCATGGCAGGGAGGAACACCAAGGAGACCACAGAGGCTGTCCAGACCGGCCAGGTAACAAACTCCCTCCCGATAACGCATGAGAAGCGCTCACACGACCATTCGCTCAGTGGCCCAACTTCGTCTGGTCGCCCTTCGCCTTCTGCGGCCCCCAGCTCTCCTCGACCCCGACGTCGCCCAAGCGCACCGCAGGCTTCATCGGCTTCGGGCGCATCGCTCAAGCGACCTTCGCCCGTCTCGTCCCCTTCGGCTTCCAGCACTGCCTCTACACCGGGAACGCCAAGACCGCGCCCGACCCGGCCGCGGACGCAGCCCTCGCGGCCAAGTACGGCGTGAAGGAGGTAGGGCGCGTCGAGCTCGACGAGCTCGCGCGCGAGAGCGACGCGGTGTTCGTCCTTGCCCCGGGCGGACCTGCGACGTACCACATCGTGGACGAGCAGTTCCTCAGGCAGATGAAGAAGACCGCGGTGCTCGTGAACACGTCGCGAGGGACTCTCGTGGATTCGGACGCGCTTGCAAAGGCACTCCATGAGGGTTGGCTCTACGGCGCTGGGATCGATGTGGTTGAAGGCGAGCCTCAGGTCGGTCTTGACCACCCGCTCATCAAGGCTCCTAGGTGAGTGAATGCGGCTCGGACCATTGAGATTTATGAGCTCATAGGAGATAATCATCAGGTGCGTCGTATTGCCTCATATTGGCAGTGCGACCAACGAAACGCGTTTGGGGATGGCGACTCTGACCGTGAATAATCTCCTCGGTGGTGTCTTTGGAGAAGAGATGCCTGCAGAGCTTGGCACTTCGCGTTGAGCTATCAGTGAGATGTTGATTGAGCGAATCAGAATAATCAGAATGTATTAGTCAATCATAGATACAAAGGCATATAGAACATCACATTGGGCTCTGCTCATCTTGGAGACGTGCGCGCACAATGCAAAGCGAACAAAGGCTTCGCCAAAAAATATGCTGGCACGCTCGAGTAGACATTGTACTCGCTTTCAACGAGCAAATCTATGCATTGCATTCATGGTGCAAGAAGTAGTACAAGGGATAGTAAGTACCGACTATGTGACAGTGCGTATGGGGTAACGAATTTGTGTGCGATTGTAGTGGGCGGTAGTCAAATGGGAGCAAGGAATAAACACTAAGTGACGTGCGAAAAAGGACGTGGTGTGATGGATATCAATACATAGACAGGAAATGTTTGTTGTGACCATGTTCCCCTCCTCCGAGCAAAGCATGCAAAGACGACCATACAACAAGCTAACAACCAAGAGACCAGACGATGGCGATAGGGCGGTCACTTCGCCTCAACAACGTACCCTTGCGCTTGCGACGCCACTGACCTGTCGCTCTCGCTCGGGGTCGGTAGCTGGAACTTGGCCTCTTCGGGGCCCGGCGTGTGTGGCCGCGAGGGCAGGGGAGTGTTGAGCTGCGAGCGGTTGTGTGCAAGGTGTGCGCGAACAAGGTGGCCGGCGGCAAGTGCAGATATGAGCGAGAGCTCCCCAGCCATGACCGCGGACGCGACGATGCGAGCGAGCTGCTGCGCGTTCTGTCCAGGGTTGGTCGGGTGTGCGCCACGCACGCCGAGCAGGTCCAGCACAGCACCTTGGGGCTCGAGGATAGTGCCACCACCGACAGTGCCGACCTCGATACAGGGCATGGTGATGGTCACGAGTAAGTCCTCGCCACCATTTGTTCTGCGGAGCATGGTCAACGTCGAAGTCGAACGCTTTACAGACAAAAAATACTTACGGCTCCATGAGGGTCATACAATTCGAGCTCTCCACGTTCTGCGCGGGGTCTTGACCAGTCGCAAGGAACACAGCGGTGAGGATGTTTGCTGCGTGCGCATTGAAGCCACCGACAGAGCCCGCCATCGCGCTTCCGATGAGGTTCTTCTTCGTGTTCACGTTGCACAAGCTCTCGACGGTGGTCTTGAGCACGCTCTTGACAACCTTGCCGGGAATGACCGCCTCCGCGACTATGCTCTTGCCACGCCCCTCGATCCAGTTGATGGCAGCCGGCTTCTTATCCGTGCAGTAGTTGCCCGAAAGCGCAAGGACGATCATCTCAGGGAACTCATGGCTGAGAACCTCGAGCGCCTTCTCCGTCGCCTTCGAGATCATGTTCATGCCCATCGCATCACCAGTGCGAGTCGCGAAGCGGACAAACAGCGTGCGGCCCGCGAGAGCGCACTTGATCTTCTGGAGTTTGGCGAAACGGGACGTCGACTCGAAGGCCTCCTTCACAGTCGCGTAGCCGTCCTCAGATTCAATCCATGCTTTCGCCTCAGCGGCGCGGACGATTGACGGGAAGTCGATGGCGGGACCACGGGTCATACCGTCGGCAGTGAGAACGGTCGTCACACCTCCGCCAGCGTTGAGAGCCTTGCAGCCACGAGACGTGGATGCAACGAGAGTACCCTCAGCGGTGGCCATCGGAATGGGATACATGAGACCATCGATCTTGAGCGGGCCGGCGATACCGAGAGGAAGGGGCATGTAGCCGATGACGTTCTCGCAACACGCTCCCATGACGCGAGAGTAATCGTAGCCTTTCATCGGGATGGCCGAGTTCTCGAGTGTCTTCGTCCGCGAAGCACGAGCTAAAACGCGTCAATCAGCCCCACTGCCAGGCACAGATACACGCGAAGCGTGACTTACAGATGAGGGCGCGACGGATGCGGACGGCGCGATCGAAGTCGCCGAGCATCTTCTCCAAAGCGTAGGCCGCAATCTTGCCAGTCTGACACAGAAGGATAACTTCCTCATCGTTGAGCGTCTTGAGCGCCACTGAAACAGGGCGGGGGCCATTCTCAAAGATGTCGACACACTCAGCGAGAGAGCGGACCTCGACCTGATCAGGCTCGACCTCAGGGGTCTGGGGCGTGATGGGCTCGAAGGGAGCGGGCGACCGGATAGGAAGGGCGTCTTGGAGCTTCTTGTCGACTGTCTCCAAATTGAGCGGGCGACTGAGCACAGACATCGGGAGGCGAGGAACGGGGGCAGGCTCGGGCTCCGGAACTGGGACAGGTGCTGAGGCCTCAATGACGGGAGCGACGCTGGCCATGATCATCACAGGGGCCGGCGAGTGCTCCTCCTCAGGTTCGTCCGCAATTTTGACGATGGAACGGGCGCGTGAGCGGAATCTGACGCCCCGGTCGCGCACCGCACGCATAGCCGCGAGACCAGAACCAGCAGCGATGCCCTTCAGCAGGTAACCGTTGAGCGCAACGCTAACCGCGAGGAGCGCGACAATCCACTTCGAGACGACGGGATCACCGACAAGCGAGCTCCATGAGGACATGAAGTCCTCGAACGCCTCGCCAGTGTTGGGCTTCGCAGTACGGGGAGCAGCGGTGGGAATGGCACGAACATAGACCGGGGGAGCGACTTTGACGATGAGTTCGACCGGCTCCGTGCCCTCGACTAGATATGAGGCGCTCTCAGAGACGACAAGGGTAGAGAGAACGCTCGCGATGGCAGGGCTGGTGATGTCGACACGCCGAGAAGTGACAACTTCGGGAGCAGTCGCAAGCGGATGTCTCTGATGACGTGCGTTCGCGGTGGCAGGGGTGAGGGTAGTGCAGAAGTTTAGTATGTGGAGAGTCAGGAAGGAAGCAATCTGCAATGCAGCTTTATGTCAGCAGCTGAAGGTCGAGCAGACAACTATGCGACGAACCAGGAGCAGCTTGAGCCTTGCCATAGGGTTCTCCTCAGCTTCCTGCAATTTGCCACCATCCTTCAGGAATGAGCCCTTGACGCCAATCGCAGAATCCGTAACTCGCTCGCGCAAGTTCTTCGGAGCCTCCTGAGCTACGAGGTTCTGCTTGCTGCTGGTACGTGACAGAACACTGCGGACTGCCGTGCCGTTGGCCGTGATGGCAGTGATGGAGCCAGAACGAGACCGGGACTTTGACATATCGCGGACCTTCTTGATGCGACGAACCTGTAATGTCAAGGTCAGCGAGAAGTTCCTCCAGGATTGATGATGGAGCGGGCGATCACGTGTCGTATTCACGTAAACGGCAATAACGGCGCCAGCCGATAAGGGAAAGGAGAAGGCAATGCGAACAAGACACACCTCCACCATGATGGTCAACACTGCCGTGTACAGTGTGAAAGTCATCACGCAATCCATGGCAAGGGAAACGGCGGCGACGGCGCAGAACTCCTTCAGGCCCCCAACGCGGCTATTGACACCAACAAAGAGGACGGCGATTTCCAGAGCATAGTCCCGGAGAATGACGTTGCCGACACGATCGAGCGCTTCGAGGATGACGTCGCCGGCTGTTTTCATGCGACCGTCTTCTTGGGGCTTGAGCATGTGGGGGTGCGCCATCACTGCACGCGCAAGACGCAGAGGCTTATCGAATCCAACGGTGCAGACCAAGAAAGGTAAGGCTTCGGTCAGCGCGATGGGATCAAGCGGGATGTCCAATGATCGGCATAGAGGAAGGGTAAAGAGGAACGAAATGATGGCGGATGAGAAGATGCCAGTGGACAGCCAGAAGTTCGAACCCAATGCACGCGAAGACAGGAACAGCCTCAAGAAGGTCAGATGCATCAGGATGTAACCCGTTAGCACGACTAGAATGTCCAGCGAGTCCGCTTTCTATTGCGAAGCTCAGCACGTGACACCTCCGTAGAGGCGATATTCAACGTACCTTGGTGAGCTCCCAGAAGCGCAAGACGAGCGCGCTGAGCGCGTATGCGACCCACTTGCTGCTCTTCATCTCCCTGATGCTCTCCTGACCAGCATCAACATCATACTTGACTCCATCAACCGTGATCGACTTCTCGTTCCTGAGCACGCTGAGCCAATCCTCCCGAGTTCCAGGCTTGAAGGAAAGGGTAAGAACAGGAGACGACCCGGGCTCCGAGACATTGACGAAGCACGCAGACTCGGAAGAGTTTGAGTGGTGGCAGATGGACGAGTACGGCTTGCCAGAGGGACCGGGGAGCTCTGTTACAAGATACTGCGCGATAGAAGAAGCGTCCAGGGGAGCAGACTATAACAGCTTGTTAGCACACCAGAACGACCAACTGAAATGTGAAGCACCACGCAGCTTCACGGAGACAGGGGTGCGAGGGATGGGAGGATGAGGACATTTGGGCCGAAGAAGCTATGCATGATGGCGCAGTGGGGATATGAAGCACTCACTGCCTGTGCGTTGTCATCTAGGGTGAAGATGACCTGCTGCAACTCCAATGCGTTAATGCTACCACCCGGATGCTTCCAGGCCTCCGTCCAGTCGTGTCGAGACACAGCAACCCATTCACCGTCGGTAAGCCGCGCGTATGTCGGGCGCAGGGCAGGCGGTTGCGACGAGGCGAAGAAGGAAGAGTGCTTAATGCCAGAGAGGATGTGGAAGTATGCGAGAGTCGCGAGGACAAAGACGGAGACACACGTCTCAATGGGGGAGAAGACGGTGTGGGTGGACAGCGGTCGTAAGACGGCGCGCATATTGGGAAACGGGTGGGAGAGCAAGTAGTAGAAGTGTGGGAGGGAAGACGAAACGCAGTTCGGCCCAATAAATGGAGGGAATAAGTAGGTCTATGGAGTGGAATTAGCAGGCGTTGCGTGAGCTGCAGTGGACATATGGAGACATAGTTAGAAGATTATGGAGCGGGTAATGGTACGAGAGGAATACGTGGAGCGCGTTCGCACATACCTTGCAGACGACCTGCACCGACTGCGGTCTAGAGTTCGTCTATGGCGGCGGGGCCTTTGGTGCGGGCGCGGATGAGCGCGCCTGCGGAGAGGTTGTCGATGAAGACGGCGTCGACACGAGCGACGAGGGCGAGGGAGAGCGGGGCCCTGGGGAAAGAGATGGGGATGGGGGAGAGCTGGTGGAACGATCGGTTGCCCAATTATTCGTCCGGCTAATAACTCATCAACTCCCTTCTATATATGGTATCGTACCTTCCCGTCCAGATCATCCGGCTAGCGCTCACGGCGAGGCCGCCAGCGCTTATATGCCATCCTCCGCTCCGGTTCTCAAAGCCTCAAATATGCGAGCCGCCATCCCTCTTCAGGAGCCCTTGCTCTTTGCGCCTGATAGTGTCGGCCACAGCAGCCCCGCCAGCCCCCTATCTCACCCGCCTGTTGAATGGTAGACCTCGCCGACATCTGACTACCGACTATTGTCTCCAGCATATTGTTTCCGGTCCTATCTGAACCTCCGTCTCCATTTCTGCAGGTCAGACCACCTCCACGGGAGGTCCGATCGTCCACGGCCTGGAAAGGCTGGAGATTACCGGATTGTAGGTTTTGTCCTGACGCACGTCTGTGTCCCATTCCTTGTTCCGTGCCAACTTCCGACGGAGATCGTTCCATCCTCCGGCGCTAACCTCTCCGGACGGGCGCCATGCCTTGTGAGGCCGCCAGCCTGCAATCAACATTTTAGCTCTCCGACTTACGTCCGGCCGACTGATGAAGTCAACTCAGCCCATCTGTGTTTGCAGAACAATCGTCAGTGGAGACCCCTCCGTGGCTTGCGCAAGAAGGAGTGCCCGGAAAATATTTAACAGCGCAAGAACCTGTCAATCTCCGCGGCAATAGCCCGCCTCGACTTGAAGGCGGAGCAGACGGAGCCCTGGTAGTGCCGTACTCACTTGCACGAGACCTCATTTCCATGCAGCATGTCAACCTCGCACTGAATCCGATCAGCCGAGGGATACCCGCCGCACGCTGAATAGCTCCCGCCACCACTACACTCGTCACGCATGATACACAGGTACCCTTCAAAGGTGGCAAGTCTGAGTGTAGCCTATGATAGCGACCATATCACGGTAAGCACAGCCGGTCCCAATGAGGCCTATATCGTGCCATCTGATATCTCCCGCCATAGGTAAGTACCTGTCATACTCGTATGTTTCGACTGAAATGTCAAACGCATGCATCTGACGCTCTATGCTGGACGACCGCAGCGCAACAGATCGCTCGTCAGCCTACAGGATAGCGGTCAACGTGCGTAAGCTTTATCTCCTGACATGCAAATTGATTGTCCATCCTTCACACCATTATGCCTTACCCAATCGCGCGGGTCCCCAAATGTGGCGTCCATCAGGCTGCTCTACCTCCATTCAACCTTCGCCAGCCCTTCCGCGGTCAGGCCACCCTCTTATCTCTGCTACAAGACGCCCTGCAAATGGTTCGACGCACTTTCGCCGCCTCAACTGTCAACTCTGTCTCCTTATCTCGCACCCTGCATCAGCTCGTCGCGCCCGTATATCATACTAGCCTCACATGAGCGAGAGAGAAGACGGTTGTGCATGGTCCCTTGTATCATGTAAGAACTTCACAATATTGGGGGAAGCACTAGCTCGGGTCTACCTTCCCAAACTTATACTAGTCGCAAGACTCGGCAATAGTAGCACTACACCCGGGTCAAGACGTAAACAACGCTCCTCGCAGTGCACCAATACTGGTATCGGGCTAGGTAGTTTCGGTACACAACAGAGTGGCGCTGAAACCGTGCGGAGCATGTCTGCGACCTGCATAACGCACCCCATTTCCCGCATTCCGCTATCGCGACCCCGGCCCTCACTGCGCTGAGACCAGGGTGGCGATTCACGTCCCGACAGTTCCTAAAAACCGGACCAACAAGCACCTACAGTAAGGGGTAGTTGCACGATCGTGTTTGATTGACGAGTCGAACAAACAACTCCAGTGATTTCCTCCATCATATGACTTGCGATATCGGCTTTCGCGGTTCAGAAGAACCTTATGCTTGCCCGAATTCTGGACGGCTTCGACACGAGATGTCCATACTGAAACGAGACTAGCTGAGAAGGACGCGTGTGCCTGGCTGCAACCCGCGAGTCATGCGCTCCTATGTATGACGCTTGCCAGGTAATGTTGCGAAGGCGACCCTCAATGCTCCGTAGGAGATCGTAATAGTGCTGCAGATGTCACCATGTCATTCGCCCACTGGCAGGCAATACACAGCCTTGCAATGCAGCATCGTTAGATCTACTGACTTGCCACTAGAAAGGGATGGGCCCACCATTACCGTGCCCTTCGGTATTTCCGGGCCTGCCTTCACGGAAGCATTTCCCCCGTTACGCTCATGCTCCGGGACCCATTGGCTGTGCGAATGACATACACTGGCTTCTAACCAGGAATTGACCTAGACGGTTTTTGTACCAATCACACGGGGCAATTGGAGCCTCATCTGGGAAACTCGTCGCGGGAACCTGTCGCTTGTATATCGCTACTTTCTTTCGGCTGTGGTATCGATGGGGCTTATGGCTTTCGGCTTCGCACCGCTGTACTGCCGCCAAGGTCAAGTAGATATCTGTGGCGGCGTATGCAGTAAGTAGTCACTGCAGCTGACATTCTACAGTCAGTATGGCAAAGATGACCATCAGGTCCTTCTCAGACTTACGTACGCTCTTATGCCTTAGCCCATATTCGTGAGGCCTTTGTACTAGTACACGCGTGGGCATACTGCTAGAGTCGATATCAGCGCGATGCAATCTTACCAAGGCCACGACGGCCTTAGTGGCTGTCTTCGCTAGTTCTCAATGGTACCATGAATTATATGCTTCCAACGCTGGACGCCTATTGTCGTGGGTTACAGTTACTCGACCCTCTGGGATACACGGTCGAGAAGCTGTCGCTTATATGCCTACTAGGCCGCACTATCTGTTGCGAGTAAACACCACTATGCGTCTGGGTACTCACGATTCGTACCGCTTCTTCTAGTGAATGTTGTTGACATCTCCCCTCGAGACATGACGGATGCGGCACTTGTTCGAGCCGCGACGGCATTGTCCATTGACCGGACCACATGCACGGACTACTAGTAACTCGTTGCTCTGGCTTCAGCCGGGCGGTATGTGCATTGATAATCGTTCCTTGGGCTGCCAATCCGTCGAGGCTCCCTGCATCTCAGTTTCCTGTCACTGAATGTCAACCCGACCCGTCAGAATCGCGGATCTCGAAGACAAGGGCATGTACGAAGACGAAACATGGAACTTCTCAATGTCCACGCACCGATATTCCCGGAACCGGGTTCGACCGCGTGACAAGGTCGTAAATCGGACAAACCTTGAGACACAACTCGCGATATGCGCGGGACGTCCAACCAGCGCAGCACGTGAGCCAATGCTGTGCCTGTGCACCAGAACCTATGGCGCATATATGAGACATTCCGACAAGGATGGATCATTCACAAGACTCGACTGGGCACTGACTGCTGCGAGACGCCGGGACCTCTTCTGCATCGGACTTTGACATGCCGCTGAGCTCGTAAAGCGATGTCTCACAGTCATGCCCCGCTGAGAGTTGCTGTGTGTGCGAGATGCGCACCCTGGGAGACGTCCTTCGCTTCCGCGATTCACGGCTGCCAGGCACAGTCGGTTGGAACACTGAATGCCGGCTGCGCCCACTCTCGAACAATCTTGAACACGACGTGCGGGGTCCGAGTAGTACGGGCGCGACGTACATACAAATACAAGCTGTGCGCTGTTCCAGATCGTGCGACGCGCAGCGTCTCCATGGAGGGCGCAGATCGCGGGCGGCCCCGAATCATCGGATGTTGTGCGTGATCTGTCGTGCGTCTAGCGTTGAACGGAGCCCACGAAGCCTCCAGTGAAGACGCACGGGCGCGAGCGTATGCGGTCTCGGGAGAGTCACGGTAGGATGTTAGAGACAGCATCAGAACATCCGAAAGATCGCAAAAGACAAGAGGGGTTCGAAATAAGAACTCACCCACTTCCGCCCACCCACAATGTGCTTTAGGTAGATGGTTTGGCGGCCTGAGAGCACGGAGGGTACCAATCGATATAGAATGCTATTCCGTGCCTGATCAGGATCAGATGCACAGACGTTACAACACGGCGTAATGTACGGTAAGTCATATTGTTCCATGCTGAAGCTGCCTACAAGATGCAAATGCGCAGTGAGTGAACGGACGCTCGTGCTGTGATGAGGACGGAATATGTATTACACTGCGGACAAGAAATCCACGACCCATCCAGTGTGATGTCAATATGCGAAACGATGTACTGGTGGGGCAAAGCCAATAGCGATGCGCAACGGATATGTGCTATGCAAGAAACATCTGAACAATGCGAGGGAGTCAGATGGTCTCTCCCAAAAGGTATCGTATCGAATGCAGATATGGAAGGCAGTAAGTAAGCAATATATGCAGCAGAGTGAGCAAAGCAAAGATAACTTATATCAGGGAAAGATAAAATCGACAGTGCATTGTAAGACGATATATGATAAGATACAGCGTCTTAGTGTCGGAACGTGGAGGGGGCATGAAGAATCGTCATTATTGCTCTTGCGCGAGGGCAAAGCTCAGTTTTCGAGTTGGACCCGCGGGTAGAGGGACTTGGGAAGATGCGCGGAGCGCACATGGTGGCCAGGGGTTTCGGGATGCTCCGGTTCAAAGTCCAGGCTGAAGCGTGGTCCGCGACAGGTAGGACGCGGCGACTTGAGAATTACGGGAGGGTACCTGGCGCCGACCAGCTGGACGAGTATAGGAAATCCGCGCGCCCTACACGGGCACGCGTTCCAGAGATACTCCATTGGAGCGCAGGTACCGAGTACAGGGGTACCTCGCGGGTGGCAGGGCGTAAGGCACAGGAACCAGACACAGCAGCGTTTTGTGGGTGCATGGGTGACAACTGGGGAAGGGGGATTAACGCTGACAGATTGAGTTTGAGGTACGCGGAGGGCGGTCCAGGTAACGCGAACAGGAACTAAGTTAGACCTTCGAGCAGTCGCGACGGGAGTGGGCATATCTGGCACTCGTGTTCTCTGACAGGCGAGCATCCGAGCACCGGCATTAGTGCGACCACCAATGACAGTCCAGCGCGCTGGAATGAGTCATAATTGCGAACGCTGTGCGGTCAGAGGAGCTTGGATGCACGAAGATGCTCGCGTAGGACCATATCTTTGACTGCCACCAGGAAATCATAGTCAGCGGAGATGTTCCGACTTCCCAAGGAATCTCACGGATGTGAACATACCCGAGGCAATGATGCCGCCTGTGGTAGTTGTGTCCTGACAGCACGAAATAACGTGAGCTTAGAAACGGAATTGAATGCCTGATCCCACGCACGGTGACGGAGGTGCAGAACCCGTAAAATTTCCGCGGAATCGGCGAATGTTCACGGTGGATGGCGCTGAACTTGCTCTTGAAGTCTGTAGGACATCCCATCAACGTCGCCGCAAGAGAGATTGTGTGCATATACCCACACTTCTGCGCAACCTCGGGGTCGTTCGCCCGATCTCCGAAGCTGCGCACATACTTTTGCAGTCGGACGCCAGACTTCAGCTTCGATTCCAGGATATCGCACTTGTTCAGGAACAGCACTAGATCGACCTTAGCAAGTAGCTTGTTCGAGCAGACCTCTTTCCACAGGAGGACACTATCCTCCTACATCACGATGGTCAGAAGACGCACATTGGGAAGGAAAGGGCCTACGCACTAGCCGGTTTACGCTCCGGTCCTCAACAAGTACCTGATCGAAAGCGGATATAGGTGCCAAGAAGATGATCGCTATATCGCTATGAATTCGTGGATGAACGTCATGCCATGATCATGAAAACTCACCATTCACTGTGTTCGGTTAAATATCGAACATGAGGCTGAATGCGTGCGTATCAGAAGCATGATGCTCACCATCATCGAAGAATGGTACCCATGTAGCTGAGATTTAGTCTGTCAGCTGTGGCCTACAGAATACCGGAAGTTGATTTAACTCACGCCGCTGAGGTGACGCACGTCAGCAACATACCACAGGGAAGGGGGGAAACGCTTCCTGACCTGTGAACGTGACCCGCCCACGTCAATGATTCGCCATTCCGTACCCCGTTCATCACCCGCTTCCATGTGGAAGCTGTATTCCGATACCCCCACGGTCTTCAAGCGCGCTTTCAGCACGTCGTCTGTGAAGTTACGTGAGCGTGTGACGCGGATGGACAGCCTTGCGCAACCAACCGTCGGAAGGGAAGTACTGTAATGAGGTGACTCTGTCCAAGTCGTTCAGGTAGCTGCCGAATGTAAGCGCTCATGTATGGTCATCGATGCTGGGGGCAAATGCTCACAATCCGGGGCTTTCCTCCAGCCGTATCTTTCGTCTTCGCAGAATCTGGCGAACCACAGGGTCATTCCACAAAGTGACGATATCTGTCCTGCAGTGGTGGAGGACGGCCTGCGACTCGTCCACGGTCTCTTGTCCTGTCGTGCCCGCGGACTGAGGCCGACCGTGACTGCGCAATTTCCACGCTGCTCCTGGGCGGACGAAGATTTCCTTATGTTGAGACGAATGGGCGAATTGGCGGCTATTCCAAGGGGGACCGACGTTGCCGTTCACGCTATTGCTGCCGCCGTAGCCAAGAGTCGTAGCCTCATGCTCGTTTGGTGGTACAAGCTTCGCGATGAGGAGCGACTCTATGTGCCGGAGGGGGTGTAGTCGTCTGCGCAGGTCTTCAAGGTGTGTGGGTAGTTGGACATGGCTCTCAGACTCTGAATCCGAGTCGGGATCAGAGGTGTATGGGGTGGAGGGATAAACGTCGCGTCGCCGGATATCGTTGAGCGTATCCAAGAGAGTGTGTATGGATCGGACGATGTTGAGTTGAATTACGGCACGCCATAGGACACGTTCCTCGCGGAAGGCGTTGGGGGTATATAATCTCTGGAATTCTACCAAGACGGTTAGCGCGTCGAAACAGAAAATGTGCACCAATTGGTGTGGAACGCCGAGCGCCGCTCATCGACCGGGGACATAAGGCACGGGCGTCGGGGGCTGGCTTCGCTTGGGTCGACACGGGCCGATGGGGTCTGTGGAAAGTGAAGAAGTTCTACGACCCCGCGCGAAGTCGTCGATCTCCTGGTCTTCTATGCGCGCCCAGAAATGCAGCCCGTCCACAACATATCAAACTGACTCACGGCGAAGGGTAGTCGATTTGCCTGAAAATGTATGGATTGATATGCAGGTACAGGGACGCGTCGAGGCACATGAAACGGACCTGACTCGCTCTGGCCGAGGAGGAGGAGACGGACAAGCTTCTGTTTCTTGCGCTGCTGCTTCTCGATGCGGATAGACTCGTCTATGGCCAAACTGACGCGCTTTGCAGCCTCCTCCTCGGCCAGACGGGACGTCTTCTCCTCCTCGGACTCGTCTATGGGCGGCCTGAGTGCGGCAGAGAGCGGATCGCGGTCGGAGAGGTCGCGGGTGGGTGGCATGGGGGTCGTGGGGGAAACCAGGACGGACGCGGGGGGGTCTTGAGGGAGGAGGGAGATGCGGAGAGCGAAAAGATGACAGACATATGAACGCTCAGCAGGAAATCCGAGTCCAGCTCGCGACGGTCAGCCAGGCGCCCGTCAGCGCGTCCGAACACCCGCTCCGACCCCGCCGGCTCGTCCGGGTGTATCATTTCTCCCATCCCCGGCGACCAGCGATCATGCACATGCACCGCCTCCCACTCACCCACCACCACATGCACTTCACCACCTCCCATCTCTTCGCCTACACGCTGAAACGCAATGTGCTGCTGAGCGTCCTGTCCTCCATCAGTCGACCGTCCCATCATCGCCAGCCACACTGTTAGCTACTTATGCAAAGCGCAGTAAGGCTCACCCTTGCTTTTCAACTTTGGCCGTCCGCTGATCGCTTCTGATTGCTTGGCCTGCGGAGCGTGCATGTGAGAACGATGTACGTCCATGCCACCTCCAGCGTCCGGCATCCTCCTCACCTTCGCCACCAGTCAGGGTACAGAAGTTTGTTCTCCGTAAGCTGCCTCACGCAGGCCGTGCCTGTTCGTCAGGCACCGAAGCACCGCGGAGACTCTGCTATGGCCTTCCAATCGCCTTGTTGGCGTTCTCATTCGCCATGAGGCCGATCCGGTTCCATCATGCGGACCCACTTACAGTCGACACATCGCGAGATGTCCCTTCAAGCCACAGCAGATAGAGCAGGGCGCTTCAATGCCCTGTGTCCTCTGTCTGGATGTAGACATGGCTCGGCGTGTTGAGAGCCTATAGGCGTGTTCAATTCTTGTCGCTCGCTCATTTGTTCGCGCGCCTACCGGGCGCCTGCCTACCTGGATTCAAGGTCAGCTCAAGCGCCTGTAGCAAAGCAAGCAGAGGTGCGCAGGCAGCGGGTGCAGCGAGATCGACGGGATCGTCCTATGCTAGGTTTGTTATACCCAGAAAACCTGTCCGGAGAGTGGATGGAGACATCGGGAGAGCGTTATAGACTCGTTGCTCGAGAATAATCGTACATAATGCGCCCAAATCCGAACCAGATTCGGCACGACATACATACGGTTCACCTGGGGTTGCCGCTGTAAGCCTGATGGCAATTGGACCCAAAACCTTGCGGGACGACTCCGCGTCTCGAGTTATAGAGCTCTCTAGATTTCGAATCGTCAAGTTTTCGCGGCGCTCCTTAGTCCCAGCTCGCGACCCTCATGTGGTCATGTTGCACCCGCCGCCTGCCCCCCTCTGCTTGCTGTGCTACAGGCGCTTGAGCTGACCTTGAATCCAGGTAGGCAGGCGCCCGTTAAGCGCGCGAGGAAATGAGCGAGCGACAAGAATTGAACACGCCTTATGAAACTGATAGACGTCTGTGCGGTCCGAAATGGACCCTTACAAATCCGCATGCGCTGCAACGTGCCCGAAGTTGCTAGGTAAGGCAAGTTCTCGTATGAGGCCATAGGCTGCGCATCGCATTCACGACGAATTGTTAAGTACATCACGTTCAGGCGAATGACATCGAAACAGACAGGGAGGCCAACAAAGACTACCAGTGTCTTGTTGTGGTGGTTACGTCTGCTCTAATGTCCCTTCATGACAGTAATGAGGGAGACCCTAGCAAGCATTAAGGTACGTTTCCTGATCTCCATTATAATAGTGGCTCTTTCACTCTACCTGGCGCAATGATAGCGCGTTTGGCTTCGATCGCCACGCATACTGCGAGCTCACGTGACTTAGTACCTTCAGTATGGGGACTTCTCCACCAAGCGGTACGAATATAGTATGAATATCACACTTCGGGGTGCAATTCTATGTACACTACTTCAGATTTGGCCTTGGTGTACTCGTTCAACTTGGCCAAGTGCCCCAGGTACATTACAAGGCCATGACATATTGCTAACAGTGTGATAGTAGGCTGAATGGTCCAAGGCATACCACCAAGCAACACGAAACACCTACTGGAATGGCCATGGTAGGTATGAGCATGCAGCTACTTAGCAGTACATACGGACCATTTAGCCCACCACAGCACGTATCCACGGTCCCGCAGGAACTACGTTCTGCCGCGCTGCGTCATCAACGCGACAGATGGGCGCAGACTCCCAGAATATGAGGCTCTGCAGCGAAGAATGGGAGTGAGCCGTATCAAGCTACAGTCTGCCTCAGTGAGAAGGGACTTGTAGGTTGGGATTTGCGATTGAGTCTGCGCCGCGTGCTACATGCTTTATGCTGCCGTGGGCATTGCGGTAGACGTGATTCTCTGAATGCATGCATAGAAATCTAGGGCACATCAAAAACAACAAACTATCCAGCAAACATAGATCGAATGAACCAGAGGAGGAGTATGCCTTAACGACTAAAAGCCCTAGTGCTACTCCATTAGTTGATGCATACGGCAGTGTACCCCAGAAATATCCATAGATACCATCCTTATTGTCACCTGTGCGTCAAAGATGCATGGCATGTTGAAGGGCCTGCGCAGAAGCCTGCTAACCAGCACATAACGACCCTTCTTTGAATTCCACGAGGAATGCGGCCTGTCAGAGACACGAGTCATATTGCAGGGTCATAAGAACGCGCCGGAAGCGAGCCGCCGGTAAACCTTGGAGAAACCACAATCGCCGCCGCGCTTATGATAGACGCACCCAGGATTGCAGCTGAACGCCGGATGTGCTTCTGTTATGGTATAATACGTTCTGATTTTGACTGCTGGACACCCCACACCGAATCTCTAGATCTAGCCCGCGTAAGTATGTAATGCAAGGATAAGGTCCGGTACTAGTACTGCGACCGCCTAGCGTGCGACGCTGACGGCTAGGCGTCCTCGTTCCGTTCTATTGTGATACCGGCTTCAGAACAGCCAAGGCCCCACTGCAGGAACAAGGGTGTCAATAGAAGGGATGTCAGCACATGTGTCCAATGAGCACGAACGTGCATTTTGTGCGTACCTCTCCCTCGCTCTCCCTCGGGCTTGATCTGCAGACAGCTCTGATGAATAAGGTTGAGGGCCTTGACGGCGTCTCGCCCGTCAATGACGCACGAGATGTTGATCTCGTTCGCGCCCTGGCTTATCATCTCGATGTTCACGTTGCCCTGACCCAACGTGGTGAACATGCGTCCAGAGACACCGATCATATTCCGCATCGACTTCCCGACCAGGGAGAGGATAGCCATGTCGCGGACAACTGTGACCTATGCACCGCGAGACGGGTTGACTTGAGTACGTGCCTGAACGAAGTGCAAGATGCAAGAGCAAAGGAGCTGCACAGACATACCGTACCACATTTTTGGAGCTCACGTACAACGCGGTCGAGTACCTTTTTGTCGAGGTTTTCCTCGATAGCCATGGACACGTACACCTCACTTGTACTGATGAGATCGACCACCACACCGTACCGATCAAGCGTGCCGAAGATGGTAGCGAGGAAACCATGCGAGACGTTCTTCCTGTTCGAGTTGACGTTCAGGACAATTATGTGTTCCTTGATCGTCACAGCTGTCGGCTGACGGACCTGGGCGTGCTTGTCAAAGGGAGGTGATGCCAGGGGTGTGAGCCCTCTTGACACGGCGGTGGTCGTGGTGGGAATGACAGGGGAACAGGAGTCATTGCCGTTCAGTAAGGCATACCCGTCCACGTCGGGGTCGGGGTGAATAACAGTTCCGCCGCCCTTGGGGTTCTCGACGTTTTTAATACGAATAGGGATCTTCCGCCGGATGACCTACCGACAGTTGTGCCTTTAGTCTTGCCATTGGAACGACAGACTTAGAGTTACGTACCTGATCCATAGTGAATGGATGAACTACTTCGCTCCCATAGTACGTCAACTCAGCGGCCTCTTCTGGAGAGATGATCGGGATTAACCGCGCGGTTGGGACTTTCCGGGGGTCCGCAGTGAATATGCCATCGACTTCCTTCCATATTTGCAGCTCTGAGGCACCCAAGCCGGCCGCTAGCAATGCGGCCAAGAGATCGGTGTATCCCCGCCCAACCTGTCTAAGCAGAGACCCAGGCACAGGGCCAAAGAAACCTAATGGAAATCATGAGGGTGCGCCTCTTACACAGCGGGTGTGGAACGGTACCTGTCACGACCGGCACTCGATTACCGCATGCCTTGATTCTTTCCGCTACAAGGTCCGCCACACGATCGTAAAAGTCTTGAGGTAAGGTGTCCGAGTCTGAGAAATTATCCCCCTCCGACAGCGGGATGATATTTTCCAGGCTGACGAACTCAGCATCAATATTCTGAATAGTCGTCAGAACAGTCGCCCAAGCAATACGATAGAATCACTCGCCCTGTCCCGGAGTACCGCCGTAACGAGCTTACATCCGAGGCGTTCACCGAAACCAATGATGCTATCCCGCGATCTCGGGGAAATTTCGTCGATGACCTTGCGTCACACCGAGGCAGATGGAACGAAGACAATCTACAGGTGAGTGGAGTTGTGCATGGCACCTGAACGTGGCTACACACCTGCGTTGCATGTAGGAACGACCTGATGATGTCGCAGTCTCGCTCTATCTCGGCCTCCAAGTCCTTCAAAATCTCAGGATTCCGCACGGAAGCCCGTGCAGCGTTGACGTGTTCAGAACGAATCACGTCGACAGTAGTATTGAATGAGGGAGGTTGTTCAGTGATGGAAGTCATTCCCAGAGCAAGGGCAATCGACTCCGATTTTGGCGATGCCTTCCCTGGACCCGGGCTTGCGAACGGTGACTGATACTGGGTTAGTCTTGTGAAAACCCCGCTGGGAGACATCGTTCCTGGCGTGTCCGACACGCTGCCCGACCGCTGCAAAGCTTCTGCGGCCGCCCTGAGCAGAAGGTTCGTGGTTCCAAGCGCTTTCGTTGACCCCGAGCGGGCCGAGCACACAATTGCGACCTTATGTTGATCTAGGTACTCCCTGACATACCAACAAAGTTATGCTGACAGCAAACGGCCAAGGGATGACGGACGAACGGTAAGATGTCTTCTGCGATCTTGGTCACAAACTTCCCCACACTTGTTCCACCATACTTCTGCACCAGCCACTTTGCGGCGGGATCAATCGTATTTTGATGCATATTGGGAGGCGTGCATGGCCCTTGCCCCGACGATAAAGAAGAGGAGCGTGAAGAAGTGGGGGATGGGGTAGATGCAGCAGACATGGTTGCGGAGGATGAGCAGCGAGATCCCCGCGGTATAAATGTATCAGGCGGTATGACTCGATCTTGCAGGACGCATTTTCAGCACCACTTCCATCTCCCGCAGAAGTGCAACGTACCAGTCTGCGATACGTTCCGACAGGTGATCCGTGAGGAGGCTTCTGGGGAGCGACCGGGTCGTCTGGCCTTCGGAGGATGAGGAAGCTTACACGGTGACGGGCGAGAATTCCCGAGGGCGCATTGGTCAGGGTGCAATGAACGCTTCTTTTTGCCCAGTCTATGCGAGATTCGGGTGTCACGTTAGAAGCATCTGAGAGCACGCAGTGATCGTGGCATGATGAAGGTAGTGGTCCCGGGGAAACTCGTCAAGCTCTCTCGCATTGGTTTTGCCTTCGGAGCAGGAGTACGAGGAGCGCGCGGGGGTATGGGATAAACAGAGCGGTCTGAACAAATGAAATAGGCGCTAAACGTAGGCTTTTACGAGTAAGTAACTGGTTGTAAGCGAGTAAGAATGCGGTGTAAGGTGACGTGCCTGTCCCGGTTCTAAGCATACACGTTGGTATCTGCTCTTGCTTCAATTTACATCTAGCCTCCTTGTTGGACACCGTCCATCATGGCTGACGCGTCCTTCAGGGACGTCCCGGAGATATTCGAAGTGCGTCCGTGTGCTGCTGATGTTCTGCGGTTGCTCACGAGCCTCGAGTAGGTCGAGCTCGGCGAATCTCTCACTTCTCGGACGGAATGCCTATGTTAGTCGTCATTCCTCCTCGGCACGTTTGCACGGAAGTTAATGGAACCACACAGCTACATTCCGCGAACTTGGTCCTCCTGACTTGGTGCACGTTCTGAAGAGCACGGGGCGGAGTGGGCAACGAGATGTAAGTACTCATATTCATGAGCCTGTGCGCCACCGCCTATACCATTCGTCATAGCTCGGGTCGTACCACTATGTCTCTGGAGTCGATGCTTCCTCCTCTGCATCACTAGCGGCATACATCAACTCGCTCACATACAACATCGAAGAGGAAGCTGGTTGGTTCTCCAAGGGAACAACATGGAAAGTGAAGAGTGGTTGCTACTGGTGCGTCAACAGTCTCCAATACATCTCGCTTCATATGGACGGCCTCGCGCAGTTGCTTCAACGCGTTCTCTCGAGTGGATGTTCGGGTGGACGTCAAGATACCCGGTGGGGTACAGGCGTATGTTGTGGATTTACGTGGCGAAAGGTGCGCATCCCAGTATTGAGCTCGGTACAGGCCCGTGCCTCACCAAACTTCAGACACGAGGCTACTCCTGAAATCTGGCAAGAAACATCCCTGTCTGCTCTCCTTCGTGCGATCCTCTACTCAGACGATCCCACGTATTGGCTGGAGGCATACCGCAAACTCGACCCTATCACCAATCCCGAGGGCGAACTTCGGTTTCTGCAAGCTGCTGAGGCCCTGTTCTTAAAAGGTGCGTCTCTATTTGTGCAACTGGTTGGTACAGTGTTCCGACGATTTGGCTTGCCCCAATCATCAAGGGTGGCAAGTTGGCTCGGACCCTGAGATTCAGGTCGCCACCGTCGTGTCCAACCATCTTACTGCGGCTCTCATGAAGTACTTCGGAGACAGCGGCCGCTTCCAGTACGCCGCAAATCTGTTCGAGAAGATAACTGCAAAGGAACCCGAAGTTGCATCGTTGCTAGCGAAGAGTTATCTTGGCATGAGTACGTCTTCCGCCAAACGAAGCTTAGTGGTATTTGGACTAACATGGCGCCAGACGAGGAAGTCAAGGCTGCTCAGATCATGGCTTCAGCGATCAAGCAGACACCACAATCATATACCCTCCTCCATGTACAATGTGAATTCCTCCGTTCCAAAGGCAAGCACGAATGGGCACTCAGGCTTGCACGACAAGCCGTCAACTGTGCACCAAGCGAGTTCGTGACATGGGAGAAGCTCACAGAGTGCTATATTGATCTGGGCCAATATGAGAACGTGTGTCTCCTACAAAGCTGCATTGCACCCGCTGTTGACCAACTATAAATAGGCACTTCTTACCCTCAACTCATGTCCCATGTTCACCTACAATGGCCGGGACGCACACAGAAACCTCACCCCCGCCCGTGTGCATCTTCCCCCGAAGGGTACGATCGTGGAAATTCTTCCCGAGCGGATAAAGACGGAGGACGACGAGGTGAGTACGCCCAGCCTCTCACGTCCATGGTCAACCTCACCGTTTCCCTTCCTGCTCCGGTAGGCCGATCCCGCCCTTCTCCGTCTGCCTGCACCGGGCCTTCGTGGTACATGGGCCCGTGCGTATGCCCTCTTAACCCGCCTTGTGTCGCAGATAGGCTGGGACGAGCTCCTCAAGACGAGGAGCTCCGTTTTCGTCATGGAGGAGGAGTACCGGATGCAGAAGGCGCACGCCGATGCACAGCCACATTCTGCAAAGCAGGTCATCCACGAGGACGGCTCTGTAGCTTCACCCCAACGCGGGGCGTCTATTCAAGGGAAGGCAGCTGCTGACGACGATGCGTCGACCCGTGGTATGGCCTCCCCCAATGACTCCGCATCGGACCAGGACGGACATGATGAGAAGCCTGAGGGCGACGCAGACTCGGTTACTCTTGCCTCTACCAACGGTCTGCCTACGATCCGCATCTCGACTGAGAGCGCAAGAGAGCAGAAGGCTGCTGCGAACGGACATGATGAGGCGAATGAGAATGGCGTCAAGGAGACCGTAGGCGATGCGCTCGAGAAGCCCGTCCAGGCCGCTGAGAACCAGGACGGTGACGGCGGTCAGACGCCGTCGCAGGAGCCGTTCTCATTCAGCAACAAGCGGCTATGCGAGCGGTGGTTGGATAACTTGTTCATGGTCCTGTATGAGGTGCGTGATGTTTCATCCTTATACTGTCCCGTGTTGTCCCTGAATTTGAGGACCATGGCAGGATCTGCGCGTTTGGACCATATTTCGTGCAGAGGTCGCCCATTTCAAGACGCAGCACGTTGCGTACCGCAAGACTGGGCTGGAGTGGGAGATTTTGGGCGATCTCGGTATGCGCTTGCATCACAAGGAAGAGGCAAAGGAGGCATACCAGCGCTGTCTCGACACCCCGCGCTACTCTTCGAAGCCGTGGTCCAAGCTTCTGGACATGTACGCAGACGAGGGTGATATCCAGCGCTCGCTTCAGGCCGCGGTCCGCGTAGCTGCGTATCAGTGGGGCGAGTACGCAGAGATGACAGTACGTTTGAGCACCAGCCGTAACATGAATAATGTCGCTCACGTGCATTGTGAACCAGTATCCCACTCAGATCGCCCGTTCCTTTTTCAAGTTAGGCCAAATACACGGGCATGCAAAAATCCAGTGGTCTCTGTTGAGCATGGGCCTGCCGGAGCCCGTCATGAAAATCATGGAGAGCTACCTCGTGTATGGACGCACCTTCAAAGTGGAAGGATACGACTTCTGATCGGCCTGTGCACCACCATTACTTCTCGTTCTTCTCTCGTGCCCTTCTACGCGTGGACTGGTTTTTCGTCAGATCTGCCTCTCGGAATCGTAGATCGTTGTATGTCGTCGACCGAGGCCCATGCTTGTGCATGAGCTTCAGGTCCTATTTGCTATCTTATTCTCCAATAGGTACTCGTCGTCATTGATTGCTGTTGGTTAGACTCAAAGTATATGCCGGCTCGACACTGTCGTGTGCGAATTAACGGCGTCTAAACGATCGCGATGCCGCTGGCACCTGCCACCAGCACCCAGTTCCGGCAACGGGGTTATACACGATTGATTTCATGATGATGCGGATGTATCTAGGGCGCACGTTCTGCTTCTTCCGTATGTTGACGTCTCAGGCATCCAAGGGCTAACTCTGACAGGACGACTACCTCTTCATCGTGTTTCACGAACGAGGCCGCAGCATGACATGCGATCTTTTGTGACCAACCTCACGTTCACTGGCCGCCGACGTAAACCGCAGGCTAACCATAGACTAACAGGTGTGTACTTTTTACACTGACGGTCACAATGGTACAGGTACTTGAAACTGGAGTACCCTGTTTATGCGATCTTATTGACTCTCAGATTCATTTCTTGAACCCGAGTCCGCCCCCGCACTACCCTAGGCCTGAGCCAGAGAAATGATGATTCATCTATCCCTTCCGCATCGCATAACACACTCGGTGTCACCAGCATAAATATCCGAGAGTTCTCAGGCATGGCTGTCAGGCCCCGCCTTTGCAGCAACGACAAACGACTTACACCAGGCGATCCAGCAGCAGCACGGCGTCAACTGCACACGGCTAGCGTATGCAAGATCGGGTCTTCCCCGATGGACGGCATCGATCCATTACGATGCATTCTGCATGCGAGAGAACAGCCTCTCAACGATGATGTCGACGTAACTTGGTACAGCGATGTAAGGAGTATGACCCTACACATGGCGGCTGACTCCCACTCAGAGATACCCGCAAAACATCCCTTTCAAATGGTACAAGTCGATACAATATGACGGACAATAGTAACGTGAAGCGTTCCGCGCGCATTGCTAGCGGCGCCGTCTCACACCAAAATACTCTTACTCGATTTTTGTTCTCCTTCCCCGCTTCCCATCTATTCACCCTGCCATCAGAGACTCTGCCTTTCTCAACTACTCAGCTATGGAAACTCGGAACTTCTACCTGTCGCGCTTCTCGCCCTGGTTTGGACGCCATGACGGAACCTGCACAGACCAATTGATTGACGTATGTTTCGCCCTTTGCCTATCCCGACTACTGCTAAATCATCTGGCAGTTCACCGTCCCACCCACCGAACAATCAGACCCGAATAAGGTCCAAGCCATCTAAACCTCGTTCAACTCAATCAATTGAGATAGCTTTGGGTTCATAACACGCCCAGCCAACGCCATTTCCCCCGACCAACGCTACGCAGTAATAATTCACCTCCCCCCCACCTCCCCGGGCCTTGGGTCTTGCGATGGCGAACGGTCTTCTTGGCGGCCTGCTCATCCATGAGGTCGACCTAGCCGCAACACCGAAGGCTTGATCTAACCTTGCGGATCCCAGTAGGTCCTTCACGTTTTCACATCATCGACCTTTCCGTACGTATCTTGGATGACAGAATCAGCTGCGGACGGTGTTCGAACATAGGCGGGATGGAGCGTAGGTCCAGCTCAGCGCGAAAGAGGACTTCATCACGGTCGCGGGTCCACCTTGGCTGCACGTCCGCAGGCGATGATTCTGACGCTCACAATTGGGTTCAAACCGCAACAGGGACGGCGCAGGGTGCTCGGGCACGACGGACTGACAGCTTGAAACTCGGCGATAGGTTCGTTGTCCTGCGCTAGTGCTCCATCACGACGACCCAGGTCTTCTCCCCATCAGCCAAAGGGCTTGATATCTCTAGGGAAGTTGAGTGTGAGTTGGTTGCGATGGTGGTTCGTTTGCATGAGCTGACTGGCGGTCGTTTAGTGGACAACCTCAGCGCTTGCATGGTATGAGTGGAGATCAGTTTCAAGGCTGTGGGTCCCGGAAACACGTAGCATCACTATGGGTAGGGAAGCACGACACAAGTTAATAGCACCATGAAGCTATCCGCAAAGTACACTTGCGTAAGATGATGCGCAAAGAGCGCACGTAACAGTTTAACCAAATAGCGGGGGGGAAGGTGAGCCGTACCTGCCGATTGATGCTTGACTGTAGGTATTGCCCGAGATCGCCCTTGTCCATGGGTCTTCTCTTGGGTATATGACAGCTGCGCTGCCATCGCTTGCGCAGAGGTCGCACAAGCTCATGTTGAAGTAAAGGTGAGCGATCTTATTCTCGACATCTGGCCCCTTAATGGTCATGCTCCGTTGTGTCTTCGCATGATCCTATTATCCATGAAAGCTAAAGTTCTGCCACACATGTCTCTTTTCGGGCCCGCATTTCATTACCTGTCGGGTCCCTTCTTCTATAGCTGCGAAGCTTACTGCGGGGAAGCCTCGTCGGGGCTCAATTCGACGGGCATACATCAGTCATGGCGGAAGTGATCCACGATGCATCTCCGCATCTGACATCTCCGGCGTTCAAACGCAAACTCGTGTCCTGAAGCAGTGCAGACAAATTCATTGCACCGGAAAGGATCAACCCATTCCCGCCGGAACTAGCAGCCGACACAAACACGTTGCCTGTGCATGCATGTCGCTGTGATGCATATGTGACGTTGGTCGTTCAATCGCAGCACGAAGCTTGGGGCAGGTACGCCACAGGAAGCACGATAAATGAGGCGTGCGGCGCGCGACGGACACGCAAGGCAAGTAACGGAGATGAGAGGCGCGAGTGGCGTAAATGTGATTGACCATAGGATAAGTTGGGCGTGCAACGGTAAGAGGTATGCAATTAGGCGAGCATAATCATACAGCGAGGCGAGAGGACCAGATCTAACAATACAGTGTAGTGGATGAGCGGACGAGGAGATTGTTCATGGATCATGCTCAGGAACCCCACAGCCACGGTCAAACCTAGTATGTGGTGCGATGCATAATGGCGGCGACGACGGCGACGCCAACAACATCCGCCTACGACGGATCGTCACGAACAACGCAGTCGAGTCGGAACGCGACAGCGACTATGATCGCACGCCGCGCGTTGGCGAGTGCATCGGTCTTGACATCGACATCGAGCTCGAATTGCGCGGTCGGTGATACCGGCCACCGCCTGGTCGCCGCGCATCCATGGTGAGCTTCTGGAGCTTCGTGACGACGTCGCGCGCGAGGAAGACGGTGCCCTTCTCCTCCTCATAGAGTGTAGCGTGGTCCTCGATCGGTTCGAGGATGTGCATGTCTGCGGGGTGGACGGTCGCGCGGTGCGAGTACCGGAAGAGGGTGATGAACTCGTGGCGGAAGACGTGCACGTCGGCGGCCATGAGCGCGGAGGACATGCATCCCTGCGCAGGCGAGTCGGAGGGCACTAGGCAGACGGGACGAAGCGCCACAGTCAGCACGGAGTCACTGGTGCGTCATGGCCGGGCGCGCGGGGCCTGACTCACCTTGGACGAGGCAGACGTCGCCCTTGATCCGCGCGAAGGCAAAAGTGGGTTTTGTTGGGCTCGCGCTGCGAGGTGCGAGAGTCGAGGGCACTTGAGGGGGCATCGTGCAGAGAGCGGAGGAAGAACAGGATGCGACTGCGGCCATTTCAAGCTTTGTCTCGGGTAGTAGTGCGCCTATGTACGCGGCTTCTCCGAGGATGGTGTGGGACGTAGCACAGGGGTAGATGGACTTGGGCCTTCTTATAGAGCTGGGACGGGTGAGCGGCGAGTGGCGAGAGAGGGCTCGTAGAGTTTGGGCGGATGTTCCGGGGGCGGAGCGTCAGGTAGGGAGACTTTATAGAACGGCCACAAAGTGCGAGACACGCTTCGGCCACGCGGGATTGGAATCTGTTGTGCTTCTGGGCAAGCGACAGCAGCCGCGCCCGAACCGTTGTTCCAGCCTCTTTTACACCCTGAAAATAACTCGACATCAGCTCGTCCATTCGTTGTCCAGCGCGCAGCTCGCCGCATCGGATACATCATCCATCACCCATCGCTCTATCGCTCCGAGCCCGAGCGGTCCTCGATCCATCCTCGGTGCTGTGCACCTCCCCGCCACAGCGCCTGACCCTACTTATCCGGCTACTACTTGTATCTCAAGACTCGCCATCGCACTAATATCCCACTCCGCGACGTCAATGGCGTCTGCGATTGAACAAGCCCCAGTCTAACGGAGCCCACTCCGTTAACTTGCAAGTCGATATCTCCCACTTGCAAGCCCCGCGCAGTCCCGAACGGTCGACTGCGGCTCTAGAGCCTGAGAACGTCATCCGAGAGCAAACCCATGACCGACCGCGGGGAGTCCACACCTGCTGCGAGTAGTGGTACAAGCTTCCCATCAGCTTGTCCTGTTATCCGAGCGATAGAAGTTTCTTGTCGCAAGAACTCGAACGCATTGCGAAAGGCCGGCGGCGTTTCTGGTCTTGTGCAGCGGCCGCAATCATCGCACTGGCACCAGCCGTAGCGCTTGAAGTTGCCTCGCACCCCGACTCGGACTCGGACTCGGTGTCGGACTCACAAGAGAAGCTGCTATCGGCGACGTCTGACGCCGCAAACAAACGCCTCTACCAGTTGCCTGCGGAGTGAATATTTGAATGGTGATATTCGTAGTGCACCTCATCCTTGGCTCATCCCGACTGCTCCGGCGTCATGCCAGTGAATCATGATGAGTCCAGAATGTGCAGATCGATGCCACAAATGCAATCTCTAACGTGATCGAGACGGCAAACATGACTCGAGGTTTCGTACGACGTACTCCGCTCGCGAAGGATCAAACCCCCGCCCTCGTTGCTTACGGATCATTTTCTCCAAACAATCTTCCCTGCTATGTTGTAGCCTCGAATCTGAGCGTGGAACATAACAAGCACCGAAAGCACCGCGACCAGCCCAGACTAATCCTGCGATTGTCGCAAGACCCTAGTCAAAAGCATCGGCCGACGAAGTCTGGACGGTCGCTGAGTCTGGGCTCACTTACGTCCGAGAGCGAGCTCGAGCCCATCATATGATGCTGCCGCCTACAAAAAAACACGAGCCTGCAACGTTATGGCCATCGGAGGATGTCCGAAGCAGAGCGCATCGTGACGCTCCGCCGTCCATCTCCAACGATCAAATGACCCGCAGAGCCTTCTGGCAGCCTCACAACCTTGAGTCGGCTCATGTCGGCACCTCGCACCCGGTCGGGCGAGAAATGGCTATCGTGTGCCCACTCGACCTCCCGACCGACTCTCACCTATCCCGTGTCCCAGCCGCTCGAAGCTTCCATCCATAGCAATCACAGGCACGAGAGGATCCCATTCAATTCCGATTGTGAAAGTACGTATGTATCTCGCTAGGTGTGGTCACATTCTCGGAGAGGAAGCGTCAAGCGATGGGCAAGTGACCAATGCTTTATGGCTTGCGGAAGTGCTGCCTACTACCGACAGAGACAATATTACCCTCTATGCAGCAAATGCTCTCCACATATCTGGGCGCGTCGTGAGCAGGTGGGTGGGAGCGAGAGAGGCCGCTCGTAACACCAGTGCTGTGATTGGTATCCTTGGGTGGTCGGAGGCGCTGCTGGTAACGCCTCCGCAGATCAGGTTGGCGAACGCACCTGGCGATGTCAGTGATAGAACCATTCGCGCTCCTACGAACCCTACTAGGCATTCGACACGCAGAATGCAACGGCTGTGCATGGTCACGGCGGTGCTCTCCCCGCGACGCGCAGGCAATCGCGCACATATACGCGCGCAAATGCATGCACCATGGCGGCAAATTGTTGTCGACTGACCGGTTGCGAGTAGGACGCAGGCCCACACCCGCGCCACCGTGTCGCTGTACGCGGCTGTGCACCGGACGAAGTGCCACCACGCTGTTGGAGTGCTGGGTCCGGCATCTCAGCGTCTGCAGTGGACATGAAGCCCGACGGGAGCAAGGAGGGGCGTTCCTGGGAGGCTGCGCCTCCTGACTTGATGATAGCAAATAGCCTTTCAGCCCGCAGCAAGCCCATCTGCGTCTACTGAGAGATTCCTATTCGTACTGCGCAGATATCGCACGCATCGCATCTGGAGATTCGGTGCCTTTGCACCATGCCACCACGCCACGTGAGGGAAATCTACGCCAGGCTTTCTCGGAGAGGCATATTCGGGAGTCGTCTATATCGCAGAGTTTCGCACAGGGCAAGGATTCAAGGACTCGTGCGCTGCGGCTGTGGGAGGAAGAAGCGTTGAGTAGCGTGGAGGCGGAGCGACTCTTGTACTGTCTCCGCAGCAGCGCGCGTTAGACCTGGCGGCGACTGGGATTTGTGTGGGCCATGGAGCCGGATCGGAACGCACAAAATGAACTGAGAAGTCGAGAGAGGTCCCAAGGCGGCCGGACCGTGGTTGGGGGGTTAAGACCCTGGCCAAGGAAGCGGGTACACATGATATCATATCTTGGCAGCTTGGGCAGTGGGCTCGTGGCCGCGAGTGGCATTGGACGAGGGCGAACTGTTCGCTTGAGGCTTCCGTGTGAACGCAGGGCGACTGCTCCCCTATACGCATGATCTGTGAAGTCGTACTCGGCATACGGCAGCGACAAGTTCATACATACGTACGGCGGCAGTTGTGTTGTGCGTCTGCCGTTCTAGCGAATGGCTGGTGCTCGGCGAGTCGGATGTCGTAACAACTATCGCAGGGTGGCATTCAACGCCCGAGGAAGGTCACTTCTGCAGCACAACGTGCGACTCGAAGGGTCTGGACTATAGGGACATAATGTGATGAACAACGCAGGGTGCTCTCCACCGATAGATATCACTCACCGTAGTTGTTCCACTGTGACTGATCCTTTCTGTGGAAGATGTGAGCCAACTTAGCATAAGGCACAGCAGCAGAAATGCGGCGGGACTGATGTCGATGCTATATCTGGATGGCTCTGCCACAAACCTCAAACAAGCCGGCAAGCGATGAACCTGAAAGTGGACGGCCAAGGGAAGAGATGGAAGGAAGAAGCATTATGCAATTCGTTTTATAGTGGGATACGGTACGTGTTATAGTACATGGGCTGGTCCGAGGAGAAAAAAAATTGAAACTTCATGCTATAGCTATCATAGTCATACAAAGGCACACCGTTTCGATATTGGCACAAGCCCATGAGGCTTGGATTACGAGTAGAGAAAATCTGCCGAAGAAATTCTACGGCACTCTGCGGTGTCGCCGCGTGCGCAGAATCATGCAGTCGGCTGTGGAGTAGGTGCTTGAGTGGTTTTGCTACCTGGTCCCCTTTCAGCATCGCGGGGGACAGAAGGAACATTAGGGTCGGCGTCTTCGATGGTCTCCGGAAGGCCGAAGCTGGCCGAGCGGTTCCTCGGGACGAGCGAGCCGGTCTCTGCGATGCGTGCCCCGCGCTCGACACTTTCGCGACGACTATGACTCTGCCCACGGCTCATGCTGCGTCGTAGTCTCCCCGTCTCGGCGACGCGTCGCTCGGAGCTTCCGCGTCTGTTGAACGAGTTCCGGCGGCTGTGGAAGGATTCCACAGGGGACGGCGTCCCATCATGATCCTGGGATGTGGAAGATATAGGGTGCGAAGTAGTCCATGTCTGATGGAGGGATGTGGACGGGGAGCCGAAGGAGGACGAGAGCGAGGGTGGGGGCACGGAAGGATAGGATAACATTCGCGTGCCTCCTGCTGTGAATGTAGGCGGACTGACAGCGACCGAACCTATTGATGGAGGTGTAGTGAGATTCGTTACAGCACTGGTGTAGCTTGCAGGAAAGGGTGATGTAGTGACGGGAGAGAAGGGGAAGGGCGAGGTGCTAACGGAGGAAGGAGAATGCGAGAGAGGAGTGGTCGACTCCGACGAGATGGTGTTGGCGGGACGATGGATTTGCGATGGTGGACGCGGTATCGGAACGGCTGATGCATGCCTGGCTGGGTGAGAAGAATTGGAGGGGATGTGGACAGAACTTGAAGGAGAGCTCCCGGTGCTCGACCGACGATGTGTAGGTTGGGAAAATGGCTCGGACTGTGGGAGCCCTATGAGGCTGTCAACGGGCAACCCGAGCTACGGCGCGTTGTAAGAGATGCACTGAGAGGAACGGTCACAACAACCTACCCTGCGACGATGCTGGATCAGTTCCTCCCTGTACACCTCATTCAGCCGCGAGATCCGGACGAAGTCCTGTTCCGTCTCGACCAAACGACTCCTCAACGCCTCGTTCTCCCGCCTCAGTGCATCAAGAATCATGTCCGAGCTTGGCCCTCCATTGCTTCTGCTGAATAGATGTGCAAGTTGGGGGGCTATTCGGGCATCTAGGGGAGACCCGCTGTCAGTCCCGTTCAGATGGGAGGGGCCTGCTTGCTGCTGCTGAGACAGTCGTAAAGCAGAGATTTCTCTGGATAGTCTGTTCACATGGGACTCCGACTCCGCCTCAAGGACATTTTCTAGTTCAATCTTTTCCTCCCGTAGCTAAACGGATGAAGGGAATCAGCGACTACTCTCAACCATCCTTGAACAACCTGACCTGCTCTAGCTTCCTGGAGAGAATGTTTATAATACGTTCCTCTTCTGCTTCATACTGATTAATGAGGTCTTCTCTGCTGCTGGAGTTTGTGGACAGGCGTCGGATGGGAGGTGAAATAGACATGACGGAGTCTGCAAGAGATCGCCATTAATCCCTCAGCATCCCCACCCATCCAGCCAGGCACCTATAATATACAACTTTGGTGTTGGATGTTTGCTAGCATTAATGGGGTAGTGGTAACCTGGGTCGTTGCCATCGACCCGCCGGGGGTTCGATTCCCCCTTAATGCACGTCCATGATCTTTCCTGAAATCTTTTACCGGTGGAGTTATGCAACGCATATCATACACAGCGTGAAGGGCCAGATTTTGGCGGGGGAGAACATGCGGAGAATGTGCGGATTCCCACGACATTCTCTCCACATTCTCCCCCATGTTCTCCAGGACGGCGAATCTGTAGACTACATGCATGTTGCCTCGACATTCTCACCATGTTCTCTAGTTCTCGATTCGGTAGCCTCGTAATGCATGGATACTTGTCAGATAAGTTTTCGACGTGGCATTATGGAGCGTCACCACTGTTGAACCTGGGGGGCGAAGGCCTCTCCCACGGGTGGCAACGACAGCGGATAGCCTGCAACTCACCTAGAAGGGTTGTTGGTTGTAAGAGGCTTGTTAGAGCGATGAGAGGAGATGTTCGAGTGAACTGAACTGTAGATTGGGGGTACAGAGGTCCCCTATATATACTACTGTACATCTGTGGCTACATAGTACTATACAGTACATTCCCAGGATGCACAGTCGCACAGAGAAGCGGTGCGTACACAGCGAAGCTGTGTGTGTACCACATGAGTAGTACAGCCTCGGTTATTGCAGTAACCGGCTGTGCTGTTCCATATCTTGTGACGGCTGTGTTAGGCAAGCTGTGTAAACCAGCGCCTGTTCAACACTCCCCCTCGCTAAGTATCCGAATGGTTACGCAAGCGTAGCAGGCGCTTTTAAGCAGCTCTGGACT